AATCATAACAGTATCTTCATTTCAATAATAAATCAAACAATTACAATCAATTATTTCAAAAATTCTTACTTTTGTAAAGTCTTGCAGACACATAACCAGCAACGATACCAAAAACAACGTAAAGAACGAGTGCGAAGGTCATCAGAGATCCACGATTTGCCGGTGACAGGAAACCAAGACAAGCAAATACTATGGAACGAAAACACATACTTAAAATGGTAGTCCTTTTCTGGATCTTTTATTCAAATGCATTGCCTGCTTGATGGAAGGTTTGAATAAACAATTTTTTTTAAGGATCATTTTTTAAGCAACCCTTCAAAAATCAATGGAAACATTCTAAAGTCGTGATTTTGTTGATACTCGTTAGACATTTTTCTAGAATTTACGATATCTTTTCATCAAAGTCACAAGTCATACACCAGCTCATTAGTAATAATCAGTTATAGGTTGATATAAAAATTCTGAAAAACACCGAACATTTCTCAAGGCTTTAGAAACCAGGCAATATAATAAGTATACCAAGAGTGACCGCAACCATAAAGAGCACTTGACATCCACTGCCCACAAATACAGAAAGAAACATGGCATATCGCGGTGGACGGAAGACATCACCATGGACCAGTTTCCAACCAAATTCTTCTTGAGCATCTTCCTCAAATTTTCTAATTTCAAAATACAAAATTCATGGAAATTTTCAGGAAAAAAATGAGGCCTTAAACAGTTTAGTGCTTTCTGCAACTTGCCCGATTCGAGAAAATAATATGTAAAAGTATAAGATTCTTATGAATAAAGCGTATTTTTAGGAAATATATCGCTTTCCTAGATTTCTTAATGTACTTTACACATCTTTTAAAACGTATATTATCCCAATCTGGCAGTTAAGGATTACATCACCTTTTAAAAAAAGGAACTTTTAAAATTATGTTGTGAGAAACAAAGCTAACCTCATTATCAAGCTGATTATATCGAATGATGTCGCGATGTAGCGTCCGAAGAAGAATCATGCCAACCTAAGATACTGATATTATTATTCCAGTACAAACAGCTTTTTAGTTTGAGTGCATTAAGCAGAAGAATGAATAGTATCTTACTCAATACCTTCAAATGGCAAAAAAAAAAAAAAAAATGAACACCACCCAATCCTGGACCTAAACGAAATGCAATTTTTTTGCGTGAAACAAAAAACTAATCTAAGGAAAGAACTACCATTCCAGAAAGGAACAAAACGATAACAAGTGAATTCAAGATCGAGAACCATTGAATGTTGGAATGTGGAACTGAATCTAGAATATAATCCCATCGTGATGACCATTTCACCTGAGTCGTCTGTAATTTTTTGTCATAAGAGATTATCGAAACGCTACCTTGGTAACGGAAATTTTAAAATCTTAGGAATTATAAAATCGTAAAAATCACAACTATATTAGGGCTTCGATTTAAAAGAAAAAGTAACATCAAAAATAGTTGTTTTTCGACGTACAGAGAATTCATCCAATTTTTATGAGAAATACTTAAAAAATCAAACCTGCCATACAACAGAGTATGTGTAGATAATGCTATCAGGTTTTTCATTAGACTTTATAGGAAACGGCTTTGCAGTGACTCCACAGTCGAGCTTGTCGTTTGCTTCATGCTTGATGCTTCGTGGCTGCACTTTGATGCGAATAATTCGACCTCCCACATGTTCCTCCAAAAAGTTCGGATCCTGACTCATGTTGCGATACTCGATGAGAATATCGACGTGATTGAAAATGTAGTAGCTATCAGGTTGTCTGTAACGTGAATCTAGAACACATGCATCTTTCGGCTTACCATCACTAGTTACGTAACAACCCATTGGAAAACCTGTTGTACAGACATTTTGGTTTTGTTGGTTGATGAAGCAGAATGTCACCGGCATATTGTCTAATATCCTAAAATAGATTTGTATATGTAGGAATAATCAAAAATCCAATCACTCGTTTCATTCTAGCTCTATGCGGTAAATTACCACATACGATATAAATCTGTAAGGTCTTGAAGACCTCCACTATTCTTTTTAATAGTTCAATCTTACTTTCCGTAGGGTTCATTCCCAAAAGAAAAGATAAAAAATAGTTATTTCTTGCCACAAGTACATTATATGCCGCAATCATACATGTCACTCATGTGTGAGTGTTCATTAAATGAAGTGTTACTAAATTTCGTAAAAATGCTAAAAGCAATTTAAAAAAAAATACCAGTGATGCTGGTAATTTAATTTCATTCCTTTCCGAAGCAACCACATTTTTTTCTGCGCAAGTGGATCATTGTTGTATTTCTTTTCACATAACAGCTTACATTGCCTTTGTTCATTGAAATTTAGCTAAAAATTGCAAAGCGAGAAACAAAACTTATTCAGAATAATTTCGCTAATACATAACATTTCCTGGTACTATACAGTTCTACCATACAGAGATATGCCATATCTTATTTCGTGAGCAAAGTTTTATGCATGTTTTCGATGAATGGAAACCATCAACTATTTTGGCATAGAGAAATAAGCAAAGAATTCCAACTCAAAGAAGTATGAAAATAATGAAATACAGCTATGTTTAAGCAGTTTCATACTTTATATGGGCTAGGCCTAATTCGTTCTCCAAATAATACTTGGCCAAGATTCTCTACTGGCGACTCATTTTCACTGCCAATACAGAAATCGAAACTGAAATACACCAAAAGTTAATACAAAAGCTTTTTGCATATTGCTCTTGTACATTAATTTAAAAACAACGTATTCGTGGTTATAAAAGATGAAAGAATTTACCTGTGGTATTCAAATGGAATAACGCTTTGGTCGCTATCCAAACGATTTACGTACAGAGTTATATTACTCTAAAAACCAGTTGTATTTCTTATGATCAGTCGAAGTTGTATTATTTTTGTCGCTAAATATGAAATATTTCAAAATTCCTATCCAGAGCAGATAAAGAGAGTGTATTGTAGGCGGTACAGTTACATAATAATATCAGCAATGAAATGATTTGTTGCACCAAATCTTAAGTAGAGAGCGCAATACTGCTAATCTGATCTATGCTGAGACTAGAATTGCGATATTACATTTTAGCTAAAAAAAGAAAATTGATGGTGAAATTTATAATACATTCAAAATATGAGAGTGAACCATACAAGACATTTTCGAAGATTTTTCAATTACAATCCAGAAAGCAAAAACCGTACTGGACACGACGGTTTCGCAACTTCCTTTTCACAAAAATTGACTGGTGCCAAGCCAGGCAAATAGAAACCCATACAAACATATGTGCAAACACAAAACAACGCAACGATACCATTCATTCTTTTCATGTTGAACACTAAATCTGGAAAGTAATTTCAGTAGCATTAAACTGTACTCAACGATATAAAGAAATAATGTTTAGTTGATGGCTAAAATGTTCAAAAATAATATTCACTCTTTTTTCCAGAAGAAAAATCTTGTTAACGAATACTAAATAACTACTCACTTTTCCACTTTTTGCTGTATACCTATTTTGTATTTTTACAGACCCACAAATCTCCCTCATATTTCAAGTTTTATATAAATATAAACAACATTAGCTTAGTCACCAAACACTGATCAGTGGTTAATGCAAAGAACAAACCATCGATATACACAGTAAACCAAACAAAGGGATGTCTGAAATTGTTTCAATATTCAGACAGTTAACACATTCCTGTTCCGGTATTCACTTGCACGCCATCCCAGACTATACATTACTTTAATGGCTGTGCCGTCTTATTAATATTGCGTTTTGTTAAAGGAAGCGTTATATCTATTATTTATGTATAAGTTATATCTTGTTACATTTATTACTTATGTATTTATATATTAGTATTCTGTTTTAATGAGGGAAATGCTATATCTATTTATGCATTTTGGACATATAAATAACAAACAAGAAATTCCGACGAAAATTCGGTGGAAAAACATTGTAACGTTTATATCAGATATCATCTACTGAAGTCACTTAACTAGGACCGTCCTACTTGTCAACACTGTAAGACCTTCTAGCCACCACAGCCCAGCCTGACTAACTGAGACGGAGAAAAGGATCTTATTTTAACGCAGGGAGCATTATTATTTAACGCAGCCAGCAAATACTTTGCAAGGGTCATTACGAGTGAGGGAATGTAGATGTCCATCAGATGAACGAGAGTGAGGGACAGAAACTAATCTGTCAACTTTTTCTGCGGGCCATATTATCTAATTATTTATTATGCCCAACCATTGCTCTGTCATTAGCAAAGTTTCTGTATACTTTATTAGCTCATAACTGATGTCTGTTATATGACTTTGGCCACAATCCTATAAATATGTAACTTTCGTAGTAACTTCGAGTCTTATAAACCTTATCATAAGATAATGAAAGATGGAGGAGAAAAAATGTGTCTTACAAAAGGCAGTGAAAAAATATTTAACAAATCAAAATTGAACAGGTCTTCTTTCCAATTGTTTTACATGAATGAAATCGTAATTAATTAAGGAAGTGATGTAAAATCATTCTCCTGATCGAATATGTTCTCTTTTTGTAACTAAAGAAATAAATTTCCTCAGTCCCATTCGCAGTAGTTGCACTGCTCTACTCTATTTCGCTTAGTTTTAATATCTATCGAAAGTGAGCTTCAAATTAAATTTTATTTTTGCAATGAACATGAACAAACAAAGATGAGAAAATCGTCCAAAAAATCGTTTTTCCCGCAGCGGATTGCATAGCTATAAAAGAATGTCTAATCAGAATCAAACATTCGTCCATTAACGAAAAGGTAAGCAATTTAAACAAATAATCTCGTAATCGATAAATTAGATGTATTTGCATAATTTAACTAATGCGTGCAAATCTGATTTTGCTATTGTCATGGTAACCGTTCTAAACAGTGAACAAACAGCAACCGAAGCTACTATAATGTTTTAGTGCAGGTGTAAGTAAGTAGTAAGTATTTCCTGTCATGATTCTTGCAAATCATGGGTTTTATTCAAAAAATTACTGTACATATGAGCTATTGACGAATAATTCGAGTGTATCACCACTCAGTGGTTTAATAGCCGGATTGATAGTCATCGGTGGTCGACTATCATAAAGTACTGGTGATTGAAGAAGGATAATAAGGGTACCACATACGTTGATCACACTGAAAATCATCAGCATCAGTCGATCTAGCACCATTGATATGTAGCACCAGTCCTCAGATACCTGCATTTTTAGCATATTAAGGAGTTTTTTAATCATCGAGAAAAGAGAAATGCAAACGAAAAATGTGTAGGTCATAATTAGAATTAAGGCCAATGTTGGATATATAAAAGAAACAAAACACACCTGATCATCTTTTTTCATGGCCCGGAAATGATCAGCAATAAAAGATACATTATCGATCATGCGTCGAATTAAGTCAGGATGCATTCCACGAAGCTGCGCTAGCTGAGACAATCGCATTTGGCCGTCGATTAGATTACTGATCGATAAGAAATAGGGACTTGTTCGACGAGATGTTGAAGATGACAATAAATCTAAAATGCAAATCTAAATTTCTGATAAATCTCTTCAGTTAGAAAAGACAAAAATTTATTACAGCATAAGGGAGATATGTTATTGCAAGGTCTGAAAATGTATTTTTTTCTTCGAGAGATTGCAAAAAATTGGTAGTATAGACATTATGATGATAATAAATATTATTTTGTACATAGCTTATTTTCGAAACTTGGAAGCTCAGTTTAAATATTTCAACGGTTCTTCATTTGTATTTAATTGGCTTAAGTCGAAAGAATCCAAAAATTCTTAAGAAACCTAGTTCACCTGATGATCTATTGCTGCTTTCCTCAGAAGCATCATCTTCCGGTGGCTTGATGAACAAATACTTGGGTAATGTTTTCAAAAATATGTGACGCATCCATTTCGGCATAGGATGAGTGGTACCAGCTCTGCAAGAAACAAATTTAGGTTTTTAAATGAGCTCTTTCAAGTATAAATATTAAGTAAAAGAACTTACTATTAGCATAATTGTGATCAAATATACTATTAGCATAACTTAACATAAGGACACGTATAAGTAAATGGTTGCCAACATCTTTTAAAGAAGTTAGACCTACAAAGGTGAGGATTGGTTATGAATGTTATTTGAAGTAGGTTTTATATATTTTACATTCTTGTTGGTCATCTTTATAGATTTAAAATTCGCTTGGCATAATTGACTGATAGTTAAAACTAATTGCTATAATGAGTAAGGTAAGCCAAATACAGACTTGAAGAGGAATATAAGGAAAACTATTCACAATGGCAGAATACAAATAAAAAAATATTTTGCATGAAAAGTTAATTTTATTTTTGGTGAAAAGAAATTGTTTTTGATCAGTAATACTATCAACTATGGTGAGCATGAAATAATGCCAAGATGATCATAGTTGAAGTGGGAAATTCTAGGTTTAAAATAGAAAGCTCGTTAAGCTTATTCTAGTTCTAGTATTTCTCATTTGAATTTACTTCACTACTCTTAAAGGATAAAAACGAGAAAATAGTGCACGCTTAACTGAGCGCTTCTCTATCCATTTTTAGATATATTAAGAAAGAATAGAAGTTATTTCAAAAATTTATGTTATTTCTTCTAAGCTATGAATTGCAGAAGAAAGCGATATCAGAAAAATCGAATTATAATATGACGAAATAATTTTGTATTAAATCCATAAGATTAAAGATTGTCTTGTTTCAATATTCTAAGACAAATATAAGATTTTTTAATTTTATATCTCAAATAAAATTCATCCAACGTAGTTCAATTTATCCACACTGGCTAGAATGTTACAGTTTATTAGTATACTCAGTGCAAGATGTTGATAATTTCTCCCAATTTTATTGTTAGAATCTTTCAGCCTGACAGCTAAACTTACATTAGATTGTTCAAAAGGTTGTCAATTCTTTGTTTAACTAAGCTCCTTCGTTATTCATCAGCTTCTACTCACTATAGTAATGCTTTGTGGTAAATACATAAGGTTTAAGCCTATTGTGCGGAACAATTAACAAAACTTCGACTCGGATACTTTTGCACACTCATTCGTCTTTTTTCGACTTCAGCACTGCTTCTGCCTGATTTTGCTTGCCAAATCAAATTTGTCTCCAAATATTTTGGTGTTATCCTATACTATCACCATCTACATTTAAGCAGATCCCTCTTGGATCAACGAAAAGGAAAAAATGACTATTACTGATAGATCACTCACAATTATTTTATAACGTTCAAGAAGAAACCTCTGCTAACGAATAAATCTACTTCAATAAATGTTCGAGATACCTGATTGGAGCTCTCCCAAAACAAAACAAAATTTACAACAAGGACATAATTTTTGGAATCATTAGATTTCTAATAGATAAATAACATACCGTCGATAGTAGCTTACAGTGAGTACGGATAAGAGGATTGATGCGGAGACGAGAAACATGGTAAATAAAAGATACTTTCCAATCATTGGTATTACCATTGATGTTGGAGGAATGAGATCAATAAGAACCAAGTAGAACACAGTCAAAGTAACTAGCACTGCTATCGAAAATGAAACTTTGTGTTCAATACCCGGAATATAGAAAACGAAAGTTGTCAAGATTGCTGAAACAAAATGAATTTGTATGAAGAGTATACTATTCTGATATTTCATACCTTAACTTTATTCTTCCAAAAAAAGAAAAATTCTGAACGAGAATTTTTCTTTTTTTTTTTTTTACAGTCTCCAATATTAAAAATTTATCGACTGTTACAGAATCAAATTGAAGCAAATTCACCTATCAGCATGCATGGAATGACTAGGTTGACGGTGTAAAAAAGCGTTTTACGACGGATCGATAAATTAAAAGTAATATCGATATAGAATTCCTGCCCACAACAACCAGGATACAGGCGTTCATGTCGACGACTTGTTAAACTTATCAAATCCCACTCACGACTCCTGAAATAAGATTATATTCACAAAAAAAAAAAAAAAAAAAAAAAAACCAAATTTGAGTAGCTTTAAAAACGATTGAATAGCACATAAAAAAAATGGTTCTTGGCAATAGAGAACTTACGGATAATAAGATGATAGATCCATCCCTTGTTCCAAAAATTGATATTCTTTTCCATTTTCATCGTACTGTGTTTCGATATTGTCCGTAGGATTAGTCTTGAAAAAACTTGTATTTCAAAAAACAGACTAGTCAGAAAAGCTGCAGGTATGTTTATCATTTTCACCGTTTGTAAAAACTTTTCTAATGCTTTTAAAGGTCGACAGTTTAATGCTATCTATCCTCTGAACTTTACTAGTATACTAAGACAGATCGAGTTGCTGAATCATATTTAACAATTTTCCTCATCTATTGAAATTCAAAATTTACTGGCAACTGTCGAACATCAATTTGGAAACCGTTGTAAGACCAACCACCAAATTTCATTGAGCATGATTGCTTATCGTATGGGAAGTATTCAATATCTATCTTAATAATTTGTTTTTGGTAGTCAAAGTATCAAAAAACTTCGAATTGAAATTTGAAAATTGAAATCTCAATAGTTATTTGGAAGTAGTTGAATTAGGGATATTAAAATAAATATTCTACAAGAAGTAACATTACAGAAATGTTCTAAGATGCGGGTGGAACGAGTCAGAAACAAATTACACTAAAAAATACTAAAAGAGATATTATTTTGTAAGTCTGGTAAATTATCATCGCATAATTATAGGCATAAGCCTACGGGACAAAATGATTTATAAATGCTCGGTGGTTTCCAAACCACTGCACCGGTGTAGTAGACTAACGCATCACTCATGATCGTTATGTGCGGTTCGCCATCTGCGCTGAAATGAAAGTAAGACTCGATCTCATCCACGTAAATAGTAGCAGAAGAGCTAGTAATATCCGCCATTAATTGACAATATATTATTACTGATAAGTGATTTCAAATTCCAGATAATTTACTTGTTATACAACAGGATATCCGGTATCCATATCTGATCAGATGGAACATGAAGTTTTCGAATATTATTCCATTTTTCCGGATCCCATGTTAGCTTGTAATCATACCACTGCTGCAAAGGAATAACGCTGCCATCATAATTTGTTTGAAATCGAGATTAAAAGATTTGGAAGACCGAAATAATTTCCCAAAATCTGCACGACCTCAACATTAACATTAATTTAAAAAAAAAATACCATTTCAAGCCACAAATTAGTGGTGAGCACTTGATTAACTTCATCCTGAAAACAAATTTGTGTTAATATTAAATCAAATTGTGAATGAGCATTGAAGTGAAGTTTTATGAATTACCATTTAGAGATAGATATGACCTCTTTAGCAGAGCCATTTTTTATTCATACTTTGTAAAAATTGTCTCAAAAAAAGTTTTGAGAAAAAAATCCATCAAGTAAAAAAAATTGGATGCAATCGATCTGTTCAGAATTTTTCTCTTCAAAATTACGAGTAAAATGAATTGGAATCAATTCTGGAAAAGTATTATCAACTGACCTAAATTAGAATGCCATCCTTTATTTTTGTTCTTTTTTTAAGAATTGGGAAGTATGTGGATCAATGAAAGGAGAGGCATCTTTTCGTAACGGTGCAGTTGTGCAGAACTGCTCCGACACAGTGCCCCAATATATCGGGAATAGATAAAAATAATTGGTTTAATTGACAACATAGTCATTGTCAACCAACCAACTCTCTAGCTTTGCACATCCCAAATTCTGTCCCGTAAAACTCTATGCAATTATCCATTTTAAATTTAGCAATGATAGTAGAAAGTCAAACTTAATACTCTACATCTAATGGAGCCTTACTTAATGAAGTGGGAAAAGATTGCACTATGCAGTAATAAAAACGTGATAATTGAAAAATTTCAGGAAAATGACTATTGAAGATTATTTTCACTATCTGGCAGTAGGTACGACGATATTTAGTTCGATGACAATTGTTATACTACTATTTGCTGTTCCAGCAATTTATTTGAAGGCAGAACGAGAGCGCTCATATGCTATGACGAAATCAGCTAGTTTTAAAGTAAAAAATTCAAAGAGCATGAGAAATATTTTTGAATGAGAATGAGAAAATAAGATGCAAATATATTTTGATACGTTGACATCTTTTACAAGAATATTTTTCTTCTTCTACTATCCTTTCTAAATTGATCATATTTCCATATCGTTTCTTTCAGGAGAAATCAAATAAAATATGGACAGAAATGAAATCGGTGCGAGAAGAAGTTGGAGTAACAGTGATTCTTCGAGGACGTCGTTCTCATCCACACATTTTTAGCAGCAATAAACAAGTGGTGTGCTCAGGATGCATACAACTCGGGTTAGATTCTTCTTAACCAAAATAATTTCTAAAGATAGCCTTACTTAATTATATGTTTTCTTTCAAAATCAGTTTACCTAAAACCAAAAATATTCCAAATAAACAATGACAAAAAGGGACACGATGATCCGCTTCATCTGGAAGCTTTGCTGATTCGGTTGTACGTTGGAGACTTATAATTCACTTTGGTCTCAATAGAGCGCAACAATTTTTGGAACTTAAATTCCGTAAACTGTGATTCTTTTTTCCCGAAGAAAATTCCTACCAATTCGCCAGTTGCTAATTTATTTTAGGAACATAATGCATACGAAATTTTAGATGCCCCATAGGTCCACCTGGCCTTAGCGGACCTGCTGGTGAAGATGGAATACCAGGAATGACGGGTAAGCCAGGTTTACCAGGTGATGATGGCTATGATGTAGAGCTTACACCGGAAGAAGAGCTACCATGTGCAATTTGTCCTGCTGGACCTCCTGGACAAAGGTGCCGTTATTTTTTAATCAGTTGTCCAATTTATGTTTTTTCACATAAAACTTTAAGGAAAAACTGTAACCATGAGGAAGCTTTTTTTGATCTTTTAATAAAATGTGTAATCAGATTACAGAAATTATTAAAATTTGATAGATTATGTACATTTCGATGTAATTTACGGTATTTCTTATCTTTTCTAATCGCGCTGTATTTTAGAGGACTACAAGGTGAACGCGGACAACTTGGAGAACCTGGTCGAACTGGGGAACCAGGTCCACCTGGTATGTCAGGGGAACATGGGCCAATAGGGGAGCCTGGTCTGCCGGGATCACCAGGTCTCCAAGGTCCTATTGGTCTTTCCGGACCACCGGGTGATACAGTCATATCTGGTACTGGAATTAAGGGACCAAAAGGGCCACTCGGCCCTCCGGGTCCAAAGGGAGCTACTGGACTGCGAGGCAAGCCAGCAAAGGAATCTGGTTTCGCCGGAAAACCAGGAAATATTGGACCTGTTGGACCACCAGGACGACACGGAAAAATAGGCGAAGAAGGACCATGGGGACCACCTGGGGAACCAGGTTTGCAAATTTTCCTCTTCCGCGTGTATGCAGTTCCGGAAGAACTTAAAAATTGGTATGGATTTTCAGGTCAACCAGCAACATATTGTCCATCAGATTGTGGTGTATCACAGATATTCGCAGCACCACTAGTTAACGATTTTCTGGCAACAGTGAAAGACTAATAACAGACTGTCAAATAAATCCGGCTTTTTGATTTTTGAGTTTATTAAAAAGTCAAGCAAGCTGGTATATATTTGATTCTTGCCATATTGTCTTTTTGGTTTTATTTGAAACTATAAATTTTTTGCCGAAAATGGACGGAAAAAAGACTCGCAAAGTGCTCGAGAAATTTCTGTAAAATGTATAACTGTATTCAGATCATATCTTAAGAATTGTTTTTAAAATTATCAGTTTGAAGTTATGAGAACTAACCACATCGATAATTCGAATCAGTGATGCACCAAATTTAACTTGTACAGCACTGCTTGCATTTCGTACTGGTCTTACATTTTTGTTGTAGAAATATAATAAATCCTCATAGAGTTGATCTGCGTAACGATTACTTGACAAACCACTCACTGAAATGGTTGAAGAAGTAAGGCTGAACATTTGCTAAAAGTGATTTCACCTTTAAGTTTGCTGGATAACATTCACTGTATTATATTAGAATTATAATTGAGTAATAATCAATCATTGAAAGTTAAAACAGTACTCAAACTAAACCTTGAATTCTTACCATGCAATATTGCAACAATGAACTGCAATAGTCGTGATGCATTCATGATGAAAGATTATACGGTCGTGATAATATCATTACTGATAGGTCTTACGTAGTTCAAAAATTCTTTCAAATCCAGTCACACTTAAGCTCTAACCTGTCCTAAAGTAAATTTGGAGTCAATTCTCAATTTAAAGCGTAGACTTTCGAGATACTGCAGAATAATGAAGTATGGATAATTGTAGATCGATTGATGGAATCATTGCTCTCAACAACTGCACTAAACTTTCAAAACAGCTGCCAACTGCTACTACTGTTATTACCTCATTTTCCAGATACATCCACACGATACATTCCTGCAACGTGATATTACATTTATCGCAGAATAAAAACTTTAAGCTTGCCATCAAAAAAAAAAAGCCGTGCGGTTGGACCATTGAAAAACTCGAGTAGTAATAACATTAGATTTACATTTATTAGCTGTTTCATGTCATTTGGGCTTGAAAATTTGGCTTTGTTATGCGAATATTTTGACTGCCCATCAACGGCCGATTATCAATGAATGTGTGAGAAAACTGCAAAGATAATCCAACAACTTGTAAAAAAATTCTACTCATCGAAAATGCAGCAATACAAACTCATTTTTCGATCGATGATTTTTTTTTTCAGAATGCTATAAATTTAGATAACTCGAACAAGATTCATTACTTTTTATATACTGCTATTACTACTGCCACTATCACTATTACTACAATTTCTATGTATCCTTCAAATAATATCAGGCTAGTTCGGGAAAACAAGACAAACGATGAAATAATTTTTTCTTTCAAAAAATTCAACTTTTGTTTATTTTCTCATTTCCAACTACTTCAGTTTCTTACCCAAAACAATTAAATCTGGTTTTAAAATCTCGGCCATTGCGTCAGCAATTGCAACCATCTTAATACAAAATGGGCTAAGAACTGACCGTACGATTAGTGTTTGATCCAGTAATTGCTAGTTTACAGTAGCACATAAGAAATCTTTGCTAAACTTAACGTGAAACTATCCAACTTCAATCTAACGTGTTCGACATTCATCATGATAACCTTCTTCACGTCCCTTTCTTTGCTTATATCAGTAACTCAGAGTGCGCCATTGGAAAATACCAGACTAATCTCCCCTGATCCACATAATAACGTAAGCAAGATATTTTGGAGAGACAACAAGATACGATTCAAACGGCAATTTGATGGATGTGGACAGTACTGCTGTTGCACAACGTATGTTACTATTTCTTCACTCAAGTAACAGAAAAATTTATTATTAAAAAAAACAGCAACAAAGGCTGTTGTTTTAAAAATCCTTCAAATTTCTCAAAAAGTTGATTCAGACTCTGATATCTACCTTACAGCTACAAGTTAATGATTGTTAAGAAGGTAATAGACATCTATATTCATTGAGGACGAATATCTCAACGGAGATATTTTCACCGTCCTCAATGAATTTCTAAATTTAAATAAGTTGACTTATTTTCAAATCTGAAGATTTTAGAGTTGATGAAAATAGTTTAGCCTATTTTTCATATTAGAACAAAATGATAAGGACTAATGTCCTGAATTGGAATTTCCAGTTTTTGCTGCTGTATCCAACGTTTTTCACCACCTCCAGCAACCTTGCCACCTACAACAACACACTTACCTCTACCACCTGTCTGCTGCCAAATAAGCCAGCATATATGCTGCCTGCCAGAACCACTGGTCATCCAACCACCGCCAATCTGTTGTATGCAAACAAGTCAAGTGTTGGTACCACAGCAACCAATACCTGCGCCATTATCTGCACCCTTACCAGCGATTGGGCAAGGAGCGACAATTCAATTGTCATCGCACATATTCTGACCTGCACAAATTGGCAGGTCAGAATGCTGCAACTGTTGTCCGTGCTTTGGTAATGGACGCAAAAGGCGCTCTCTGTTTTTCCTCCGACACAAACTGGATGAGTCAAAGTAAATAACTCTCCAGTACGATAGTTTAAACAAATTAACGATCTAACAAGGCTTCAACCCTAAAAATTGGATTTCATGAAAGAGAAAAAAATTTGGAATGAAATTGAAGTCATTGATTGCTTCATATTGTTTGTCAAATTTACTCTTACAATCTTTCTGTTTCAATAGCAACGATTATTCCATTATTCATTCATACTTTACATTATATTTGTAATCTTTATAAATATCTGCATATGTGAATGAGGAAGATATTCTATAAATATTCTCCAAAACGTTGAAAGGAAATATGTTGAAATGCGAAGTAAAATACTTAAGAAGCGAAATCAGGAACTAAAAGCATCATGACGCGAGAAGCTGAATAGAGTAACGTGAAATTTAATTTCAACCATTTCGAATTTAAACTCCTAAAACTGATTAAACAAGTTTCAAACCTAAGCACCTCTTATTGTCTTTCATGTACTGCTCTCAAAACTTCAAATAATTATGAAGAAAAATTAAATCATTTTTAAAAAGTCATTGAAAGAGTTAAAGCTGAAAGTCACTTTTAAACAATCTGTGAAATTTTTCTCGAGCGATGTTTAGACCATATATAGCAAACAAAGACAATCAGTAAAAACATGAATTTTTACGTTTCTCTTACATTCATGTCAATCATCTCAGTATTCTATTCTTTTTTTGAAACAAACATTTCAAAAAGCAATGAGATGCGAAAAACTTTCCATAATTTGCATTGTGATAATTCCTGACTAATTGGACAGTAATAGCCATTACATTTTTTGACGGACCATTGCATTGATAGTTTCTTTTCCGAAACAGCAGAGTTCAGCCTACTTTCTACAAATAATAATTTAAAAAAGCAAAAATTAAGGGCAAGCCAGCAATGCAGAATATTTGCACGTGATCAGTCAATCATACCGAAAGCATGACCATAAAAGAGATCAAAGTAAAGACGGTTCGTAGACACAATTAAGATACTTCCAGAATATCTTCCTAAAATTTTGTCCTAAAAAATATTAGTTTTTCCTGGATAAAGTGAATATAAAAACTAGTAATTTGAGCAAGGTTTGTATTCTTAATCGCAATTTGAAAAAAGTTCAATTCTGGAAGTCGAAATCCAACCCCCCGCATAATTTGGTTATTAGTTTTGTCAGGTTTTTCATTAATAATGAAGTCGTTATAGTTGACTGGTGACAAAAACAAACCTTATTGCTCGACGTTGCAAGGACTATTATTTGGTATCAAATTATATTAAGCAACACAGTTTATGGTAGAGAAATTTGGTTGGGATTCGCTTTAGATCAGAGGTTACTTCGTTGTAACGGGAGTAGTGAGACTAGTCGAATTGAAGTTCGTTGTCCATCAAAACTAAATGAGTAAAGACCTACCTGTCGAATGATCTTTACTCTTTACTTAGTTAAGTTTAACATAAGACTGAATGTTAGGTTAGGAAACCTCTACAATGTTTCGATATTGCATGCAGATTTGGGTTAAAATAAAAGAACACAGACTCTTTATTAAAAACTGTGACATTAAAGACAATGCAGATAAGCTCAGCTATAAATGGAAGATGGGTGTTGGATAAATGACTGCTTACATGATATACAATTTAGAACAGTTTTAAAGAACATTCAATTAAGACAATCTTTAGTTCTTTAGATTTAATAGAATTTTATTTTGACAAATCATTATAATTCGGTTTTTTCTCACAAGTTTATTTGGAAGCAGTTGAATTAGGGATATTAAAATAAATATTCTACAAGAAGTAACATTACAGAAATGTTCTAAGATGCGGGTGGAACGAGTCAGAAACAAATTACACTAAAAAATACTAAAAGAGATATTATTTTGTAAGTCTGGTAAATTATCATCGCATAATTATAGGCATAAGCCTACGGGACAAAATGATTTATAAATGCTCGGTGGTTTCCAAACCACTGCACCGGTGTAGTAGACTAACGCATCACTCATGATCGTTATGTGCGGTTCGCCATCTGCGCTGAAATGAAAGTAAGACTCGATCTCATCCACGTAAATAGTAGCAGAAGAGCTAGTAATATCCGCCATTAATTGACAATATATTATTACTGATAAGTGATTTCAAATTCCAGATAATTTACTTGTTATACAACAGGATATCCGGTATCCATATCTGATCAGATGGAACATGAAGTTTTCGAATATTACCGTACATTCACTGCCATAAGATTATATTCCCTGAAAGGATTTGCTTAAAAACAAGGAAGTGAAATAGGATCATTCATGAATTACCTGCACAAAACCTGATCAAGCCGAAGATCATTTGTCGCAGATGTCTGTTTAAGCTACTACAATTTCATTCCCTGTCATCCGAACTAGACATAGCACCAATTATAAAATAATCTGTAGCTTGATCGAACCGGACGAAAAGTCCAGGTAACTCTGAAGTAAAAGTAGTATTAGCTTACTTATAAAACTGAGCCAAAATATAACCTAAGGCATCTTTTCTTCATACTCAAGAACGCTCAACATGAAGGAAAAGCATCAGACTGCCAACGTTCGTGCCCCCACCATTCCTGAAGTCACTACGACTCACATCTATCTGCTACTTCCAGTGCACGCATCACGATCACGTGGTACATATATATGTGAAGTACCCATAATACTTCATGTGATCAGTCGTGTTTTTTCACGAATGATATGCAGTGAAAATTAAGAAAACATATGAAGAGTATATTTATATTGTAAACATCCATAACAACAAATAGGAATGGTACAATGAACTTATTTCAAACAAATTTCTGAAATCAACAGTGCAATCGTCATACCCGTAAAAACGCAACCTACCGAAGCACTGCTATGTTCCAACTTAATTCAGCAGTTTATTCACTAGTTTACTTAATACACAATGCCATTTACAAAATAGCTAAATAAAAAAAGCTGTGACAGCAAAAAAAGGAAAGTGTAAATCATGCTAAAGATAAGTCGAAATTTTCCTTGCAACTGTTGAGATCACATTTTTTGCAATTGTTGACATTGTTGAGATACAAAAATAAAAATTTACACAATACTGCTGAAGCTAAAAGATCTTCAAACTATTACATAACCTAAACAATGGATTCAGCAGCTGACAACCAGAACGGTAATACAAGAAAAACTATATGTTTCAAATATAACAATATAGAAACTGAAAATTTAACAGTTCTTCACAAAATTTGCAAAATATCAATTTTTTGTTGACATAATCAAAACTGGTTGCTCATGATTATAACAAATCCTGTTGATGAAATTGCGCATGATAAAATCTTGTTGAATGAATATTAATGAACTAATCGCCAGGTGAGTATTGAGGAGAAGATGGACTATACTGCGGTGATGATGGAGAATACTGAAAATCTATTTTAACTAACATGATTTAGAATTTTTTGTTCAGTAAAACGCAGATATTTGGTAAATGCTAGCTTTTTTAACGAATTTAGCAGCTGATGCTAATTTTAATGCTAAAGTTAATGATTTCATCGAAGACGACAATTATTTCTTGACAAGGGGGGATGAAATTTAAAAAATTACTTGTGTATTCTAATACTTATGTACCCTCTAACACTTTATAGTCACTCACTATATCAAAAGTAGTTCTTCCTGGTTAAAATGGAATAGGTCACTGAGGAAATAAAATTCTTCCATTTAAGATTAACGAAACAAAATACCTGTGGTGAACTCGGTGAGTATTGGGGAGATGACGGACTATACTGTGGTGAACTTCGCGAGTACTGAAAAAATTCATCAATAACAACAGTTGCAAGATATCGATGAAAACAAAATTTTTGGAAATAACCTTTTTTCTCTAAAAATGAACTCAAAAACCCGAACGAACCGAAGTGCCTGCTCCACCTGGCGAACTTGGACTATACTGAGGTGATGTCGGTGAGTACTGCAAATAAAAAACCATCACTATACATGTGAATACAAGATAAATCAAAAATACCTTAGACTGTCAATATAAAGATTATGAGCATAAAGCGATGAAGTCATTCGTGCGAGTTCAACCGAAATATGGAGAATGCTTACTTATAATCAAATTTTGAACGAGAAAAAATTCCTAACCTGTGGACTTGATGGACTGTATCTTGGAGAAGATGGTGAATACTGTGGCGACGTTGGCGAGTACTGAAAGAAATTAATTTCAATAATAAATGTGGTTAAGTGTGGAAATAATTTGAAAATAGTGAAACATTCTTTAAAATAATAAATCCTTTCTTGATCATTTCAGTTTTTTTTTTTTCTCTTGAACATAAATGTAAACAACTTACCGCAGGTGAGGCATCGCCAGCTGGTGAACTTGGTGTGTATTGCGGTGACGATGGTGAATACTGTAAAATTATTTAAAATGCTTCAAAAATTAGAAATTTTCAGGAATTTTGGCTATAAAGTGCTATTATGCTAATATTAATCAATTAATGCATTAATGGAGATTCCTAGAACATACCTGTGGGCTACTCGGACTGTACTGTGGCGATGAAGGACTGTATGCTGGACTGGTAGGACTGTAGGTTGGACTTGTCGGAGAATAACGGGGAGAAGATGGAGAATAACCTAGACGGTTTAAATTAATGCAATTTCAAAAATAACTATTTCTATTTTGAGCAAAATATGATAGCATACTTTCTATTAGTGAATTTTAAAGCATGGCTAAAAAATAAAAAAGAAAGGTTAAAAAAGTAATTGTACTAACCAGGAGAAGCAGGGCTGTAAGATGGGCTCGTTGGACTATATGTTGGACTAGTTGGAGAATAAGCAGGTGACGTAGGACTGTATGTTGGGCTTGTAGGACTATAGGCTGGTGAAGTAGGTGAATAACGAGGAGACGATGGAGAATAACCAGGTGAGGCTGGAGAATAACTTGGTGAAGTCGGTGAATAAGCTGAAAATACTTAATAATATTGAAATGAAAAGCTACGTTGGGTAAACAATAAAAAGCAAACTGCCGTTGGGAATTAAAAATTTTCAGTGCTGAATTAATCTTACATGGTGAAGTTGGAGAATAACTTGGACTAGTCGGTGAGTAGCCTGGAGAGGTAGGACTGTAACTCGGAGAAGTCGGTGAATAACCTGGAAAGATAAATAAAGCAATAATTTAAGACCAACTGCAGTTAATATTTTAAATGATCATAACGCAAATAAATATAAAGAAATAAAATCCACACCACAAAATAATATAGTAATGAAAAAACTAAAATTTGCAAATATTGTCACAATAATAAAAACATCATAAAAGATCATAGTTTTAGGCTGACAACTGAAAAAAAATTTTTTTTAATCTACTAACTTTCACCATATAAAACATTAATTACCACGAAACAGATTCTGATTATCCGGTTCAGAAGTTTCGGAAACACCGGAAAGTTTGTTCAAATCTATTCAGAATTTTATAAAGAGCGGCATAAAATGACATACTAGGTGAAGTAGGACTGTAACTTGGTGAAGTAGGCGAATAACTTGGAGAAGTTGGAGAGTAACCTAAAATTTAATGAAATAAGTGCATCTGCAAAACTTGATCAGGATTTAAAATCAACTGGAACGAAATAATTTACTTCTCATTTGAGTACTAAGCACTGCTAAAAATAGCACTAATAAATATTACTTGGACTGGTTGGGGAATATCGTGGACTCATGACACCATAAGCAGGTGATGAAGCACCATAAGGAGATGCTGGACTAGTCGGCGAATAACCTGGACTACTTAGTCCTTCCAAACCTGAACCGTAATCACTAGCTGCTGGAGAATAAGCACCGGCACCGGATGGTGACATTCCTCCAAGCGATCCACCAGGTGAGCCTGGGCTCCAACTTCCACCGCCTCTAAAAATCGTCTGATCAAAAATCAAAACAAAAAACTTCATATTCCGTAATCCTTCCCACGTCCCATACTACAGTCCTGCGGTAGAAGGAGGAAATATGATACCCATAAGGTGAAAAGCCTCCTTCGCTGTGTCCTGAGGGTGAAAAACCTGCTCCACCTGGAGTCATTCCTGAACCAGTTGCTGGACTCCATGCAGCTCCATAAGCAGGTGTTGTGCCGGCATTCCATGGAGTTTGTGCTGGGCTCATTGCTGAGCTAAAAATTAAAACAATTTCATATCATATTAAAAATCTACTATTATTCCTTAGAAAGGAAGGTATTAAATGTCAGTCGTTTCATATTGCTCAAAAATAAATTATAAATTTAAAAAATTCAAAAAACACCTTGCTGGAGACATGGAACTGCCAAAATACATTCCACCAGTACCCAGAAGCCCGCCACCAGTTTGTATTTCCATAGCCAATTTACATTTGTCAGCATCGAGAACCAAATCGAAGCAGCCCGTGCCAGCTCTAGCTAACTGACCCAGCATGATGTTCTCAGATACACCTAAAAATATGAGCTTCTATTCCCACATGCAGCAAGAGAGTTTAAAGCCTTTTGTCATCAGGAATCCATTTGATTTGTTTAATTATTTAGTGATAAGATCGAAGTTACGCCTATACAAATAACTCCCCTTCCCGTTTCCTATTTTGAATAGTGTTGCACTATTCTAAAATCATCCCTATCCGTTGAATTTAAAACCGTTTCAAAGAAGCTTTCTTACTCTTCCAAAAAAAAAACTCGATGATTACATGAATTCTGTTGGAAATATTTCGAAAATTTCTCAAGAAATTATGCGTCAGTACTCTTCGAGATTTCTTAAAACTGTGATTTGCATGAGTTATTCGCCTTTTTTTTTTTTTAACGAGGTTACCTTTTACAGGATCCTGCTCAGCGTGAACCGCTGCCTCCATGAGAATGTCAACAGTTTCTTCAAATGAACACCGCATAAGAGCTCCTACTTCTTGTCTGTTAATACCATGGCGAGTGATTGCCATCAGGTGGCCTAAATTCACAGTTTTTCAGTTAGTGTGTATTCAAAACAAACTACATAAATACCTGCTATTTAAATCCAACTGCAGATAGCATAAATGAATTTGTTCTTATAAAAAAGGAAACCTTCAATACAAATAACAAAAATACATCAGTCGCGAAATGAATTTACCCTTAGCGGTCATGACATCGCACAAGAGAGCCAAATGTCTGTAATTAACATAGGAACCATCAAACGAAATGACATGATTCATTTCACGTTCAATAGCTTTCCGAACTGCTTCAATTCCCAAAACTTCGAATATTTCACATATATCGTTGGACGTCGTACGTATCGGGTCCACATTTTGTTCACTCAGTACCTTAGCTAAGGCAGTACCATCAGTTTCTAGAAGCCATTCTGGAATTGCCTTAAAACCACCATCCGGAGTAATCACAACTCGTTTTTTGTCATCAGTTGTTGGTTTATGCATGTATACTTTGGTAATAGCTTCAATACCTTGAAGCGTAAGGTCACTGAGCATATTGGTTTCAATACAACGCAAGAACACGTCATCTTCCATTCGCTCCACTTGTTCATCTTCATTACCCTTGTCACCTTCCTGATTGGTGATACGCAAACGAAATACAAGTTTTTCTGCATTATCATCTGTATAAATGACATTCAGATCATCACCAAATCCCTGATGTATCTTATCTGCAATTGCTTCCATCGTTAATTTCTTATCAGTCATGCGTCGACGATCCAATTCGATACGCAGAAGCCATGGACTGCATCGAGATGGATCAAAATCCGGCATTTCATAGAAAATGTTTACCCATTCCTGATCTTCTTCAATTATGGTATTCTTCGGGTCTGGATCATAATAAATTGCTGTATTTGCAGTTACCTTTCGTAATGTTGTATGTTCCAACTTACACAGTACGTCCTTAGCCTTTTCAGCATCTCTGAAATTTAAAACTAATTTTATCTTCTATTCATCAAGTTATATTTATTTGTCCTTTTTAAACAAGATAGATCATCCAATAACCAAGTAATATCGCCACTTGTTCAAATAAAAATTTTTTACAAAGTTTCGGATAAAAACGACAAACTTCGCAGCAGTTCCCTGCAGAAAAACTGTTAATGAAGGTGTTTTCGGCTTCTTCGAAACATTGATGATTTCTTTAAGCCGCGGTACGCCAAGTGTGACATTTTTGGCCGAAACGCCAGCGTAATGAAAAGTATTCAGAGTCATCTGCGTAGCTGGTTCACCCAAACTTTGAGCTGCTATTGCACCAACCATTTCACCGGGTTGCACAATTGCTTGTTTGAAACGAGATTCAATTTCACCAATAAGCCATTCGAAGCCTTCCGAATTCAAACGATGTTTTTCAGCCATCCTTTTTGCACAGAGTGTTGATCGTAGTAATATATTCATTAGAAGAGTAGCATTATATTGAGCCTAAAGGATATTTATTTGAGCATCGTCTCAAAAGGAGAAGTGACCAACTTGAAATCAATATTTCAATAAATGATATTTTTTATTTAGCTAAATAGAAAAATTTTAACTTTGGGTATAATGTAAATGATTCCCTTCCCAATTAATAGCATGAAATTGTAATGGTTAAATTCTTTTCTCTGATTAAGTAAAGGAAAAAAAAAATCATAAATTTATACGATCTATTTTTTCCTTTCAGGGCGACTAATTTACCTGCTTGCTGATTCGATCTTCACCGCTAACAATAACGAGCTTTTTGCTAAGTTCTTTAACACCTTCAATTACACGTAGCGGATTAAGATCAGTCGGCTTCCGAAGTTCTACACGAAATATTTTCTGAGCATTCCAAATCATGCGTTGCAAATTACACGGCAACACAATTTTAGCGTCCCCCTGGAAGACAGCACCAGAAAAACGATGAAAAAATAAATTCAAATATATCTTATTCAAATATAAACAACAAATTTATACCATGCATTAGCCATGGAACAAAATGAATATTTAAATTGCTTAAATGATTTCAAGAACAAATTTATTTTCTGAAATATCATGCAACACCTACTTTCAAAAGCAGGAAGAAATCTGCACAAACTTCTTTTCAACCTTTCATGATTAGATAAATAAGTTCGGTTAATATCACCTATAACAAATTACACAAATAAAACATACACCACAAAAAAATAACACGCAGAATTAAATAAATTACCTTAGGGAATATTTTTCGAAGCAGTCGACGATCTTCTTCAAGTTGTCCCCATTCAGCTTCTACTTCTTTAAGCGCTTCCGCAGATCCTTGTAATTCGCGAACAACGTTTTCAGTGTACAATTTACGCAATGATCTATTAAAAAAAAAAATTAGAGAAATAGTTATTAAAAAAAAAAAAAAAAAATTAGAGAAATAGTTATTAAAAAAAAAAAAAAAAATTAGAGAAATACTTTCCTGTACAAAATTTTAATTTCCAAAAAGTGGATACCGAATTCGAAATAAAAACTCACTTTTCATCCGAAAGATCCAACTTAAACTCTTTTTCAAACAAGGCATTTGTTGGCTTCATACTAGGCATAGATTGATTTTCAACCCACATACCGTCTAGACCGTCCTCACCATATCTAAAAGTAATTTCATAAATCGCAGATTGTTGTATTTAGATCGAATTCATCACGAATTCAAAAAGCTATATAGAAACCACCACACAATCAAATCTCAATTTTCCTAGCATTTTTATATGCTACACCTTCCCTGGACTCAGTTAAACAAAACACTCAAAATATTGCAACCATGAGTACTACCAACATAATAAAGTGAAGCAGTTCGTAATATTTGTGCACATCTTTATTTCCATTCATTGTGGTGGGAAACAAATTTTGCTTAGTACTAAATGGTACTAAGTGGAATAAGCGTCAAAGAATATAAAGTGGAAGTAAGTGAAAAAATATGATGGATCGTATGGAAATTAATTTTACCTCAACTGCACTAACTGCCCAAGCGAATTACGCACAGTACCATCATAATTGACCATTACACTTTCCATAGCTTTGATCAGGCGACGCTGAATGTAGCCAGTTTCTGCTGTCTTTACTGCAGTATCGATAAGGCCTTCACGACCTCCCATAGCATGAAAAAAGAACTCCGATGGAGTCAGCCCTGCCAGATATGAGTTCTCGACAAAGCCTTTCGACTCTACAATGCAAATTTTATTACTTCAATCCATTTATTTCATTGCACCTGATATATACTTAATTTTACCACCCTATATAGTTTTATTATTGCAGCGCATAGAATACAAACATATTACATCTCGTAAATTCGCATATATTTATTAATGAAATAAATAAGCTCATCTATTTCACAAAAAATTAAAAATTTAATAGTGATAAATAAAAATCAAAATGTAGAACAAATTACCGGGTCCGTAATCATCTTTGATAAAATGAGGTAAAGTTCTGTGGCGGAAACCGAATGGAATACGTTTACCTTCAACGTTCTGCTGCCCCACACAAGCTATGACCTGGAAGTTGATAATTTAACGCTAATTTTTAAAAAAGATATTCAGAGTCACGACAAGATTAACTAATATTTCAATGACGACCTGTTCTGTAGTAAGGAATCTTTGTTACTAAATTTTTATTCTCTAGAGTAAAACATTTGCCGTACTTGCGAAATATTGATTTTGGATCCCTTAGAACCGGCAACAACCATAGCTTTGAAATTGTTGTATTCGGACAAAGAACGTTGTGCACTACCACCGGTACGATCACGTGCATCATTCAGTATACGATTCACCATATTTTCAAAGGTCTGTCGCAGCGTATTACCTGGAGTTGGTTCCAACTCATCATTATGTGCTCTGAAAAAGTCTCCCAATAATGATTTTAGCGATATACGGATAAAAAGAATTCAAAAACTGTTAAAAAACCATTTTTTTTTTTTTCAAAGTATTAGCAGAGAGATTTCCATTTCATCTATCTTTCCATACTGCAATTTTGGACAAAAGTTATGCAACGATACAGAGAAACTTATAAACAACAAAAATTCACTTTTCAATAACTTCTACGACATCCAGCTTCGCTTTTCGGATCGTTTCTTGAATATCACGATATGTAGCTTGATCAGCAATAGTATCACCAATACCAATAGTATGTCCTTCAGCAAGTAACCAGGCATTAACAACCGTCTGTATATGTGAATAAAAATGTGCCGCAACTTCCCAGCCGAGTTCTAGCGTGACAACATGCAACAAATTACCAGCTGAACGACCAATTGTTCGAGAACAAATAATTCCCGATAATAATTCACCGTGTTCAATGATCACCTACAAATGGTCCCTGAACTCATTAAATATGCACCCTACGCAAGCAATGACTACTCATAAAAATGAATTATCAATATCTGATTTTCAACATAAGCAGTGCCTTAGGTTTAATTTTAATTTTATTCGTTTTTTTTTTTTTTTTTAAATTTTGCTTATGTCATAACTTTACTTATAACTGATTCGTTTTTTTTTTTTTTAAACTTTTACTTAAACGATCTACTTCAACAAAAAAGATTAATTTAATCAGCATTGCACTGCACGGACGTCGAAATTTCACCTATTTTAGTTTTAAGTGGAAAACTAATGCGAACGCAAAAATTCTACCTTAGTATCACCAGGAGAAATCCACTTGTAAGGACCGTTATCCTCGTCATCTGGATGAGTTGAGTGAGTTCGCAATACATTTACATTACCTATATTAAATAATTTAGCAAACAAGGGCTGGAATAAAAACATTTAAATAATTACGGGTCAAACTACATTTGATATTTCACTGTCATAAAAGTTACGTAGTCTGGAATCGAAAAAAAAAAAACAATGTCAACTATCTCTGGAATCACTAAATTTTGATTTGATTCTTGAAATATGTAAATATATTAGGACGTCTAAAAATGCTTAAATGTCACAATTATAATTATCAGTGAGCTTCGGAAAATTTGTAAAATGGGCACGTAGCCCAAGCAGATTAAAATAGAGGGGAAAAAATAACCAAACATACCAGGAATGATAAGAGTGAACACTTGTTTTCCAGTCCATAGCGGTTTTGGCTTCAATATAGCAGGCTGGGGAACTTTTCCATCCCAGTTTGGCATCTGCATAAGCAGATCCATCATTCGTGGTAATTCAATAAACACATCACGTTTAGTCATCATGCGGACAGCAGTAAGTGTATCTTGAACAATACCCATCACTGGTTTGTTTGCTTGTGGTGTAATTAGCTGCCTGTAAATTAATTCAATTTCTTTTAATATGATTACCGAGTAAATAGAATAAAAGAATTTGCCACTGAATCATTTACAGAAATTCATTTTGACTAAATGACCTTGGCACCATTGCAATTTCAGAAACTTCGGCTTTCGTTTCTAAACTTTGCGGTAAATGTAGATTCATCTCATCTCCATCAAAATCAGCATTGTAAGGTGTTGTTACGGAAAGATTCAAACGAAATGTTGACCATGGTAAAATCTAAAAAAATATTTCATTACAAATTTAACTTCCAGTATTTATTTTTTGACTTTAAAGTCATGTGTCTTTCTTATATTTTGTTACGGTAAATTGTCACAAAGTTATTTATGATGTAGAAATTTCTTTGCATTCAACAAGTTCCCTCATTTCATTTTAATTGAAAATTTTATTTTTGACCATAAAAATGTTCCGGACTGTTGCAAATTATGACCTTAACTTTGTGACCCATCATTGACATTTTGTGCAGTGTTGGCTGCCGGTTGAATACAATAATATCACCATCTTTCATGTGTCGTTCCACTCTGTAATGAAAAGAATTAAAAGAATTTTTAAATGTTAGACGACAAAAAGCAGTAATCAGTAGAAGTAAAGATAACTACCACATCGCATAAACTATAAAATAATTCGGCCTTAGTATTACCTGTAACCAGGTTGCAGATGAAGATCTGCTGCTCTTGGATGATAACGTAGATCCACTCGAGCACCATTTTCGCGAATGATATATTTTGCTCCTGGATACTGACTATCACCACGATTTACCAATTCTTGTAATCTAAAAAGTTTATACAGCTTTGATTTCCAAAAAAATATTATCGACTTTAGTTTCTGAGATCTAAGACATTATACCAAACATGAATTAAAAATAAATCAGAACTAACTTGTCGATGTTGAAAGGTGTGACAATCTCTGGGAATGTCATATTTTGTGCAATGGTACGTGGCACACCAACTGTATCTATAGGTAGGTTTGGATCCGGTGTAATCACAGTGCGAGCTGAGAAATCCACTCGTTTACCCATCAAATTCCCTCTGATTCTGCCTTCTTTCCCTTTCAAGCGTTGTTTGATTGATTTTAGTGGTCGGCCTCCTTTTTGTGTAGCCTAAATCACCATTTTCTTACATTTTCAGTTTCCTAACACACACACACACACAAAAAAAAAAAAAAAGACTAAAAATATCAAAAGTTAATCTATCGTAATAGCTGCCACAATAAATTGCAGTTAACACTAATTAGTAATGATCCATATTTTCAAAAAATATACTGTACATAGTAAGAAAACTGCAAATAAGTGGAGTCGTTACCGCAGGAAGACCGGGAATGGAATTATCAATCAGTGTAGCTACGTGATACTGCAAAAGTTTGACGTCTTCTGCAAGAACGTGCGCAGCTGCTCCATTTGCTTCATTTCTAAATTATAGCTACATTGTAATCACTAACATAGAGTTTGGATTTCCACTGACCAGCCATATATCTTAAAATTCAAGAAATTTCAAATGATAAGATTGATCAGATAATTTCAATCGATAAATATAAATCTTGATTCAACAGAAATACCGCTTCAGTTGATTGTTAGTCTTCACTACATCGGACAGTTTATGTGTTAAGTCGTCCTGGTTACGCGCTGAACCAAACGTAACTACAGCAGGTCGGACAGCTAATGGGGGCACTGGAATCACTTGTGCAATCATCCAGTCTGGTCGAGCATATCGTGGATCCATACCTAAAATATATTTCATAATAAATATTGGTTCTAACATTATAACACTATACTCTAACAAACTATCAATCCACAACGAATTATACATCTATTATGTTACTGTTTATTAAAGTTTATTGAATATCAAGAGACTTATTTAAAAAATCACCGAGTATGAGACAATCGGAGTCTGAAATGGACTTGAAAATCTCCAGTGCTCGTTCTGCAGTTAAAACAATTTTTCTTTCCTGCAATATCATTTGTGTGAATTAAATTGTGATATAAAACAACAGAAACGAATTTTATTTTGCCCATTCAACTAAACTTAGTTTTTCTTAGGTCAAACTAACGTCAGAAAAAGTTTTTATCTCAAAAAAAAAAAAAAAACCTGCGTGTCTTCGTTGATGTGCTTCTTCCATTCTGCTATAATATCTATCCCAACTCGCTTGTACGAGGGTTGATATCTACCACAACCACCTGATTTGATTTCTCTCTCACTTTCCTCACCATCCTAAAAAAGAATATGATGCAAAAAAGTTGGATTTTGATTAAATTTGAAATTTCCACTGATTAAAAACTTTTAATAATCTGCGAAACAAAGCAAAATCATTATTATACCATTTTATTAACTTACATAAATATGCCTCATAACCAAAATCTGTCAATAAGTAGTCCACTAATACTGATTAATGAACGACTGGGTAATCATAAGGCACCTGAAACGATCACTGGACATTTCAAATTTAGTGGTTTTACACTAAATTGATACATCGACCAACCGTTATTTATCTTATTATTTGTCTATTTTTTTTTTAAATTTAATAAAGGTTTAGAGGTTTACAATGAACTGGCTGGAAAGCCCTAAACCACTACTAAAATTTGAAAACCGAAGTGAGGGCTTCAACTGACATATGATTACCCAACAGACTCAATACAAAGTGCTGCAGGATTACCTACTATGTTTTAGAACACCTTTATAAGCTGATATAATAATCTCTATTTTTCCGTTTGCATTGACTACTCATCGAAATGCTGTAATTGATAGAAAAAAAAAAAAATACCTCTCCTCCAACAGCATGCAGCTCGTTGCCACCTTCACAAACAGTTTTCGATTTGCATATTTCATAAATAACGGCCAGCCTGCGGCGTGCATTTCCAGCAGTTTTTCTGAGCAATTCTTTCACTCGAGGACTATCTTTATCTACCATTAATCTGCTGCAGTAGAAACATACACAACGTAAAAGCTGCAAAACACAAAAATATAAATAGTAAAACTTATAAGTAAAACGGTGCACTTCTAATATCAAAAGTGTTTATCTCTTCCAGTTCTTCACGTGTATAGAATTACATATAATATATTTTTCAATATAAGAATTACAACACAACGTAGATAAACATGAGTTATTACCTTCAATGTTTTACTCAAAAACCCGATATGAAATACAGGTTTGGCAAGTTCAATATGTGCAAAGTGTCCTGGGCAATCAGCTAAGCTACCAGCGCAAGTCATACAACGTCCTCTTCGATCGACTACGCCTTGTCGTGGATCCATCAACCCGCCTAGCTTTGGTTTCCCATTTTCATAAATTTCGGAAAATTCAATTTCTCCAATTGACATCCGCTTCTATATAACAAGCTGTGCCTTATATGCTTGTGAAATATTTAAAATGCAAATGACTTCCAATCTTAATATTTTTAGTTTAGAAGTTGACCTACAGTTAAGCTGAGAATGATATTACAATAGAGAAACGTAGTACCAAGCTTCACAGACACTGAGCTAAATTAAAGACTTTCAAATTTTATAAAAATAAAATTCACTAACGATTTCATCAGGACTAAGTATACCAAACTGCACCCTTTTCACAGTGCGTAAGGGTGCACGAAAATCAACACCAACAAGAGCCATGGATATTGCTCTGTCTTCAATTAGCAACTGATAATGAACAGATTCTTTGCAATTTATCTAAAAAAGAAGTACATTTAGTAATCCTATGTGCTTGACTTCCGAAAGACACAAAGAGGTGTTATTCTGAAACTGTCCACGTACAGTCGATTACGAAGAGGTGAGAACCTTCTTCACGTGTAAAAACGCAACTTAGCATCATTTTTTCCAAGCCAAAAAAAAACTCCACTATCGCTAGACTCTAATCCCTAACAACAACAATCATCAGCAATTTAATTTCTTGAACTTAACAAAACCAGCAGACGAGCTATGCTACGATTCATCTTACTGTGCAAGGTACGTTGTGCAAATGCATCGATCAAGCGCTTGCAGTTATCTCGGGAGACGGGAATGGCTGGATAGTTTGCTTCATTGCCAACTAAATTTTTAAGAAATCGGATTTTTATTTGCTGTGTCATGTCATAGTGCACTGTAACTAGTATTTTCACTCACACTCATATCTGATCACTGAAATATCACTTCGATATTCTGACGCTCTAGCAATAGTTATCTTGAAACTTAGTAATGGAGGGATCAAAATATATGCTTTTTAATACTAGACGAATCTGTCATGGTGCATCAGTTTTACTAATCTTCCTCGATGAGATAAGTTAGGTCGGATTGCCTTAATAACATTTCATTAGTTCATTATGAGCAAAGCAGAATTACACCGGAAGTAGACATTTACCTTAAGATTTGCTCTTCGTATCATTTTGCTTTTTACATCAATCAACCGAAATGACTGGCACTGCTGTCAGCTGATCAGCTTACATTTGTTCCTCTCCTTCAGTCAATTACAATGTTTGTATAGCATTAACGTTCCTTTACTTTTTCATTCTTTACTTTAAGTGAATTGATCTTTCAGCTTTTAATTTTTGATTTAGAGTCGAATTCCTCCATTAATCTCTGAACTTTAACTTCGAATCAACTAGATCTGAAGTAAAAACAACGAAAACTTTAAAATCTATCAATATAAATCAAAAATCAATAGGAATACCCCAGTATTTTGCTTATGACAGTGTTAACACTAACCACAGTCTCTGCAACACTCTGTCTATAATAATTCGGTCGGAACTAGATTCTACATTGATCATTAAAAAACTTCATTCTTCAATAGCCAGCAACAGCAGTAGCATCTCAATTTATGAATTGAGTTAATCAACAAAGGTCTGTGAAATACTAGAAAAATAATTCAAATTTGCTTGCAAGGGTTTTATCATACACTTTGATCTACTTTTTTCACTTAAGTTAATTTGAAGTAGTGAACGGTAGCACTTGCATTTGTAAAATTTGTTACAATCCATGAAAGATGCACGTATTATACCAGAAGTATAGCAACAGATTTCAGGAACGGTGCCATATTAACGTTCATTACAGTAGAAGTGGCTTATTTGGAGAGAAGATACCTGTTATGGTAGTACTCCAAAAATGGATGTGGCGCATTCTGTCTTCATTATAATCTGTGTAGTAATGATAATGGTCAAATGTTCTACATATTCTTCTCTAATCGCGTACCATTTTGAGCATAGTTTAACGGTGTGAAGGAGTCAGCCGGTTCCTCCGATCGAATATAGGTGGTGGTGGGACGCAATGTCATGATGGCATGTCTCCTTCACACACATTTTGACGTTGTTCGATCGTCTCTTTCCCGCAATTCCAAACCGCTCTCCGCTCGTCGCTTTGTATTCCCCGCTCCTACAGATTCTCTATCTACAATGTCCTCTTTCATATTTCATCTACACTTCTATTCTCCGTTTATTTACTTTATTGCAATATTTTTGCACTTTATTTTGTTGCATTATTTTTGCACACAGTTTTAGAATCAATAGGTTCCAGAATAGTGGTATGCAATTTAATTTCTTGGCGGCTAAATAATTAGGTTTCCATGAAATGGTGAATTTCTTAATAGTGTTATGTTCACTTTATCTTAGAATAATCCGGGCGGCATTGTTAAAGTCTAACTCCCTCAAAAGTAATGATGCATTCATTATTATCCTTTTTCTTTAAGAAGAAACTGACGTTGCAAAGTTTCAAAATAATGTCAGAATAAATTCATTCTTCATAATATGATATCAAATATGACGAATTTTCACTGGGCGCATATCGGACACAGTCAGGGAGCGCTCTCCTGATATTAGACGTTTGTCCAGGATCTGCTTTCATCTTTCCTGTTGTTTGGCTCTCAGTGGATTAGAACATCTGTCATTCAAGCTCTTGGGAATTCATAGTGAGATGGTCTGGTTTAGTTTCGTTTATTTAATAAAGAAATTGCTGAATTAAGTAAAACTAAAATTAGCTGGAACGAATGACCATAAGCAAAAGTTACTCTCATTACTTTTCTTTTTTTGTTTTGTTTCATTTAATCCCATGCAGTTAAAAATTCAATTATATAGAATTGCTTCGGTTGAAAGAGGAAGGTTTCGAACTATAATGGGAGAACTAAGAAACTGCTGGATCATAAGACTTATTCTGCAAAAAAACCGTTTAGGTGATCCTTCGCTATCATTTCTTATATCATTTATTTGCCTCATTCTTTCGTTTGCCACTTCAAAACTTTAATAAATTTTATAAATTTAAAGACTTGCTTCGGTTTTAAACGAATTCCTTCTATCGCTTGCATTTTCCTTTCAAATCCAAACATATATAATAAATTAGAAAATCTTTTCTCGAAAAACTTCGAGCTTATTTTTTTAATTGGAAAAAACTGAATTTCCTTTAAATTCTACTTTCCTTTCTTCCTATATTGCCAATTTCCTTCCTGTTCCAGATTCATGTTTTTTCCAGCAAAAATTATGTTGTTTTTAAGGTGACGCAATACTGTACTGAATTTCACTGATTTCAGATTTAGTTCCTAGTAAACAAATTTTTAGATCCCTAGCATCTAGAAGTGAGTAAAGCTTCCATGTTCAGTTCAAATGCTTAATTTAACTTTAAGCTATTAATTGAGGTACCATAGCATACAATTCCACATGAGGAAGTTTTATTCGATCGCTTTAAGAAATGATTCAGGAAATATTGTAAAGATCAAAGGGTAAGGATAATAGTATTAGGGTAGTTGAATGTTTGAAAGGTGGGATGAGGAAAAGAAAAGGTAGGATGAAATTTAATTAGAAGTGGTATTCAAAAGTGCAGGTATTTGAAAAAAATTAGGCCAGAACTTTGGGCACAATTCAAAAACAGGAGAGAAGATGGAAGAGGCAAAAGATGGAATTGCAAGAAAGTGGTAAGTAGTGATTATAACTAGTTTCGTTTCCTTTAATTGTTTATTTACGGTGAAATTGTCGGTGCTGCAATGCTTATACCACCTGCAACCGTCTATTGAATTATAATAATGATCTAAGTGCCAACGCATTACTACCTCATTTGTTTAATTTGCTCAAATTCGGACCATACTTGAAAAATCTGTTGATGTTTTTCTTCCGTTTTGAGATTGCGACATACTTGGACAATGCTTCCATTGTAACCTCATCTCTTTTCTAAAAAACAAATTTTGGATTAAATTCGATCCACGTTGGCACACAGTTCTTTAAAATTAGATTTTTGATATATACAAGCTGCTCAATTAAGAAAATCATAATGAAATCGAAATCTAGTTGAGCTTAAATAAATAAATCGTAAGTAGAAATTGTGCAAGAAAAAATAAAATTAGTGTGAGTGGCAAAGATTTTTACAAAGGCAATTTTTTTTCCCAAAATTAAGAAAAAGATCAGGCCTTTTTTGGCTTATCAGCTTTCCTTAGTTAATCAGAAACTGGATTAATTACACTTTTTCACAACCTTTGGACTTCAATTTTGAATCGTGGCATTCATAATTTTTTTCGTGTTTTTCGTTTTTAGTTAATTTGCCTCTGATTTCTTGATAACACTCAATTTGACCATTAATTGCAGTTATTAGTGATTCTCATCCTAGAATATCAAATTATCCGAGTTATTATTTTCTCGGAGACTAGCTTTAACATAATTGTGCCGACACAAGCAGTCATCATTTTTAATTGATGTAAATGGCAAAGACTACAACAAAAGCACCAGTTTTTTTTTCTCTTTAGATAAATAAATTATAAATAGAGATTGTACAAGAAGAAATAAAATTAATGTGAATGACAAAGAACCATTTGGACTGATAGGATCAGTGATTCTATTATATTTGTGACACATTCATCATTTACTATCAACTGATGTTTGTTCAATACTTAACGCCCAGTACTGTACCAAATAATCTAATTTAAGAACTGTATCCTAATTATAAACAGTTTATGTTTTTTCCTTATCAGTGCTTTTTCATGCAGTTTTGCAACTTTCAGTTAATTGATCGCGTGTTCTGCCTTCTTTATTGAGAAGAAACCTGAATGAACACTCTTTTCTTACATTAATTAATACAGTAATAACCAATTCTTCCTCCATTTCGTTGGACTAAATATAGCGGATCAATTACGCGACACATGCTTCGTTTCCGGTTATAATTTCCGTTGTTGTATGAGCCCGTAGTTCACGATTCCTGCTTAGTATCGAACCATTTGGATTTCTTATCTGTTTACTGCGCTAGCAGTATCATTTGCATTTAGTTTGATTTCTAGCTAATTAGTAGTGAGTTTCCTTCCATTACAAGTCACAAAGTGTCATTTTTCCTAATTCATTGCTTTATATAATATTCAGAAACTTTTTTGAACTATTGAATTTTTGAGCAATAATTAGTAGTATTGAGAAATTTTTCATATTCCATTTATCTCGTTTCTATCAGTAATTGATGGATTATTTAACAATGAAGGCAGAAATAGATTTTTGAGCAGCCTTATGAAGGAATCTCTTCGCTCTCCACCAGTAATATCACCCATTCTTGCAACATTTTCTCTTTATTCCCTTAAATAATACAGTCATCTACAAAAAAATCTTCTCTCCCTATTTTTTCCCAGTTCTGCTGATCATTGGCCATTTTTATTTCATTGCTTTTATGCATATTTATGTTTTGCGTATAAGTATATAGATCAGTACTGTGGTGGAGAGAAAAGATCATACTAGCTGATGTATATGTTGGATATAAAAATAAAATTTCTTTGCAGAACAGCAAGCGGAAAAAGAGGAAAGGCAGTGAAGATCTGTTCGAGTGCGGAGCTTACATTTCTATACATTCTTGCCTTTGCCTTTACTGTGTCTAAAATTTTTTTAAATTCCAACTAAAAAGTTTAACTGAAAACATTCCTTCAGTTTCCTTAACCCTTGCATAACGAAATATGTTATAAAGGCCTATCTCATTTTCTCTGTAAGATCTTGTCATAGTGTATTTGGAAGTAACTGTGCAACGATTTTTGAGTCGTTAGATAGCAGGAGGACTTATTCTAGGTGCTTTTCGAACTCCAAAAATTTTGTCTTTTTGTTTCATTCTCTTCGTGATGGTCTTTTAACACTACCACTTTTTTGTTTAGAAAAAGATAAATTTCGCATTCATTTGCTTCTTTGCTTTTCTTATATCCTTTAAATTCCTTCACTACATAAATAATTTATGAATTATGTAGCATGAATTCGTTGCTGCACTTTAATATCCTTTTTTAACTATTACTTTTAAAGAATTGAATTTTCCTATTCCACAAAACCTGTGGTGTAATCCGTGTAAAAAAAAATACAATTGGACTTGGAATTCATCGGATCAGAGACCCACAGATGGAAAATCGATTACCATGATCTGTGGATTATGCTCTCAAAGTGCTTTGATGTAATTACAGCTGCAGATTTATTTATATACATGCGTAGAAATCTGAGAAGTGAGCTGCAGTTTGATGATGACGTAAGAAGTGTAAGGGTTTCTTCGATTTGACAGTTTTGATCTTTTAAGTCATTGTAGTAACTAATAGAATTTCTTCATAAAAAAGAATCCTTTGTACCAGGAAATTATTTATCTCTGAGATGAATTTTATCAGTTTTAAAGAATATTTTAATGATCTTTCGACCTCATTGCACAGACGTATCTAGTATGGATAATAAATAAATATTATCAGAAATGCGCAGTTGTTAAGGTCATACATCATTTACATAGCAATCAATATTCACATTATTGAATTAGCTTACTGCAATACAAGTCTTCATCTACTGTTCTTGTCTTTCCATTATAATGATACTAGAAGAAAAGTAAATGTTAAAAATAATGGATGTCTGCCTCAAATTTTGGAATTTTAATGTTGTAAGTTTGATTTTATGTATTTCTGAGAAAGTATTGATTTAAATGAAATTATATCATGTCATTGTGTATTTGTTTCTATATGGTATGCACAAAATATACGCCAATATTTACTTTGTTATTTGTTCCTCATTTTGTACAGCTTATTGGTTTCTTATGCTTGCAACATCTGTTCTACTTGATAAAAAAGATCCTAACGAAGATGGCTATCAAAATCAAGAAGATCATGTGTGATCTAAGTTGATAATTAGAACGCTGCTGTTCTTGCAGGATCGCACTAAAGAAATCGTTGTTTGAAGTAAAAGCTTTGGAAAATTGCTTTTGTAATTATCAAATGAGCAACAGAATCGTTCTGATTTCTTTATCATCTTCATGACTAAATTATTACGTCACAATCTTTCTAAGTGCTCCATAGGCTTCATCTTCTATTAGCAGATTATCGTTGATTGCAGCTATTCGACAAGTTGCCATATGAAATGTTTAGTTAACTTTTTGTGCTGGCGATTACATCACCCGATGGCGACTTCTGTTTTCCACATTCTAGCAACACAAATGTACGCGTTCATCTTCATTATTCAACAATTTCTTCTCCCTTTGATTCTTTTTTCTTCTATTACTTCTCTTCCAGTTAAAACACACTTTTAGAAAGAGAAATATACTACAGACTGCGAAAGACTTATTGTCTTATCTCTCCTACTACCTCTTTATTTTTTACTAAAACTAAACAGAAAGTTTGTTGTTCCTTGAAGTCTACTTTTTTATAAGAACAATTTTGACTGGTCCCTAGAATTAAATTTTCTTAATCTTTCCCTGTATTTTTGGCTTTATTTCTTCTCTTTCCACACTTGAACAGGCATGTTTGCAATTACTTCGACATGGAAAGGGCATGGAATGCCTTCTTTACCTCTTCATACCACTATGACGTGATCGCACTGATCGCATTCCTTCCACTTCTTTCTTCTATCATATCATTGCAACGTCATGCACGCGCACATCATGCATACATGTCGTGTGCATACTCTAATAAGATGGCAGAGAATGCCTTCATGCGTGCATACACGTCAATGCTTGTTGGGATTTTGCCGTAAATGAGATAATGTCTGCGTGTGTGCGTATTACTGAGTACAGAGGCTTGTTGTATAGTCCTTCATTAATACATATTTGCCTTTCCGTCTGTATACTTGAGTTGTTGAAGAGTAGGGAAGATGTAAGCCTACATAACTACTTTTCGGAAATGTATTGAGTGCAGCCTGTGAATATGTTTGTCTATTTAAATCGTAATTGCTCTTTTCTGGTTAAAATGGAAAGCGTTGGCGAATTGTCCTCTAAACCTATAACCTGTGAAGAGTGGTGGAAGTTTCACTCTTATGGAGAGACATATGGTTGTGGAATGTTATTGTTGTCGCTCACGCGATGTTCATTTATGTTATTATGCTGATGTGCTCATTCCAGTTCGTCCCTTATGCATGGCTTGGTAGAGACTAGCTAGGTTAATTCATTACATGGTTGATTTGTTGCGTACCACGTCATTTCAATCCTCATAATTTCAGGTTACGTAAATAGAGTAGTGTGGCTTTCGAAATTTCTTCTCTGGACATTGCCCGTGAGGTAATCTCACACTATTCATTTTGTTCAGGGATTTGATGCAGATGTTTCCTGAGCCGCTGTATCCTTTACCTTGACTGTGACTCATTCTGTTTCTACAAGTATTCTTGCTGATACTGTTGTTATTTTATCAAACGTAACACGTGAGCATATTACTGGATTGCACACGTATCTCTTTTCCTAACTTCGATTTACAGATAATGTCTTCGGTTCATGACGAGAAACCACCTCCTCCGCCATTAAGGTTAATACTTTTATTATTTTATCCTTGTTTTAATTGATGTAATTTCTTATGCTATGGCGAGTAGCTCGTGTTTCTTTTGACCGATGAATTTCGAACATTTGCAGAAGACGATGCACTATTTCTAGTTCCAGAAAGAGGATGTTATTTCAGTTTCCAGATGAAGTCGTTTTTCATGAATCTCATCTTTTGATTTGATTGTGACAGCGAAACGTTTCAAAATTGAGAATGTATTGAGAACGAAGTATATATTGTAATACTGTAACAAATGCTATGAACTCTTTAAATTTTCAAGATTTAAGTAAGAATAGGAGCAAGTCTGCAAGAAATGTTATGGGAGAACGAAAAGTGGTGGAAGCAAATAATAACACTCGTATTTTTTTACACTAAATTGCATATCATTGTAACATTGTAGGAGTATTCGCAATAACTCTCCATCGAGATTATTAGTGGGATGATTATTACTGTGTAAGATATAATTAATTTCAGATTTTTCATTTTATATTAATAATCATTTTAAACGAAAAGGATTGCAGAAATCAGATTAGTAATTTATTTCTGTTTTCTTCTTGAAATAATGCTGTTATTTAGATACAGTAGTAGTACTTCTAATGCTTTTCGTGATCAGTCATTTGTGGAATTGAAGCCATTGCCACGTGAACCAATGTCAAATCCAGAACATTATGGTTCTCTACCTGTTGTTAACAAGAAAACGAAGAAAAAAACTTTCGGTGGAAAAAGTGAGTTATCTTTCAAATGTCGTTTGGAAGTTCGAATGTGTTAACGTATAGAATAAAGTAGCACATTGCACTAATATATGGAAAACTGTGAAACTGTTTGTTATGGAGTCATTCCCTAAAACTTATAGAGTATTCCTACAACAAGTTGTTTCTAAGCAGTAAATGTACTCCAACAAATTTCTTAAGCTAAATGGTGGAATACTGCTATCATATTGTTGTCATTCCACAGTTCACTTCACTTTAAAGAATATTGAACAAAAATATCGTATCCACATAATTCTCTTCTTTTACTAACTTTACAAAATTAATCTTAGATGTAGTGAATGAAGCTTGAATAATGTTCCGATCAGTGATTTGTAATAATGAAGTTTCATGAATTTCAAAAGAAAAGAGAATCTTTCAGTTTTGTTCAAAAGATTAGTGGTCCAGTAAAACATTAATTTTCGAATCAGAGGACCAGTGTTTTTGTTTTGAAGTAAAGGTTTTGTGCGGAAACAATTTTTAAACAAGAGCATTAGATTATTTTGATATACGGGCAATTGAATGCAACGGTTTAAATTTGGGAGCTGATAATTTCGGTCATTATATTGAGGATTGTTCAAGATCATGCTTATATAGTTTTTGACGAATTGTTTTAATTCAGACGGAATGAAATGTTAAATAGTATTGAAATGCTTTTGAAAATAATTAGCATGGTTAGATGAAAAGAAAGTATTATTAATCTATATATATATATATATATATATATATATATATATTTTTTTTTCAATATATTTTGTTTCTAGCTAATTAGATTTCTAGAAAGCTTTCCGTCTTACAAAAAGAATTTTTTTATTGCCTTTTGATTTATTGCCTTTTCATTAAGTAACATTATGTGATTTGCGGTGCAGGAAATGAAGAGATGAGATATTTTTTACAGAAAATAAGGAAAAAGAAAGGACAAACGATAAACCTGTCATTTCATTACCAAGCAATTTTGAACACACTATTCACGTTGGTTATGATCCAGAAACTGGCGAATTCACGGTATCTGTTCTTCTTTCCGCTTTTCAGACAAAATGTCAAGTTTACCACAAGTTAACGGCTGTTGAAGTTGTTGGAAAATTCTAAATCCATTTTATTAATTTAGCACTATCACAATAACAAAACTATGTCTCTTTACTTGTTTCTTGGATCTAGGCATATTGTTCCTAGACTTTACATCAGTCTTTTAGCCATTGCGATAATGCAGTGAGACAGATAATGCTATGTCAATCCTGAACAAGCCTCTTGACTAATCTTTCAGATTTTCATAGACTCACTGTCGAAAAATTTAATTTTTTCTAATTTCGCTTTTCCTACACTTGATCATCTTGCTAGCTCTCTCGCCTTTCTTTTCATGAATATAAAAAATTTCTTAGTCGGTCAAAGTGATATTACCTTATTGTATACATTGAATAGTAATCAGCATTACAATAACTTTGAAATCATTGCAAGAAGAAGTCAGTCTGTGGAAAAAGATATCGTTTTTCTCAAATAAGATTTCACGTCATATGATTCGTTAAATAAATAGTATGTTAATGTTGAGAACCAGAACATTATCTTGTTTCACTTTTTTCAGTGTTCCCCCATGTTTGTTTTTTATTTCTCCCAATACGCTAACAAGTGATTCTCAAAGACAGTTCTACAAATATCTGAAGTGCTGTTCAATAAGATACCGCTTACTGTATGTTTCTTCTTTGACGATGTGTAAATGAAGATGAAGCAAAAATTTATTTGTATAAGTGGGTAGTCAGAAAATTGCTTTAGGATATAACATATTTATATATGTTAGTTTTTAACTTTTTAACCCTCTTAACCTGATATCCTCTCTTTTTTTTTATCATGGAATGGAAATTATTTTAGAGGATGAGTGGGCGATCCTACTTTCATGGAGCATTATATTTTATACTTCTTTCATAACTAATGAACTGGTTTTTGATTTAACCTTTTAAATCGATTATAAAATTAGACTGACTTTGGTCACATTGGTAGTTTTTGTTGTAGGGCATTTAGTTTTTGAATAAATATCATATTTTTGAGGTAAAGGAGGCATTTCAATTTATTTTGAAAAATTATCACACATAGCTCGCATTTATATTTACCTGATTTTTTTGTTTCTTATTTCTAACTTTTTGCATCTGATAATTCCAAGTGTTAAAAATAAAGTCCATCTATAGCAATATTAGTCTTTATTGTTTAGATATTTCCTTTTTAGTAAGCTTTAGCCTATGAAGAGGCTTTAAATTATAATCTGGAAAATCATGTTCTCAATCCCTTATTTCTCATCACATTTCATTTTTCTCACAAACACACTATTGTTATGTGAAACGTTAAATAATTTGAAGGCATACAATCTAGTTAAGTAATTCAAGCTGGTGTTTTATAACATATGCTATCAGTTTTATGGTTTATTTTTTTCACTAAAATATTCAAACAGTGTTATTTAAATTTTTGGATTGAAAAACAGTGGTGAATTTGGCAGTCTTTAGATCATGTTTGGAACTCATATATATCCACTGCACATACTATGCATGTCCATATGTATTTCATGTATGATTTTACTCCCACAACTCTCATTCGTAGCTGTTTCTCTCATGTCAAGTAATATTTTTTGGTTTATTAAATCATGGAGCATGTTTATAACGTGTTCAGAAATCTTATTGAATGTTAATTTTTAATCATCTTGCTTTTGCATATTGAAATCTATATTTGTTTCTATTTTTTGAATTTACCATTCTTGTCTAATATAATTTAGCTCTTTTTTCTTCTCTTTGAGTTTTATTAGGACCTTTCAAAATCGGTTCTGCCTCAATCATAATGGACTGTTATCGGAGATTTATTCTTTTCCTTTAGAAGTTTCATTTACTCGATCATTCTAAATGAAGAAAGCAAAAATTGCTAAAAGTGCTGCACGTGTTGGAATTTTTCACCTTTTTTCAAATCATTTGTATCTTTTAAGAATTTTATAAGTATAAGGCATTTAACATGCAGAGACACTGAATTTCTGTTCATAATACCAACATTTTTTTTTTTTTATATCAGTAGTACATCACATTATTTCGACTCTGAAAACGGTTTGACCATGTTATATGCTGGGTAAGAATCCGGAGCAGTTAAAAAATAGTTTTTAAACTTTTGCTGAGATTATTTATTCCACTCATGCTCAAAATATTTGATTTGTTTGTTTCCGGATGACTGCAGGTCGATGATTGATCATTGCGCTTAGTACTATATACGCTAGGCTTATATGTGATACTTCATTTTTGCTTTATTATTTATATGTTTGCCGTCCTAATGCCTTGTTTGTGCATTTTAACATTTTCAATATTCTCTTCATTCTTATCACTTTTTTTTCAACGAATTCATTTTTTCAGGGTATGCCACCAATGTGGGCGCAGTTATTACAAAGTGCACAAATTAGCAAGCAGGAGCAACAGCAGAATCCTCAGGCTGTGCTTGATGCCCTAAAGTATTATACGCAAGCTGATTCGTCTCAACAGAAATGGCTGCAGCCATCTTCGTTTGAAGGTTTTGACTATCTAGAAGTCTTTTTTTTTAGGATAGGTTTATCAAAAATGACAGTTATAACAAATTAAATGAACTCGTCTTCGTCAATAAAATACTGATAGTGACTTTCGCTCATTGAGATTACATATGATTAAAAATGTGGTTGCATATGTTTAATTGTAATGCTGTCATGCCTCAAACTTGCTTGAAACATGAAGTTAACTATAAATAAGTTTTTATATTCTGGATAATGATTAAAAAATAAGTAACTTTGGTTCGACTAGTTTCTTTCAGGTTGTTCATTAATTCACCGAGTTAACGTAGAACAGCAGCGACAGCAGCAACAGCGAGATATAAATGCAGCAGCACACCTTGTTAGTCTCTGTTCCAGTTCGTCGTTATCACATCGAGGAAATTATCAGAATGAAAGTGAAAATGAACCTCAGGGACCAATACAACATCGACATTTGCTGACTGCATCACAGAATAACACATGTCACCGCGGTGAGTCGGTAACTTCTGCAGCACTTTAAACAAGAATCCTTTTTAAAGTTAAATAGCAGAGTTCTCATAAATTGTTAATAAATTTGTTTACTTCACCGTCATTGCTTGTCGAAAGGGTAAGAAGATTGTGCTATGAAATTCTTTATGTTCGCATTACATAATACATAAACAGTTTTTAATATGCAACTAAATAAATAAATTATCAGATTGATCTATTCGAGCCTGTTTTAGGGAAAAAGTATATCACCATTTATCGTTCTAGAACACTACATATTTTTTTTTCTTCAGTTATGAATGTTACTACTGCTTTCAGTTGAATTTCAGTTTCAGAGCTCATATTTTTTTTCAGGGTTATCGACATCAACACATACGGGTTTACTGAAAAGCGAACAGTTAGGTAGCTATACACTTTATAGTACTAGTGAACATCTTTCTTCAGGAAGCAACAGTAATTCATCACATTCATCATCAAATACCGATCAACATACTTCACATCCTACGGTCAGCGTTTTTTTTTTTTTTCTTCGTACCAGGTTTTATTTACTCTATTATTTCTGACGAATTATGTCTCCGTAAAATTATTGGAATTTTCAGGACTATGCAGTTCCTGCAGTTCTTGATGATGATGAATCAGGTGATGTTCCCGCACCACCTATACCTGATCGTCCTGCGCGTACTATATCTATTGTAAGTTCATTTTGTTTGTCAAATATGCGTGAGTGTATAAAAATTAAAAGAAAGCGATGGGAACAATACTATCATACAAGGTTTTTTTAAGGTTAATCGCATTGTCATTTTAATGTTTTGTTACAGCTTAAATCAGTTTCACAGCTAGAAAAGTAGCTCAAAATTCTGTACCCTTTCAAATCAGATCTTGTATGTCCCACTATGCAGAGCAAATCTATTGCAGTATACAAAGCCAAAAATGGATGAAGAGAAGATAGAATTGTGCATGAACAATGCTTTAATAACCGGCGGTCATTTTGGTCTCACTAATCGATCAGGAGGGCGTCGAAAAAAAGTATCTGATTCCGAGGTGTTAGCTAAATTGCGGACAATTGTTACAATTGGAAATCCAGATCGGAAATATCAAAAAGTAGATAAAATTGGTTCCGGGTAAGGGATTTTCAGCGCATACAAGCGGTATTCTTACAGGTGTCTTGTTGGATAACCTTTGAAACTGGAATTCAGTTTCCTTAATGTTTTCTGAAATAAGCTTCGTCTCTTACAAGAGAATCCAGACTAGTGCGGACATTTTAGCTTGAATCGAATGTCTTTTGTTTGATAGGACAATTGGTCTTTGACTGTTCTTTAATGGTTTATTAGATTGTTTTGAAGATAAATTTCTAAAATTTAGGGTATCGCACTGGTTATTTACATATAATTAATAAAGTAATAGGTCCAATAAATGCTTGATTGTAGAGCATCAGGATCGGTATTCACAGCAATCGAAATCAGTACAGGTGCAGAGGTTGCAATAAAACAGATGAATTTGGCGCAGCAACCTAAGAAGGAACTTATTATCAACGAGATACTGGTGATGCGTGAGAATAAGCATGCTAACATCGTTAATTATCTTGACTCTTATCTCGTTGGTGACGACCTCTGGGTATTTCTTCTTTCATTAACGTTTTAATGTTCCTTTTCAATTTTGGCATTTGTGAAAACATTAGATTTACTATCCACAAGAACAGGCATTGTTTCGTAATGGTAGAGAAACGTACTAGACGTAGGCTTAACTGCGTTAAGACATATTAAAAAGAAATTTCTTTGTGATCTTTCGAAAGAGATTTCTTTGTGAAAATCAACTGATATTTGGGGTGAATGTTGTTGTTATCAATAAAAGTAGGATCAGCACTAGCGACTTATTTTAACACACAAAAACTTTAAACTGTATTTAATATGAAACGTATTAAACTTGAGTATATGAGCTAGTTCATTTCTTTCTCTGCTTTTCACTCACATTTGTCTTCTCCTCTTTCTCCTTTTAGACCAGACATTTTATGTCTTCCCATACGTCAACTGACGTATATACTGTGATTCATTTGGTCAAATGGATCAGAAAGGAGTGAGTTTGGAAGGCTTCTGAGTTCTATACCATCCAGCATTTCATGCACTTCCTTGCCAATAAGCCGGACTGTCATCGTGTAACCAAAGATGTGCAGTTGTGCAACGACAAGGGAAATTATCGCGACAAGCAGTTCTGTTGCTTGTGCCTTGTAGCACTGTTACTGAACTAGCTTGTTCCACAGTTCAAAAAGAACGTCATCATTAATTGGATTAATAGTTTGCAAAACACTTCCGAGTTCTTTAAAATATTGTCTTCACTACTTACTTGTAATTTCTTGGCAACAAAAGGCCATCTTCCATCCACAAATTTAGCAGAAGCCTTTGTTTTGAGAAGCAGCGCTTTTAGATATAAAAAGTTTAAAAATGTCGTTTGAAAGGCTAAGCATTGTTTTTGAGTGTGAACTATGGCATATCTGTTTCAGGTAGTAATGGAATATTTGGCAGGTGGTTCACTGACGGATGTGGTAACGGAATGTCAAATGGAAGAAGGAATGATTGCCGCTGTGTGCAGAGAAGTAAGCGTCTCTAATACTTCAAAATGCTTCAGATTAATAATTTCTTGTAATTTTTGATTTCTGCAAGTTAAAAAACCTTTGGTTCTCGTAATGGTCTATTAGTACGTTTCTTCCATCACATGATTAATCCTTCATTGGGTTAATTAATGAATAATGCTACTCGAGGAAAATGAGAATTTAGTGCAAAGTTATATAAGACCATTGTGCAGTAGCCATTTAATTGCAGGTACTACAAGCACTGGAATTCCTTCATAGTCGGCATGTGATTCATCGCGATATTAAATCAGACAATATCCTTCTTGGAATGGATGGTTCTGTAAAACTGAGTATGTTGGGTCATTTGTTTGCTTTTTTAATGCAAGAATCGTAATTTGAGTTCATTCGTTTTTCTTAAATATTTCTTTATTATAGCTGATTTTGGATTCTGCGCACAGATAAGTCCAGAACAAAGTAAACGTACAACCATGGTTGGTACACCTTACTGGATGGCCCCAGAAGTAGTGACTAGAAAGCAGTACGGTCCCAAAGTTGATGTTTGGTCACTAGGCATAATGGCAATTGAAATGGTGGAAGGCGAACCACCGTATCTGAATGAAAACCCATTAAGGGTGAAAATTTCTTCATTTTCGGTTTTGAAAAATGATTTTTCACTTGAACGTGAGACCATGATTCCGTATGCTGTAATATTTATGTCCCTTAAATTTCCTCTATTTTTTTTTTTTTAATTTCATCCACATTAAATTTTATCCATTTGTTAATGGTTTATTTAGCTGCAAAAGTTTCACCGTAATTTTTTTGTTTATGGTAATCAACAATTAAATAAATACAGGCCATCTACCTGATAGCGACGAACGGAAAACCAGATTTTCCGTCACGTGAAACCCTCTCACCTTCATTCCGTGATTTCATCGATTGTGCGCTAGAGGTGTCAGTGGATGAGCGTTATTCGGCCAACCAGTTGCTCACTCATCATTTCTTGAAATGTGCCAAACCACTTGCCACATTGTATCACTTAATCATTGCTGCGAAAAAGAGTATTGCTGCTTCAACCTGAGCCGTTCTTCGTCTACTTACAGAAAACTCGACACAGTTAATGCAGGGCTTATCACAGGTGTGCACTGCATTTCAGCCATTCTAAATAATATTTCGATGTTGGTATTTCTAATTAGTACTTCTAATTTATAATCATAACTTCTAAAGTGTTTCTGATTTCTTATCCGAACTCATTTATTGAAAGGTTTTTTATTAATTTTTCCATCCGTTTCTGACCCCAGAACCGACGCAGTTTTTGGGAACTGAAGATCTGTCACGTTATTGTATTTCATTTAGTTGTTTAGTGAGCACAAAAATATGATTCCAAAGTGCATTTAAAAACTACATTGCTTGAAGTTAACTTCTGCAGTGCACTATCATCCACTGCTACATTGCGTATTTTTTGCAAGGACTGATTCGTAGTGTATCGCTCAATCTATGCCATATTCCAATTTTCCATGTTCCAATTTTCTTGTAATATTTTTAAGTTTTTGTTTTCTTCTTAGCTGTTAATATTTGCGCGTCGTTTCATATGGAATCATAAAGTATGCGCGCTTTTAATTTTGGACTAATTTGTTGGCTTCATGACTAGCATGTTCCGTGTGGTGAAATGCTTCGTTGTTTTAGCTTTGTACTTTGTCAGGTCCCTCATATCTGGAACTTGAGAAAAATCACATTTTTTGAAATGAAGAATTTCAGATTGTTTTGGTATTGTTTCTGTTAGCGGAAGCTTCCACAAGTCTGCTTTTCGTTTCCCAATTTTTTATTCTCAATTTAAATTTTTCCGACATTTATTTGCTGATCAAATGAGTGTCAGATTTGTGCTCAGCTAACTCTAAAATAATGTGAATATTAGGATTACAATGTGGATATTATTTTGATTTTCAACTGTATGAAGAAACCCATCTTTGATATTCTTTTCTATAAATCATTGTATTGTTATTTCTGTTCCGTATATTTGTTGCTAGGTTTGTCCTGTTTTAATGAATTTTTCAAATACCGATCGGTTGAAATAATGATTAGCGATATTCTGTGTGTCGAAGACTGCCATTGGCAAAATGTTTCATTCATAACTAAACGAAAATCACTGATAAAGTAGTCAAGCAAATGCATGCATTTACTGTTTATTGCTTTACATTTATTACCGTTTATATGTTATATCATTTCAAAACATTGTATATAAATTTGTTATCATGTTGGTGATGCTTTCATCCTTGAAATTTAATAAATTTGTTGTCAATTCAGACTGCGATCAGTCAACATTTGGCAACGTCTTTCCGACTTCCTTCAAATTTCTGGGGCGGTATATTCCTACAGTGACTTGTCAATGCACATAGCAGATCAGGTTTTTTTGGCTACAATTCTGTTTATGACGAATTATTTATTGAATTGGGGGTTCGTTTTCATCTTACATTTTAACGGGAGAGAAGGGCTATCAATGCTGTATTTTAAAGACAAAAGCCTCGTCATAAAAGCTTGTTTTTGGCTCAAATAAATGATTCCACACATTTTATTTGCAACTACCATTCCTATAGGCTGATAATTCCACAAATTCATTTCTCAGTACTTTGGGATTGGAAGAATCAAAATGCAAAGCCCATGAATTTGCCGTTTATGGGCTTCCTGATTGATGGGTAGTATAAACTACGAAAATAATAACATCCCAGTAAGAGTGTAGGTGTAGAATAATAAGTAATAAACTTTAAAAGATGCTCCAAAATGAGGATGCTATGGCAACCAAAATCAGCTTAATAGCTCATTTCAGCTAAATGAATTATTACAAATGATTTGTCATGCATGACATTCTCAGTTATTTGCGATTATTTGTTCTTAGTGTAATATTCCTTCCGCAAGGTAGTCCGTTTCATGTTAGTCTGTTCTGTCGAAGTATACATTGCTGGTTTCCGAAATGTCATCACTTCCTACACTTTCCAATACTAAATCGCTGAATACTGACAAAATCTTGAATGATAAAATTTGAAACAATGGAAATATTTCAGCATAACGGCCGGAAACAACCTTGCAGAATCTCGGCTCCACGTTTTCCAACAAATAATTCCTAATTTATTATTGTATTGTCTGCGAACGTTATGTCTTTTAGTACTCCCGATTAATGCCTCATCTGTAATCAATATTGGTCTAATTTATGCAAACACAACAATTCCAAAGGCACCCGAATTTTTGAAAGCCGGTCTATATGATGTAACTGGTGCACAACCTTTCCATGATCATCGATTTAGGTGAATTTCTGTTCATCAATCTAGCAAAATAAAGCTATTTTAATAGGTCATGTTGTTCATTTACGCTTCGACGATGGTTAGATTCATAATCAAAGAAAAATGAAACTAAAAGCAGAAAAAAGCTGAAAGTCCAGCTTTCTATAGATACGAATGGAACGTAAGAATGAATCACATTTTCAGTGGCACTGTTAACTATTAATTTGTGCATTATTTAGTTTGGTTCAACTAGTGTTAAATAATATGCTAAGAAGAAGAAAAAGTTATGTCTTCGAAATCTGCTACACAATTTTAGTCACTATTCAATTTTACATCATTAATCCTATCTTTTACATTCCATAAAAATCCAAGTCTTTGCTGAAATATTCCTAAAATATATTTCCAGGTTACTACCAATAACATCGATGGGTTGTTTCAAGAATAAGTACAAAAGCAATGATGCTGCTATTATCGCAGAAATGTATTACAAAAATAATCTTCAAATGCTTTTTGGACCAGCTTGTGACAGTGGTGACTCGAATTTAGTTTTATATCATTCGATTTTATAATTTAGTTATCCACTAAATTGCATCATCATATGTCTCAGAGATTTCTATGCCATAATCGCTTTGTCTTCTTTATTTTTTACTAGTTGTTAATGATCTCCCAGAGTTTAGGCTACTGTGGCTTGAAGTAAAATTTTGGAAGGTCCTACATATTTGTGGGACAATAAATGCATTAGCAAAAATGAGATTTTCTCATGTTTTATCATGTCTACCACCAATATATATATTGTTTAAATAGTAGTGAACATAAAGAGCGAATTCTTTTGCTCAAGTATTTTAAGACTGCTTCCATCTGGCTTTATCATTTCTATACAGTTGCTTACTCTTTTATAAAGGTTCAGTAAGTTTCGATGAATATTAAACCCTATAGGGTTTAATATTAGCTTTGTTTTTAGACTTAAATATTGTTGGAAGGCTAACAAAAGAGTGGAATATTTTACAGTTCAGTTTTGGCAATGAACATTTCGACAATGATCACAGTTCCGTTGTGCAGGTTTCACATTTTATTAATTTACTATATCACTATGAGAACTCATTTTGAATAAAAGAAATAATGACAAGCTTTCAGTCCTTCACATATTATTCAAGGGTTTCTGAAATTTTTACCATTTAAGTGTCGCGTGAATTGCGTAAAAACTAGTTTTATGACGCAGTTTCATATGAACGTTTATTTCTCGTGTTCCATAACGTTCTTTTGCCATAGTTCTCTTTACAATCATTGAAAACTTAAAAAATGATGGATGTACTTTACAGACATCAACTATTTCAACATTGAATGCCGCATTCAATTTGGTTGCATTTTTTAAAATAATGAGTTGGGATAAGGTAAGGCTATTTTGGTTATGTTCATCTGCTGCTGATCATTATACTCTATGAAATATCCACAGAATGATCTAATTTCTCTCATTTTTCCACCAACTTATATACTTCTGCTAATATTTCGCTTTCTTTCAATACTTTTTTCTATCATTCTTCACAACAATCGTTATCATTTTTACGAAACGACAGGTAGTATTAATTTGGTCAGTGATAGCATTTGATGACGAATATACCACCAAACTGAAAATTGCAAATATTCGGACGGTGTTCAAATTAAACGGTATTTCTCTACTAAACGATATTCATGTAAATACATCGGATACAACTCGATCACTAGTGGATGTTTTAATGGAAATCAAAAACACTTCCAGAAGTATATTTCAAATTTTACATTTTTCCATAGGTTCGCTAATACTAGTAAATCCATGAGTGTCTTGTACTATCAGAGTAGATAAATATTGTTCTAAATGTTTCTTGAAAGCTTTAAACTCCCAAATATTTCAGTTTGGATTCCTATATTTGGATATTATCTTCATGACTATATAGAATTTTTGGCAGCTGTAAAACAACTTAGCCTTGATCCAACTGTTTATGTTACTGTGCTTTTGGATTTCGTCGTTCTTGGAGAGTTCAAGCCACCATGGATACTTCCCAACAACAGCATAAATGAGACTATGAAGTTCTATTTCGATGAAACCATTATTGCACGTTTTTAAATGATTTATTTAAATGTTTCTTAATTTCATTTAGTATCTCTTTGACAATTCTACATTCATACAGCTCCCAAATGTCAAATTCTAATTCGTACTGTCACATAAGGTCAAATATAATTTGGTATATGACCGGATCTAACCAAACTTTTTGGTTTCTTGCAAAGAAACTTGCCTAAACTATTTTATAGCTTGTCAACAATTATTATTCATCACACAATTTATCAATTATAAGGCGCAACATTCCAGCTGATGCCAATGATGTAAATTTTTCTTGAAAAATTTTGTCATACTTTTGGGTAATTTTGCAAAAGTATATTTCAAAAAATGGACAAAGGAGTTTAAAGATGAAGATTGTGAAAATGAAAAAGTTTTTGTTTATATTAAATTTCCCAAAGTTGTCAGATGATAAGAAAACTTTATTTGTGTCATTTCTTTTTTCTGAAATCTCTCAGCACAAACATACTAATAGGTTGAAGTATTGGTCTTTTCTTATCACACTTGAAAACTTTTGTACTTCAGCTAACAATTATATTATACACTCAGCTCTATGAATCAGGATGGTTATATTCCACAATCCTTCGGAATACTTTACAAACATCGCAAAATTTCAGTCAATTTAAAGGATTAGAATCACTAATTGACACCGTTAAAAGCAGTCATTTCTTGGGTTTGTGATAATTTGAATACAGATCTTATAAAGCATAAAAATATATGCTGCACACGCGGTTTTGTTTGAATATTTTCAAAAGCATACAAAACCAAAATCTCAATGTTTGGTACGATTGCTTTCGAGAAGTTAAAAACGAACGTTGCAGGACCATTTGGCACAATATGGTTAAACCAATATACAGTTCGGCTGACTCCATTTCAAGTTAAATATGTTGAGGTATTTCAAGAAGAACCAGTTGGCATCGCCGATTTATTTCTGACACAGGAATGTGACCAGGACAAGATTAGAAAAAAAGGAGCTAGTCGACGCTGTATTACCTTGGTGAATTGTGTTTCATGGAAATTTCAGAATGTTTTAAGAGTCTTAATTTTAAGACTTCAATCTTTTGCCACTCAAAATAAAAAGAGTATTTTTAAAAATTGAAAAGCAGGCTAAGAAATTCACATTTTCTGGCAATTTGTTAAAAATTTTACTGGTCTTTGCATACAGATAAGATTGCCCTTTTTTAAAGGCAATATAATGAAGCATTCGAAACGCCCATCGGAGGAAGTGGAACTTAATAATCACTGAGTATGAAATGACAGTTAATTATGTTTGTACTTCTCAGTAAGTCTGAAGCAAAGTAACTTGTACCATATGTGAGTCAAACGAATAGGCTCTATTGTTGGCGTACTTCTATAGAGTTAAAGTCAAAAGACAAAAGACGTTTGAAACCGACTACTAAAAATTTTAATTCCACTTCCTTTTGAGAATTTTCAGACTGGTAAAATAACCAATTATAATACAACTATAACAAAGCATTTTCCAGTGGATATGCCTCTATGCGGTTTTGAAGGAGAGATGTGCGATTATACGGGGTAATATTAGTTGCAATATTTTGATTAATAGATGACGTTTATAAAAATTAGACAAGAGAAATGCTAACTGCAAAATAGTATCATGAAAGCGATTAACTAGTAACCACAATACCAACACTAATTTCATGCAATCACCTTTCAGATCTATGTTGAAAATCTCTCTAATGATAACGGCATTTTTTTTGTTATCTTGCGCCTTTTTCGTTTATCGGAAATCGTGAGTTTAGTTCTTTTTAAGTCTCATTTAATTTTTTAGTTCTTTATCAAGATTTTTACTGTCTACTAAGTATAACTATAATTATTTAAGAATATATTAAATTATGATTAAGTGTTTGAAATATATTTGAATGTATTTACAGAAAAAGTGGTGAAACATCACAAATGCCATGGGCGATCCCTTATCAGCTCCTCAAATTTGTTAATATCGAGGCATCTTCGGTAAATATTATTGTTGTCATGAAATAACAGTTTCTCATCTTCTCCGATCTGACATCTTAAACTCTTAAACTTTTTAAATACCTGGAGAAAAGGGGATCATATTAGAAATTCCTTTTGACAAATGATTGTATCTTAAGAAACTGTATTTCACAAGTTTAAGATGATGTCCGTGCAAAGTCTACAGCAGCAAATGGAGTCAAAGATAAAATTGAAAGATTTGTTGCGTTCACGAGAGTTTGCTATGACCGAATTTGGAGCAGTGATTGTAGAGCCGTATGCACTCAAAGCGGGGCTTTTTTTCGATAATTCCGATGTAGCACTTCTTCATCAGGTAATATAAATGAGCAGTTGATAGAGCCATATGTTCAATATATCTCTTAGAGCAAATAGAGTATGTTTGTGCAAATCTAAATTTGCCAATAGCATTGTTACATTTATTAGTCTTGGGATGAGGTAGCATTAATAGAACAAAATCAATGGTTTCCATTCTTAACAAGTAAAATACATTTGCAAACATCGTTGATTATAGATGAAACAACTGGTACATGATAATATCAATCAATTTGTTGGGATATGCTTAGACAAACGGACTGAATTTTATGCAATTTGGAATCACTGTTTTCGTGGAACATTAGCTGACTTGATGTTTTTTAATGCTACTACTAGTGCAAAAAATAAGTTAAGCAGTGATAACGAGATTGGTCCAGCATTTCAAGAAAATTTTAAGCGAGCATTTGTTCGTGATATTATTCGGGTCTGTTTTCTTTGCGATATTTTAGACTTAATAAATATTTTAGTTCCAAATCACAATGTTCCAACATTTTCGCACAATTTTCGAATATTGTCATGAAGTTTATAAAGAATTTTTGAATATTTGGTGAAGTCCGGTCTTTGAACGATCTTTCCTAAATCAATTTTTTTTTAATGGAAAAAATTTTGCACAGTATATAAAGTATTCACAGCGTATCGGATGTATATAATATATTATCCCATATTGATTTTTAGGGTCTGGAATTTTTGCATTCCTCGACAATTGGTTATCATGGTTCACTAACTCCGTCACAATGCCTCATCGACAGTCGCTGGATCCTGAAACTCTCTGGATTTGGTCTGTCGAAATTACTGTATAAATGGAGAATAAAGGGCTCTATAAGTGCTAAAAACGGAATGTGGTTAATTTCAAATTCAGGTCTGTCAAAAAAAAATAGTCTGAATTTTGAAATTGAAGTTTGTTGTAGATTGAAATTTTATCATAGATTTTTATATACTTGCAACAAAATAAATTATATTTTACCATTTCATCAGCAATTCATATTTGTTCCAAATATGCATAAAGTTTTAATTTTCTGTAAAATTCTTTGTAATTTTTGTTAAAATCATAAATTTAGATTCATATTATTATTCATTGAAAGATATAAAAAAAGTGCAGGAAGTAAAAACCTTTTTGTGCACCTTAGAAAGGACAAAATTGCTGTAATTCAAGTCTTAAATTTCACTTCCATAATTGATTATTAAAATAAATGGCATCTTTTGGAACAGCTTTCACTAAAATCACAAATTCAGATTTACACTATTATTCGCCAGAAATGCGTCGCTTCCTCAAAAATATGAGTAAGGGTTCGATAACATTCAACGCTAAGCAAGCACGGGCTGCTGATATATATGCATTTGGAATTATATTATATGAAATTGTCTTTCACAGGAAGTTGATCATACTCGATGATAATCATTATGGTAAATGCTTATGATTGTCCAAATGTCACATATTTGTTTAATTTTTAAGATGAGATTATAGTAACTATAGGTATAAAGTGTGGAACACAATAAAGGCTTGAGAAAGTGTGAATGAATTGCTCATGAATGAACGAATTTAATTTGCAAATTTCAGATATCGAAACAGTGAATGAAGATACTTTAAGCATTTTTTGTGAGTCAGTTGAAGCGCTTATTCCGCCTTATCCATCTATCCCGGGAAACATTGAAGTACATCCGGACCTGCTTGGGCTAATGCACAAATGCTGGTCTGGAATTATTGATCAGCGTCCTGAAGCCACACTAGCACGCAAAATTACTGATGCTACATTAAAAATGTAAACTAAATTTTTCCAAGATATTAACTGGCAGAAGTACTACGGATGCGGTGAAGTTATTAGATGCTTATTATTCGAAAAAAGCAAAGCGATTATTATCTCTGCGATAATCTAACAAACCATTTCTATCAAAATTTCAGATCGGGCAGTTTAGTCGATCAGATGATCAAAAATCTCGAGCAGGTATAATTTCTTTTCAATGAAACTTTTTTTAACAGTTGCTTTAAAGTAACGTTTAATTTATGGGAATATCAGAGATATGATTTGATTTTGATTTCTGACTTTTTGAACTATACTATCAGAGCAGTGAATTCAGTCAACAATAACATTTGAATGTATATTACGACATAGCTTGACCTTCAGTGCATGACCAATAATGTTATTAAGAAGAAAAGTTCTTTTCAAAATATGCAATGAAATTAGCAAATAGAAAGTAGAGAGTTTTGAAGAAATTTTATGCTACAGTATACGAACAATTTGGAGAAATTGGTGAAGGAACGGACGCAGCAATTAGAAGAAGCGCAAGAGCACGCGGAACGTTTGCTTCTTGAACTATTACCTAAGTGAGAAATTAGTTTAAAACTTATTCTCTCAACAGAGATGAAGAGCTGTCAATAGGAACATTGCCTTGTGGATAGGAGTATATTTACTTAACCCTTAAATTCATAAGATCATTTAGATCATTTCCACTCGTCCTTAGACATTTCTATACAAACACGTTCAAGGCATATATAAAATGAGCCTAAAAAAAGATATAAAATCACTCAAATGCTAGTAAAGAGCAATTTGTAGTGCAGTTATTATTTTAGATCAGTGGCTGATGAGCTGAAAGTAAGTCGTCGGGTCGATCCGAAGAATTACAAGTCAGCAACAGTGATGTATTCAGATGTTGTCGGTTTCACATCGCTTTGCAGTGATAGTTTACCGATGGAAGTGGTGACACTGTTGAGCGGTGTTTTTCAAAAGTTTGATATAATTATATCGCAGCACCAATGCTATAAGGTATTCTTATTAATTAATGCTTTTCATGAAGGATCGATATAGATTCAAAAAGCAATTATTCACAAAAACCAAATCCCTTCTCCCTAAAGAAAATCAAAGTCAAAAATTTACTTTAAGTCATTAAATCTTAAACAATGCTTCCGTTTGCATACATGTAACTTTCCATTAGGTGGAAACAATTGGAGATGCATATATGGTGACATCTGGAGTACCAATTACTAGTCGACATAACCACGTTCGAGATATTGCTTCTGTTGCAATTATAATGAGAGATGTAAGTTCTGAAATTTTAAGTCTTTTTTGTGGAAATGAGAAGAAAGAATATTAATTCGTCATTTAAAGGAGCCTTCAACAAGAAGTAAATTCACAGAGATGATGAAGGGATATTTTGAATAAACAAAGGCATATCGTATTCAGTATTTGATTGTTGTGAGATATTATTCCTTTTAAGAAATTTTTTTTTTGATTTTTGGGACAGTTATTATTTCAGTACTGATTTTAGAGAAAGATTCAACAATAAAGTAAAAAATAAAATTTCCAGTTCCTATCCGAATATGAAATACCGCATAGACCAGGACAAAAGCTGCATTGTCGCTGGGGTTTCAACACAGGGCCTGTGTTCGCTGGAGTTGTTGGTTTAAATGCACCGAGATACTGTGTTTTTGGCCAGACGGTTTAATTTTTTGACTTTATATTCAAAAAATATGAAGGTGAAACGAAAAAGCTTTGACAGGCAGAGAGTTTAATCATCGACTACTGAAGAAAAATTTTTGCTTAGTAGCATTAATTAGCAATAAAATCTTCAAACTTACTGAAACGAAATACTATTTACTTATTTATATGAATTCGAATAACTATTTGCGTAACTATTTACTTATAATACTCCATAATCTACAGGGAATTTTTTCATCCGTCTTCGAAGTAATTAACTTTGCGTCTGCTCTTTTGTTTACGCACCTCGGCTTTTCTTCTTTGTGTCATATACAACCTCCAGCGTAAGGGAAAAGTATAATACATTTGGAACAAATTTCATTGTATCTGAAGCCATTTTAGGTGACATTGGCAGCAAAAATGGAAAATAGTGGTTTGCCGGATAAAATCCAGATCAGTTTGAAAAGTTATCAACTTCTGACAGCTCGATATCCGGAATTTAAATGCTCACCGCGAGGAGGAGTTCGAATTGATGTCTGTTTTAGGCCTTTTTTAAATCGCAAATGATTCATCCCGTCCTGAAGGAGTCACTAATTATCATTGTGTTGCTTTCTTTTTTTATGTAAGCAATTCTATTTCGAACACGTGCTTTCTCATGAACTTGAAAAGTCTAAAACTGGTGTTGTTCTCAGTTCATATTCAAATATTCTCCAGACATTCATTTGATATAAGGACAGCGGATAGGGGGATTATATCAGTGATAGTGAAGTTTCCGAATCTTTGTTTCTGGTTGTTCGGTGGAGGTTAACTCTTCAAGACAGCTGAGACTAGAACCGGAAGGTAGTGAAAGAAGAACATATAAGCGGTCCTATTATACGTTAAGCTGTGGTGAAATGCACAAAATTATGAATTGTTGCAGGGAATCGGCACATTGCTCACTTATTGGTTGGACGATTGTGAAGAACTGCTGGCATCGAGTCGCTCAGTGATTGGAAGTGACCGTTAGACTGGACGAGATCCATTTTTCTAATTTACACATCATCTTCTGTGTTTTTGTGGCTCAGATGCGAAATCTAATGAAAGGGAAGGAATCAGTTTTTCCCGAGTAAAAACGTGAATAGAGAGAGAGAGGGATGGAATAAGGGGATGAGGATAATTGAATGTGAAGCTTCGGATGGTGCTTTATGAGATACCTAATGTTTGATCAATTAATAAATCAATCAGTGCTCATCTTCATACATGTTTTTCATACAACACGCGATTTTTATTCCTCTACAAGTGAAGTATGATTTCAAGTGTGTACACGTGACACGTGTTCATTATCGAAAGGATCTATCAATCGTTTATTCATACCTCTCTTTGCTAAAATTAAGTGTTTCGTTGTGCTCATGAGAAGTGAGTGCACATGAACTAAGTGGATGAACGCAAGGTATTGCTTATCTACCCCTGTCCCCATAGTTGCTACGACCGTGGAGTTTAGTCATCTTGCTCTGCTCAACTTGGAACTTTGATGAATCTTCAACTTGCTCTCAGCCGTTTGTATGGAAATGAATTGTTATAAGCAATGTTATTAAAATCTCATGTTCTCCCTTTCACAACTTCCTTCTTCTTCTTACTGTTTTTCCTTGTTCCCATTCCTCTTTTCTCTCAAAGCACAAATTATTGATAGTTTGAAAACAGAAATAGAAGTTATGCTAAAGATCAAGGTACAAAAGATTTCTAAACATTTTACGAGTTCTTTACGCATCAAACACTTTTTGGTATTATCAAAGGAGTCCTTTTGTGATAGGAGCAACATTTTTCCCATGTACTTCCACATTAACAGAATTTACTGATTCTCCAAATGTATCCCTTGTATCACTGGTTTCTTTTTGCTTATTTTTTAAACATGAAATTACAATTTGTAGCTCTCCAAGCTGCAAACAGAAGTGATATTAAAATAAATAATTTTTGTTGTTCAAACTTCGGCTTAGTAAGTGAATTTAATTTTTTAAAAAATACTTTTTTCCAATTGAAGATTTTCAATTTTAGCTTGATTTACTCATGTTTTTTTTCTTTTTGCTAATACTTTTGTAATTTTGGGGCTAAGCTTCTTCACATTGTAATATCTGTTTGAAGTATTCTTATTTCCTATATCTTCAACTGATTTTTTTCAAGTATGTGCTTTTTTATAGTTCTATCAAAATTACTATAATTCTAGGTTAGCTAATATTCAATCTTTTTTTACAAATTCCTTTTTTTATGGTTGAGAATGTTTTTAATTTTGATTTTTGTGATAGTGTTTTTTTTTTTTTTTGTTAGATAAGAAAATTAATGCTAGATTAAAAGGCTACGGTAGCTCTGTCAAAAATTGAGCCAAACAGAAGAGATCGAATTTCTTTCCAGCTGATGTTGATAATGCTATTTATTGATGTAATTTGTTCAAAATTGGAGAAAAGATGATGGAAGGTGTCGAGCTTCGGTTAATCTTTAGGGACTGCAATGATAAATTTGTCAAGCATTGCTTTTAGAAGACCCTAGATTTTCCCTTCATTTATTATCGACAGCAACAAGTTCAAACCTCCTTTCTGAACTCGACGATTTGAACCTTAAGATGGAATATAGAAAAATCATGTAACTTGAGATTCTCCTCTGAAATGAAGTCTTCAACACGAAGACGTTTTTAAAATATTTTAAAGGTTGAATAGTCGTTTTTGTTTAAAATATTAAGCTAAAACATCTTTAAATTTCCTAACTTTCTTTGAAATATTATTTTATGCGGAAGTTTGCTCATACCATCACATTTAAAGATTTTTATAAAAGCTGAGACATAAGGGTACCACATCCTGAAATGTTATTCTCTTTAATAGCCTAATTATTGCAATAGGTGTATATATAGGTAAAAAGTCGTCAAGAATTCCAAAATAATCACTACAGAGCAGAAAATAAAAGGTCAGAGAACAAAACTATGTCTTTCTCATTTGCAAAATATTTCACAAGCTACTTCCCTGGACTTCCTTTTGGGCAGCGCAATATATCTATTAATTCTTTCTTGAAGGAAATCCATTCCTTTTTCTTATATGCCCTGAAAGGTTTATATTGATTGGTAATAATATTTCATGATCCTTAAAAACATATGACGTATCTCATCCTTTTGGCTGCAAAGCTAATTGTCTAGCATTGTCAAGCACAATTTATTTGATTTGAAAATTCAAGAGTATTTTTTAAGCTGAAATAATCATTGATTGTTATGGCGACAATTATAATAATAATAAATAATAGGAATTAATAATAAATGCTTTGTTTCGGACTACAACCATTGACGTCATTTTGGATGACAGCCAGGGTAAGGAAGCGCATTTGAAAGCTACAGGCCCTACTGGATGATGGGTATTTGTTTATAAGTTTTCCGAAGTGCAGTAAGTCGTCGATCAGAGATTAATGCCAGTGAAGTGGTGTGTCACTATTCATATGTTCTCCAGTTTTGATCATTATTATTTTCGTGGTTTTCTTCACCGCTGCATGTTTCCCTTTCTATTGTTTATTATTATTTATTTACTTGTTTATTTATTATTATTATTGTTGTTTGTTGTTGTTTTTGCTGGTGTCACTTTATAATGCTGAATTCGTGCTGCTAATTAATGACCAATTAAAGCTGGCAATAAAGCTAATGATGACAATAATAGCTTACATGAATATATATATTTATTTAATTTCTTTGTACCATCTTTTTTTCTCTTTTAAAATGAAAGAAAGGAAAGGCTTTCTGTGGAAAACATTTTCGTATTCTATGTTCACTTCATTTGTTTTTGTTGTTAATTTTATTGTAATGCGTCATTGTGCTTAGTTTCAGTTTCACTTATTTCACTTTTTACCACAATTATTTGTTTTGAAGTGTGATTGGGTTAGGAGTTACTGTTGTTCCGAGAGAGAACGAAATTTAGTAGCTTACCCTTCTAGTTAGATAGGCACATGAATTAGATGATAGTTCATCTTGTGCCGCTTATGTTCCCACTCTATTTCTACTCATTAATATCACGTAATTCAGTGGTTGTTGTTTTTCTGCATCGTATTGGCCATGAATGTTTACTATCACTATGATGATGATTCTGTTGATTCCGCTCATTCGAACGACGATGAGTCGTCACGGAAAAATTCCAACCGTCTCAATGAACTCCGTCATTTCGTCAAACGAAGAAAAAATTCCAGAAAAGTGAGTGAGCACTTTTTTCTGCTACTTTTTTTTTTTCATATATCTGTTTAAACAATGAAATAAAATGGAATCAAATATTTATGAACTCATCAGGTACCTCCATATCATCAGTTAGCCTATTCATTACCAAGTGAATCAATCAGCGGGCATAAAATTTCAACGGACAGTCAGTTCTTTGAAATGAAAGAATGGGATGAGGAAAACGATAGAACACCATCGAGACGTTTTAGTGTTCCAGAAAAGGTACATAACATCTGGTAGATTTTTCTATTTAAATTTATTCGATTTAGAAAATAATTTCTGTCTCGTCCACTGTTTGTTCATTTATTGTTAGTCAAGCAATTTATATTTTTATCAATGTTGTTTTATATTTAAGATATTTACTGAATTGTAATGCATTTAATAAGTGTATTACCTGAAAGTGTCCTATTCGTGGGATTGGAATTCAGAGAATACTGTGTGAATGAGTTTTAATTTGAGTTCCATTGAACTTCTGTTAGTTACAGATGATATTTCTAGATTTTTAGTTAAGGAAAAAAAGTTAGTATAAGGAAGAATCCAAGATTTCAGAGCAATCGGAACGTTTTAGTATTCCAGAAAAGGTACACAACATGTGGTAGATTTTTAACGAATTTTAAATTTGGCTTTTTGATCGCTATTTAGATCTTATAAAAAGGATTCAGTGCTGTCAACCTATTACATTTGGTCAGCGGATGAAAAAAATCGAAATGTATTTGTGGGTAAGTTTGGTGCCAGCACTAAACAGAAATTGTTAGAATATCGAGAGGTGTTTCTCTCGATACTTGATTAGAGCCATTCATTTTAATTCCTTTTTCGAACTTTATCCCGAATAAGGATAAAAAGGCCAAGTCTTAACTGCATTTATTAAGGACAAGACGACGAGCACAGCATTATGAGAATGCCTTTTTATTCAATTCACGATAAAAGGAATATAAAATTAAACCTTCTCTTTTTCTGCTTAAAACTCGAAGAGTCTGACAGTTGGAAGATTGCAAAGATTCCGAAAGAAAAATTCTGTCTGACTTGATGAAAGGGTTTCAAGAATAGAGCGTGAATCCCCCACTTTTTCTCTTTCATGAAACCAACTTAATTTTCCTAATTTTCACTGCATCTTAATATTTTCTAAAGGATGACTATTGATATGAATTGATCTAAACATTTCGCACATTTTCATTGTTTACTTGATAAATTTAAAGTTTGCTTCTAGCTATATTCGAAAAATTTGTCCAAATTTAAGAAAAAGCATTATTTAGGATTATGTGATACTACGCCAATCTCGGGAACGTCAGCTGGAGGTTGTTGCTGCATTTGGTGTGTCCTTACTCTGTGCAAAATAAAAAACTGTATAACTCAGAAAATTAAAAGATAATGTTCGTTTTCTAGAACAAAACTTTTAGGAGAATAAATACTACGAGGGTGTTCAGATCGAGAAATGAGAAAAAGATACCAGTGCAATAGTCTTTACTTCGATAGTAAATGGCTCTCAACATTCGAGTTCTATGATTTCCCACTTTTTCGGTCCTTAGTCTTCCCAACAATTCAGAAAAGAAAAATATATAATAAGCATCAAAATTTATATGATTCAATTTCCATATGCATTTTGCAGATAGGTACACGGATCCTTATAAGCAGTATATGCAGTCTTTGTTATGTTACGATTTAGCACCAATCCATGGATCAACATTATTAATTGACGGTAATCTTCCAGTAAGTTTTACTTCTAAAGTTAAAACACTCGACTTTTATGAATGATTATCAAAATTGTGATTCGCTTACAATTTCTCTCGAACATTCTCCAAAATTTCATATAATCGATCCATTTACAGATGCGTAAAGCGCTGCTGGCTCTTTATCAATCGAGACACGAAGCGGCCGTGATAATCAATTCAGTTGCACATAAACCGGTAGGTATGATAACCGTTACCGATTGTCTTCGTGCGCTTGCCTTTACTCTCAATATCGATTCTGATATAGGTGGTCGTCCAGTTCGCGATTTCATCGAAGCATACGGCAATAAGAAACTTATCACTGCAACCGTCAATATGTCGTTAGTGATCTTATTTGCTTCAAATTCCTGTAATCGCTTTGATATTGCAAGTGATAAGTGAACTGTTTTTCAACCCTTTTCTAATCATTGCTGATGTTTCATCTTGATTGTATTTCACGCATTGCTTTTACATTGCAGTGTTTGGGATGTAGCTAGGTTATTTTGCCTTAATCATGTTCATCGCATACCTATATTTCAAAGTGATGAAAGCGATCTATTCACTGATATTCTCTATATGCTATCTTTGCGACGAATTTTCTGTGAAACTGTTATCAAATTGGTAAATGAATTTTTGCTTTCTTGGAAAACTCTTCACCATTGAAGGAAATCCTTCTGACGAGTGAAAAAAGAACGACAATAAATTCGATTTCATAACTTATCACGAGAAGTTATATCGACATCTCTAGGTATCTGACGTGCTCAGAGTTAATTGAGATGTTATTGTCTGATTTCCTTCGCTTTTGCTTATCTTTAAAACTTACCCAACTTATATATCAAAAATATTTCAGGTAGAGCCAAGTTTTTCATTGGCTCCTCATATAAAGCACCGAACATTACTCGATTCCGGTATTGGTACGTGGAAGGATGTTGTTACGGTTAGTCTTTACTTAAATGTATATTACTGTAATTGTCTTGAAGTGAGTAGATTAAAATTTATGGAAAACGAATTCAAAAATTTTAATTGCTGATCTGTTTTCTGGCATAACACAAGGAAAATGTTTGATTTTTTAAGAAGAATTTTGAATTTGCAGTTTCTAAGAAACAAGAGCATGCTCTAAAGTTGAAAATTGTTTCAATTTATGTTTTTGCTAAAATTTTCGTCTCGGTTTTTTTTTTTTTTTTTCTGGAATAAGAAAGACTTAGATAGAAATAAATTAGTAATGAAAATTATGATTTCTGTTTTGTTAAATTTATTCTATCCTAATGAAAATTGCAGATTACAAGTAATGCACGCTGTGGTGAAGTAATTGATAAACTTATGACAAGGAAATTATCATGCATTGCTGTCGTTGATGAGCACAATATCGTACTCGGGAAAATCAACAAAAATGATATCATGCGTGAACTTGTAGAGCACTCCAATAATTATCTGGAAATTGTCAATTTGCCCGTCCAGGTTATTTATAATTTATTCAAGCATTTGGCCCGATAAATTAAAATTCAAAATTTCAACTTTTAAGCTTGTAACAGAAGAAGTCTTCTGTTAGAGGGCACTGACAACTTTTTTTAGACTTTGAGAAAGAAAGTTGAAGTGCAAATGTATATATCTGTGGTTTGACGCGTGCATGGTGTAAACTAAGGTTAAACTATTGTAGCTTAATATATCGCACATTTAATTTGTTGAAATAGTTTGTGGTGATTTCTAGAATGTTTATCGCGTTCCACCGTTTGGTCGTCCAACTCACACTGTTTACGAAGGAATCGCTTTGTTGTTATCGTCTGATGACCAATGTTTGTTTATTGTTGACTGCAATCAACGCGTTATGGCTGCTGTTGCCTTTGCCGATATTATGAACTATATTTTGAATTCGAGCGACATTCATCAAGAAATCAATGCTGGCTAAATAAAAGCCTTATAGATTCTTAAATATCATACCAGTTATAGAATGTACTACACTTAGTCATGCTCCTCACTTTACCCAACTCCTTTCATGACCATTATAGCTCAGGTTGAACGGAGAAATTAATGATTTGCAACGCCAATTCATCTTTTCTGCTTATTTGTTCACCAAATAATTCTTTTCAATTGTTGTCTAAAAATTCTAAATAGAAATTGCTATTTGTTAAAGGATCATTTGTTGCCTTTCCCCACAAGATTTTCTTCCAGAATTGTACACTTTCTCATTTTCTTAAGCGTATCAGTACAATTATTACTTGATACTAGCTGCTTAGCTAAGATGGGAATATAAGGCGAAGTCAAATATGCCAGAGAGATGTAGAATTTACCAATCCAAAGACATTTTAATTTTTTACAAAGCAGTGCTTCTCGCTAATTTCACTTTTATTACGTTAATTGATTCGATTTTGACTGCATCGATATAGCTATACGGGTTTCTTGTTGAAATAATAAGTTATATTAGTCCCCGAAGTTACTAGTCAGTTAACTCTTTGGCAATTCTTTTAAATCACTTGTTTCTTTCTAAAAGTGCTTCTGTTCATTCTTTTCAATGTTTCAACGTTTTCGTAAATCTCTTTTAATTTACCTATTTCGAAATCATTTTCGAAAATTACTTTCTCAATACGTGTATTCCGCTAGTAAAGACTGATATGAAATCGTGGACTAAACATATGCTATTGTGAAAGTCGGGATTCAGTCTGAATACAACTTTCTTATGCTCATAGACCTTCCTTGTTTGTTATTGTAGTTGGTGTGGATGAATGCATTGAATGATAGTATGTTGTAACGATTTTATGTTCTAACAACCACAACACATAGATATTAATTTAAAGCAACAATACTGATAATTTCGTAGAGTATCTATGAATTTGATGAAGAAAATGTATAAATGAACAAATTGATGGGGAAATGAACTGAATAGTGAGTGACGGAGAGCAGTCGAATTGTAGCTTACTGGTAAGGTAATAAAACTGACTGAGACAAAGGATTTAAATTCTTATATTTAAATTGACTTGCAGGAGTTATCAGATGATCTTTGCTCTCTATATAGTAAGAGATGGGTTTTAATATTGTAATTGCCCAAAGGATGACTATCAGCTTACAAGACCTTTACAATATTTCGACATTGCAAGCACATTTGATTTAGAACAAAGGAGTAATTTTTAACACATTAAACAATGCACATGCCTTTGTTATCAGATGAAAATGTCTGGACAAAGGATAAGCTCAACTACAATGGGAAAGTGAGTGTTGGGATAATGATTGCTTGCTGTATAGTTTGAAACAGTTTTACATTTCTGGTGTTCACTTAAGACGAATTGTAGTATTATGGATTATACGACTTTATTAGATGTATTTGTAAATTATTTAGAGGTTCGCGAGATTATCGAATTTCGTGACATATGCCTGGAATCCCTCTCAGTATCCTATTATATAGCGCAACTTTCTCGGGTATAGCGAAAGGAGGGAAATTTACTATTGAAACCACTGTCAGGTATGCCCTTCCATCCTCATATTATATTCAGTTAATTCATTGAATAAAAACATTGCATTTTCAATTTTGACACAAAAGCACAGAAGAGCAACGAACGATCAGTCCCCTTATCAACATTTAAAAGCGAAGTGACAAAGTATTCTGATTGTGAACATACTGTATCGATGTATCACATGCTACACCTCCTCATTATGAACAATGAACTGAAAGGAAAACTTTCAATGGAGATATTTCGTTCATTCAACTTCTCGTCTGACAAACAAATCATACTTCAACTTCTAAATTTTAAATTCGCACTCGAAATGTGTACGATAACTAGGAATGGAACAGCAAATTCAGCACTTCCTCATCAAGAGAAGAAAGAAAATACCAGAGCACTTGACATTTCAATGTTGATTCCGAAAGCTACCGATGACAGAATATGTCGTCCTTCCTTTACTGAGCTGCTACTTCTTTCCCCAGATTTGCACTAAACAATCACGCCTTCGAATATTTCACACTCCGAAGACTAACCTGCAGACACTAAGGAACTGTACCCTTTCGGACAAGGCTACATTACAACCTCTCACGGTTACACATCCCCTCTCCACATTTGATTCCACCGTCACTTTCACTTGGGTTTAGGTTCAAATTGCTGGAATGTTTTTGTTTCCGGTGTCATGATCGCTTGTGTTCTCACTATTTTAGATGGTTTTGGTAATTTGTGAGTTTCAGGGAACTGAGATAGATGAGTGGCACGTTGATAGACGTGACTGCATCAACTAGTGGAGCTGCGACACCACGGTCGAAGGTAAGTGATTGAAGATTTAGCTTGGAGACTTCGTGATGTCAATCCAAAAAGATTAATCATGCTGCCATTACATGAGAAAAGAATTTCCTATATTGCAAACAATCTTTTTTATGAGAAGCAGTAATGGGTTCTTACAGAGACAATAAGGAACCATTCGTGGTTTATCACATCCATTTGTTTCCTTTTGAAACGAAATATCAGGTACAGCAAGCTTCGAACTATAGGTAATAAATTCCAGATCGATGCCCTCTCACGGGATGATTTGATTCGTTTCGTCAAGAAACAAATTGATAAATTGAAAACTGCCAAGTGTGAAAATGAAAAACTCAAAGTGGAACTGGGAAAAGTGCTGAAGGATTTCAATGTATATTTATATTCCGTTCGAAATTTCATACTAAATTACACCGCGTAGCATTACGTTTCATTTATCACAATATTTTTCTTTCTTTGTTGTTACTGTGCCTTACTTTAAAGATTATAATTTTGAGACGGTGCAATTGTCTTTTTCTGTAGCCATTTGTGCCGTTTATTTTGGTAAAATAATCTATTCGTGCTATAATTATTTTAACTTTTAAGTCTAAAGATAATGACTCATAAACAGTTATCCAAGCAATCTTCGCTTTATGTTTGAAATTGTATCAGGAATTTGAAGAAAAGCTGCGAGACGAGCAAGAAAAAAGCACGGAAAAAACGAGGGAAATTCGACAATTGAACGAAGTTAATTTTAGGATTTTTTCTCGATGATAGTAGCCGAATGCTTTTGAAATATTATTATCCAAATATAAAAACATTCGCCAGCGACATCAGCTGGATTTAAAAAAATAATTAGATGTTATGCCATATTTCAACATGCTGATATTTTTTTTGTCTCGTCCTCTATGTATTGTTATAGGCAAGGCGCTAAATAGTTAAGAAGTAGTCTTAATATCAAAGGATAAAAAGACTCTAACGGCGCAAAAGACAACAGTTTTTCTTATTTTGCAACATTTTTTAGAAATGTAGTGATCTAGAAATGAAATGCTCAGATTTGGCGCTACAACTTGGGGAGCTGAAAACGCAGTTAGAAGAAGACCAGGTGAAATCTCATTGTTTTCAAATTTCATTAATTAAACATTAATGAAGTTTCACTGTATAAAAGTTAATACAAAGTATTTAATCGAGTAAATAGTTTTCCATCCACAGTTCATCAAAAAAGGAAGGAGTTGAGAAAAAAATTAACATGCAAGATTGCTACATCCAGGAATTTTCTCAAAACATTAAAATTTTCAGGATCTTGATGGAAAGCTTAAATCACATAAAGTTAACAGTGATTCGAATGGCGATGATGTTATCTCCATTCATATAGTCCAAGTACAAAATGAGTTGACTTCAATGAAGAGTTTGCTCCGGAAACAAACAGAAGAATGCGATAAGGTATTTTATCATTTTTCAAGCAGTTTCTCTTCAAATATTTCCAACTTCCAGTTGTCAAACTTTTAAATACCATCATGAATCGATTTGCACCTAATTATTTCAGCAAACAAAGGAAAAGGAAAAATTGACATATACAGTGGCTGAATTGCGTTCGTTATTGGACGATGCTTATGCACAACTCGAATCTTACAAAGAGGTTGTTTATCGTACTTTTTTATTTAATCAAAATAGGAAAGAAAATAAAATTTAAATTAACTGATTTTTATGAAAAAAAACATGTAGTAGTTAGCTTCTTAAACCGTTATTTTATATTTAATTCATTTATTAATTGGCGATGGACTCATGAATCATCATTAACTTTGTGACTTGCGCTGATTTCAGATCGCTAGTAAATTGCAATCTGGTTTTTAAGATTTTTCTGGAACATAAAAGCATGGTTTAAACAATGTGAAATAATGAAGTAATATTTTTTATTGAATGCAGAAAAAAAGTATGGAAAATGTGATCACATTAGAAATGGCCGATTTTGAGAAAACGGTTGAACGACTGCAGAAAGAGCTTAAAACAGTAAATTTCGAAAAACATTCACTGCAGTCACAGTTAGAATCAATGATGAAGGAAATGAACAATATTCATGAAGAAAAAGCTCTCCTCACTGATAATATTGCAGAACTGAATGCTGTCCTCAAAAATTTAAGGGAAGAAATGGAAGGCGAGTTTTTTTTTTTTCAAATTCCGAGAATATGTCAATGCTAGAATGTATAGTGATATAATAGGAAACAAAAATGCTGATTCCTACCGCTTATTTCACTTCAGAGAAAAAAACGGAACTTGCTTTACATAAAAAAGAGCGAAAAGATTTGGTCGAAGAACTACAGAAGCAGGTTTCTGCTCAAAATAGAGAACGCGATCAGTTGATATCAGTGATTGGAGTAAACGAGGAGAAGATTGGAGATTTGGAGGCACTGAATGCTTCATTGAATCGGCAATTGGCATCACTTTGTTCGCAACGTGAATCATTACAACGACAGTACGATGATCTCTCTGAAGAGCACTCAACTTTTAGGGTGAAATTATCAGATCGAATTGAACCTCCGATTAACCCTTCAAGATTCCAAACTGCTATTTTTTAAAATTGACATTTCAACTTTATGTGGATGGACGGAGAGATGATAATTATAGACGCGAGCTCTTTATGTGTTGGAGCAAAAGAAAAGTGAGGATGATGAACGTGCGAAGGGAGAAATTGAAATATTAGAGGAAACGATTCGGCAGCAAAATAGAACAATTGACAATTTGACGTAAGCTTTTAGTTGTTTAACTGCATTTGTTGGCTTTACTTGATTTCCTCTGGACGACTGTATCATCAAAATCACAAAATTTAGAGAAGAAAAGGATTTATTTCACAGATACATTCAAAATGGGACTTTTGCAACCGTAAAACTTTCTTTTTCAGCAATTCATATCGTATGTTACAAAATGAACTTGATTCCTCATCAGGACATATTAGAACACTTTCGACCGAAATATCAAATTTACAACGACAGCTCACCATTGTCACTGAATCTCACAAAAAAGAGCAAGTTATCCACTCGCTTTTATCCGTATTAGTTATTCATTATTGCAAACATTGTTTTTACTGTTGGAAATAATTCGTGTTTAGTAAAGTCGTCAAAAATTTTGGTCATAAAATTCAGCATTGTCTTTCAGAATCACGCTCCACCTTTTTTTTGAAAACAAGTCCCAAAAGCCGTACGTCATATTTCTAGATTGTCAGAACAGCGGCGAGAATTCGAATTACATTTTGCTTCTGAAGCAAAACTGAATAATGAATTATTGACTCAAATTGATGCAAGTATTATTTCACATAATCAAGAAAAGGAAAATTTGTTGGTAATTGCTCGACAAGAACGTAAAGGCTTAGAGGAAGAAATGGAACGTTTAAGACGTATGTTGGATGAAGAAGTGATGCGACGAAAAGAAATGGAAAAGATTCAAGTGGCAACGGCTACGCAGAATGTAGCTATCCAATTGCAGAAATCTTCTAAATATATTCTGCCGTTCAGGTCTGAAAAATTATGGTACCCTAAGTGCGATTAGTATTGCAAGCTTTATGCATTATTTCTTGAATATCTTTTTGTCAAGTTAAATGAATGTGTAATCGATTCATTGAGTTTGAAAAACAAACCACGCAATCTGTGTTTCGTACTGTACTTTTTACAAATTCACACAAAAGTAATAACTTATCCAGGGACATCTGTTATAGCACCTATCTGATTCGACCCTCAATAGAGACCGCAGATGCAGTTGAAAAAGATATCAAATGTGATGATAATGATGAAAAATGCGAGGAAAAGTCACTCGAAGAAGTAATTTATGGGGAATCTGAAGAACTGATTATAACTGATATTCGGAACCAAGCGGATACTTCAGTAACATCACAGAGTATTACCCAAATAATTACCAAACAAGTTCGATTATGCTTTCGATAACGATCTTGATCAGTATCGTGATTATTTCATTTACTGTTCGATTGAGTTTGAAAAATGAAAGTTAAACTTCTTTCCATAAACTTCTTCGGAGATGAAGAAAAGTTTGATTTGGTATGCTGAAGCTCATTTCATTTTTAGTATGATCCGCAAAGAATGAAAGACTATTGTATCTCACAGTGATGTAATAACACTCAGTAAAGAACATTTCCGAGGAAGTTTATGGAAAATTCACTGATTAATGCATATTTTATGAAATTTGGTTTAGTTGGAACATACGCGAGAGCTTTTGAATGAAACAGAAGCAACAAATGCAAAATTGGTAGAGCAAGCGAAACTTTTGAAGGAAGAGATTCGCAGAATGGAACGTGATCGGGAGCGTCAAAGTCATCTGACCAATACTGAGTATTTAAAAAATGTTATCATGAAGGTAAATGAGTTTTTTTTTTTTTTTGAAATTCTCCACACTATGTCAGAAATAGACATCTCCTAGACGTTTTTTTTTTTTTTTTTTTTTTTTTTAAATTTAAATACAAATAGCTGAAATTTGATAGGAATTTGGGCTGTTGATTTTTGAACTGATTTTCGATAGATGTGCTTTTCTGCCAGAAATTTCTGTGATCTGTATTTATAAGAACTATTTTCCCTCAGATGCATTCATTATTACTCTTCACAAAAGCAATGTTACATCATATCAGTTATGATCTCAACCAGTTAGGTTTTTGGGACTGCTTCTTGGAATTTGATTTATGATATAGTTGTGTAAATCTAGTGATATATCGACCTCTGTAAATCCAAATATTTCTTTAATAAATGTGTTGCCACTGCAGCAATGATATATTTCCATGTTTATATAACCAGATGTTTTAAGAAGATTTTTTATTTGATTTTTGTTAGTTCATTGCACCAGAAAAAGTTACCGATGAACGTGGTCGTCTGATACCTGTTCTGACAACGATGTTGAAATTAAGCAATGATGAAGTGAATTTACTCATTCAGGTGGCCGAAGGTATATTCTTTATCGCTTGTCAATCGCTAGAAGTTAAATTTGAAGTTTTCGTAAGAAAATAGCTGAAACTGAAATTGATCAGAATATGGATGGAATTGGGAAACATTAAATGTATCGAAAAATTAGCCAACATTTTTCATGTTTTGATGATGCAAATAGAACCAGCGATACTTGAAATTACATTATCTTAGAACTTCTCCAGATAAGCCTTTTACAATAAACACAAACGAAAAAAAATGGAAGGGATTTACTGTACGTGTTCTTCCTAATTTTTTCATCCGGATTCTGATCAGATTTTTTCAATCACTTCAGCAGTAATATCTTGAGTGCACTTCATCTCCTGTTTTCATATTCCTGCCAGTTGTAAAACTTGCTAAATTTAATAATTAAGTTTTAATTTTAGCGGATGTTGCAACGAATAAAACGGCTGCGTCGAGTTGGAGAAACTATATTTGGTCTGGTTTATCCTAAAAGTTTATTTTTTTTTTTATTCCTTTATTCGTTATAAGCTTTTGAAAAAAAGAGCCTTGCTTACTTTCAGTTGAAGCATCCTTCTATTTGCTTCTCATTTTCACTTTTTTTATTCTGTTATTTCGGGAAATTTTCCACCAAATAGTTTTGTAAATAGTTTAAAAGAAAAGCTTGTCCAGCAAACACTTTTTTATCGAAAGTTCTAATCCGTTTTCATTAACTATGAAATTCTTTTCTCCTAAGTTTTTATCCATATTTGCAATTTACTCGTTTGCCGATTTACTCCGATTAGTTAAATTATCTACTTCTGTTGAAACTTCTATGACTTCATCTGCTCTTAACAATTCAACATTGTATAATAGTCCCAGCCTTATCACACCTCTTATTTAGCGTATGTAAAAGGATTTTGTTTATACCTTTTAGTTTTGCAAGATTTTTAATTGCAAAATTTAATACTGTGATATGTACCATAATGCAATTTATGAGTTTCCTCTAGGTGCTTTCAAAACATTATTTCCAGCTGTATTCCATTTTTAATGTAATTAATAATGCGATACTTCACTCGAAAATTTCAGATAACCATTTTATTTTTATATTTTGGAGTTGGAACAGAATCATTCTGTCAAGGCTGTCTGACTCCGTTTTTACGTCGTTTTCTTCATTACCATTTAATGAGGTGCCTGGTGTTTTTATTAAGAGAATTTCATTATTAAAGGAACTATTGTATATTTCATAAGCAATTCATAGTATACGAAATGGTGATAGTAAATCACCTCTATTCTATTACTTCGAAATATAAGAATAAGTTCAACAAAAAAAAAAAAAATGTAGAAATTTATTACGAAAAATGAGAATCAGCTGTTATCAAGCCTTCTTTTCCGAACTTTCCGTAACTTTCAACATATTACTGTCGCATCCTGATTTACGTAAAGAAATCCCTTAATTGCTGATTATCTATGTTACTGACATGAGTTCTTCATCAATGCAGATTACATCTTACTGCCTACGTGATAAATCTGACTAATCTGTAAAGTTTATGCTTCAAATGAAATTTGAAGTGAAAAAAAAAAAAAAAAAAAAAAAAAAACTTATGCTTTTTAAATCCTTCCATCTAACAACACCAGGGAAATGCTATTGTAAAAACATAGTGATATCTGGTTCGAACTAAATACCATCAGTCGATATTGGCATCCTTTACACTAGATTCACAAAAGAAAGATAATAGAAATGATTCGTTTACGTTCTAGCTGACAGGATTTCAACTTTATTATGACTTTCCCAATGCACAAATGGTTTTATGCTTTTAAAATCAATAGTAGAAGCGTAAAAATATTTCCAGAAAAAAAAGAAAAGAAAAAAAATAAAATAAGCAACTGAAGTTTATTGGTTCAGTTTAAAATTTGTTTGAAACTGTTTTTTTGAAGCATCCTTCCAACATTCATTTTTATTTTTATTTTATATGTTCGGTGTTTAACGTGCCACTCTTGTATATGAGTGTATCGTCCATCATTTGGATTGAAATCCAGTCACTGGATTTCAATTTTTATCCTCCGCTACGTTTCGTATTTTTTTTCCAGCAAAAATATATCGTGTGAATAGTTTCCATTTATTGATGACTTGAACTGAATTGTAACTGATTAATTAATAAATGCAAAGAGAGCCAAATCTAGAGATGGAAGAGCGAAAGTGTCCTGAACTTTTAAAATAATTCCTAAACCTATAGTCTACATGATAATGGTGGTAACGATATTAATAACATAATTAGCGACATGGGCCACCAAAAAGTGTAAGTCTCAAATATGACGTTTTAAAAACATATACTAACACAAACGTTTTAAAAACATATACTAACGTTACTGAATTAAGTAAAAATCAATTCCACTTATCTTCTTTTACCATTTAAATCTAAACTTTCGAGTTGCTTTTCTCATGACTTCCTATCTATTTTCCACATATGTGAAACGACTAAACAGATCGAAATGACCACTGCATCTTGCAAAGGAACTGATCAGTAAAATCTACGACAGCAGGAAACATTTTGTTTAGTTCGAAGCACCATCCTGCAAGTTTAGCGGCATTATCATATCCAGCTGCTGATTCTAAAATAGAGAATTTTAGTGTTTACGATGGTAAGGAATAAATTTCTTAACATTTTTTATTCAGAAGTGTAGATAAAAAAAAGCTAGAGATTTTAGACGACTTTAACTGCAGAGTTCTTGTCATGAATAATGTGTATATAAAATATATGGGAATCTGATGAACACCACTTTGAAATACAAATTTAATTTCAAAAATCTTAAAAACAAACCTCATGATTCCACATGATCGGCTGACACTCAATACATATTTCCCGACAGCAAAGTGATGCGGAAAAAAGAGATAGTACCAGTTGCAAGATAGTTGCTGCAATAATCCCAGCATCCAAACGATACTCAGTCCCCAATCGTGTCATCAAACTATAAATTTACTCGTTAACTCCTTCAACTACAAGTCAAGACCTTACTTATCGTATTGCAAAACTGCATTTTAAATTTAACTCGCAAATTAATAAAATGCCAAGATCACATATTAATAGTTCTAGTAGATCAAAATACAGAAAACAAGTTCACAATATTATTCCAGAACAAGAACAAATTGATAACCGGAACAACTGACAAGCGATACCTTCTCTTGTTGTCGTCAATATTTTCGCCACAAAGGATTTGACATCGACTATTTTCCGGCAAACTAGTCGCTAGCAGATGCCAATCACATTCACCGAAACATTCAGCCTAAAAAACAAAAACTTTGGTTCTTTTCATCCAACAGTTCAATATAGTTTAACAATGGATGTCATTTTAAGAAATTTACAAACCTGGTAAAAATGTATATCGAAGCTAGAAACAATTACAATTGCTGGTACGAAAATAAGGATTGCATGCAGATTCATTACCATGAATGCCAATATTAGACCACGACGATGACTGGCTGAACCACAAATTCCAATGATACTGAAGAGTATATCATTCAAGGATCGAAAATTAGATTTGCTTTTCGTAAATAAGAGTAACACGTCTTTTCTTCTTACCTTGGTGTTTATTTGCATGTGTCTACACAAGATCCTTTCTAGTTCATAAAGGAAGTATTACCCCGTTAAGATGAAGTAGAACGAGCAACATTCCTCAAGACCAATCATTCGAATTGTATGAATTCGTGAGCTCATATAATCTGCTAATGCAGCCAATATAAAAATTATCAAACCAAGCACAACGTGGCATTGCGCTAGGCACTGAAAATTAAAAAAAAAAAGTGTTTTTTTACAGACTGTTTTTCCGAAGTAAACATAACTTCTTCTGAACATGAACCACACATCATTCCACTTATACCTACGGCATTTGAACATACAAAAGATGGAAAAAACCTTGAGCAATCCATGCGATCGGAGCATTCTGTCAGAGCGCCATTCATTCGATCCAAGAGTAGTATGCAACAAGGACATGCTGAACCACTAGCACGCTTAGTTAAGGAAGAATAATAGCAACAGGAATGCTCACATTTCTTCTTCTACGTGGTTCATTTTTTTCAAATCTTTCAGTGGCAGTGTTGCAATTTACGTCTTCCCCTCACGATTCGTTCATTTCAACTGAAATCAATAAAGCATCATGAATTATATCTAAATGATACAAAGAAAGACTTTTGGAATTTGAAAGATGAAACTTCGGAGATACTCAATATCCTGCAGTGAGAGCAACTGTAAGTAAACTATACACACTTGGTAGCCAAATCAAATTCGTCTGCCTTGTCCAGTAACACGACAATGCTTAGTTACACAAAGTTGCAGCCAAGCATTCAGCATTGGTTTAAGCATTCAAATACCGCAGCGTTCACATGCAAGTGCACTCTGCATGCAGAACTTTACCTACAAGTTAGATTTCAACGACAAGTCAGTTGCTGCAGTCAATAACATGGATGAACCAACATTTCTGTCATACAGTTATATCTGCACTGTCCTCGAGCGGTTTCATATATAACATGAGCCTCGACCCAAACACTGGCAGAGACTCGTGCCAATACCACTGCATTATGAGGAACTCCCGTCAACCTCAATATGTCAACTGGATGTGACGCCCCTGCAAGTGACGTCAGTAGGAGTAGAGAAGCTGAGAAGTGAGGAAAGTTAACATTAAATGGAAATCAATGTCACTCAGATAGATATACGTATGTTGAGTATGTTAGTGTTTACGAGAATTTGTATATTGGTGCATATGGGTTATGTATGTAGTGTGTGCGAATGTATGTGTCTGTGTGTGTATGTGTCTATGTATAAATGCGCATATGTGCAACAGATAACAACAGAAGATGAGTGGGATGGAATAGGAGGGAGAAAGGGGAGTGTGCATTGGGCATAGTAACTCTGTTGACAGTTAATCGTGTCGCATGAATTGCTGGACGTGGGACATGGAAGTGGAGAGGACACTGGGGGCGGTAGGAGTAGCAATCAGTTGTGTCGTTCAGTGTTGAAATGAAGGGAAATCATCGTTTTATTTGTTGAGCAATGTCAAGCAAGATACATAAATTTGCATAGAATACAGAACTTATGTCCAACTTTCTGCTTTGACTGTTGTTTGGGGATTTTGTTGATGATATCGCTATATAAGCATTGAGCAAAAGTTAGGTTTAAGAGTCAACAAGTTACTGTCATTATTTAAAGCTGGATATGACTGAGGATATTTCATTTTCCCATCTTCTTTCTCTCAAAAAAATCTTTCTTTAGTACCTGTGGGGGAATGGAACTGTTTGAATAGTCACAAATTTTTTATCACCAAATAAAAATTAATAGAATTTAATTGGCCTTTCCAGTTATCCAAAGATGTCATATTCCCGAAAGTAACTTGTCGTATTCTTGTTTGAATTTCAAGAATTATTTGATTTAATCCGTCGATCAGCTTTGCCAGTAATTACAATGTTGTAAATAACAATGGAAATTGCAATTATATGACAGATATTAACGAAAATCATTGTAATGCGATACAACGTCCACGTGAAACAACGACGAATGTTCTCCCTGGAGATAGTGAAATCAGATATATATTAAAGGAATAATTCACAAAAGCAGGTTCAATAAACTTAATACAAAGTTCACAAAGGAACTTCGAATTCATTACTGCTTCCTCATTAGCTTGTTTTCTGTTGACAATAACTATGACATAGTAGGAATTACAAAGAGAATAACTTACTTGGTGTCATGCTTTGGATTAAGCGGTAGGCAGCACCAAAAGAAGCGCAATTTAGTGAACTTGACGATGCCCCATGTCAAAGCAATCAATTTGATCCAGGAGACAAGACGTGCTGGACTTGCTATAGGCATACTCGGTTCATATGCGAACAACACATTTAGTAAAATTGGTAATGGTACCTAAAAATGATAGATTACGGTGAACTATATATATATATTATATGTATGAGAAGTTAGTTGAATATTTGATTTTATTTCTCCTCATCCACGACATTTTCACTTTTTTTCAACATCAAGCGATCAGAAGCACAAATTGTACCAATAATACGGAGAATAGCAAATGTTAATCCTTTTCAAACCTCCATGTTAAATTGTTATTTAGCAAAAATTTTCTAAATACGAAATCTGGATACAAAAAATTTTTGCAAAGCAATAATTTGAGAAATATACCATAAACCATCGTTCTTAAAAAAGGAAAATTATTGGTAACCAATTTGCTTAGAGAATTAAAAATAGTTCATAAAGACTTCACACATTTTCAAAAATCATTTAAAATTGTTCGTATGCCTAATATCGATATAAAGTAACTTACTTCCAGACTTATATGAAGTCTCGACTTACATTAAAATGATTAATAGGATAAACTTGTGTAGAAATAAATATAACTATGGTAGGTTTGAAAATAAACGGTATAAAATGCTTACTTCTTCAGCAGCAAGTACTAGTGATTTAGCTAATCGCGCATTAAAAACATTTTCACAATCATTCTTCAGTGTCAAGCAAACATCAGTCATCTCAAAGACATAAACAATCACAGAAATGCCAGTGAAAAAGAAATAACCATAAGCAGCCAAAAAAGCTGCGTCACTGTGGAAATTCGGCAAAAATTCCGCTATCCTGTAAAGATTTTGACAGAAATCTTTTCATAGAAACATAAGACTTTGAACATTTTTTAAAACACTCAGAGCTCTTATGCTTGCGTAGTAATTGAAGACAACGTTAGGAATTAAAATTAATGAACAAGGTGGAGGTATTTGCATCGAAGTTGGAAATTTCATAAACTTCAGCTTGATTTACTGCTTCCTCTTTCTTCTACTACCAGATCGAACGTTAAAGCATGAGGAAGGGATCGGAGATAGAATACGGTGATATTTACACCCTTTTCTTCCTCTGATCCTCTTCCCAAATCAGTAGTTGATTTGAGGGCTAATTATAATGTTGTTACTTTTTTTTTTTTTTTTTTTTTTTATTTGATGGAGAGCAATATTTAATCCATTGATAACTACGGACTTGCTGCAAAATAGAAAATCGGCTATCAGATCGAGAGTTGAAGCAAAAAGGGTCACGACAGCAACAACTCGTAGAGGTGGTGCCCATTCCAATGTGTCCCTGTAAAACAGTAAACGGTGTTTCCTGATATTCTTAACACTTTTAAATTATTTCAATTCTAATCATTGTGTAAACTGACTAGAATGGCAATAGTTTAACGGTAAGGAAATCAAGTTGGAATATATTTGCGAATTTAGTAGAGAAAGTATTTAATGGATAGATTATTTTTCCAGCAAACAAATTTATGCATTATTGCTTCCTTCATATTGATTCTATAGTCCGCGCAAAAAACAGAATTATAGAATTACTTCGGGCCACCACTTCTTGACCATACAAGTCGGTAACCCATTCCGGATAACACCTGAAATCAAAATCAGATTTTCAAAGAATGCTAACATAAACTCGCTTGGGCGAATTAATGGAAAAAATGAAGATATATAAATAAGTTAACAAAAAGCAGTGCAAATTTTAAATAGTTTAAAGGCTGGCTCTCATGAACTAGAAAAATAGAACAACAATTTTTTTTTTTTTAATGTTCGCATCACAGCTGAAATTGAAACTGAGATGAGTATTTTAACTGAAACAGTTTCTGAGAACTTGATAGTGATGGAGAAAGCACAGAAAACTGGGAGATCAAAAAAAAAGAAAAAAATTGATGGATGTGATCGGAAGGAAGTAGGGCAGTTGCTATGAGAAATGTTTCTTTATTGTGAGAACAAATAAGCATCCTCCATCATACGCGGTTGAATTTCGATGACAGCTATGTTTTAAAACATTCATTCATCTTATTTTACTTCTCGAGAAAATTCGAGAGAAAGCTGTTCAATTTCTTTGAAGACAGAACTTCCTACATGCTCTGACATGGTGATTGATGTAGAGTAGGGCAGAATGCAGTACTCATAAATTAGGCCAAGAAATATCACTAGGAAAATGGATGTTTTCTAATTTCGAAGCTGTCGTAGCATTTTAGAAATTATATAAAATTTATATAAATACATTTATACAAAAAATCTAGACAGAGGATGCGACAGCATTTAATGGCACTCAATACGATACTATGATGTATAAAGTTTGTCATCCATTAGCTTATGCTATCACCTAGGAATACTGTTTATTTTCTCCTCATTAATTTTCTGATTTAGATAATTAGTATTTTATTTCAAAAGAACAAATGAAATGATAATAAATAGAGTAAGAGTTTTAGAAAGACCCTAAAACCGAACCATAATCCAATTTTACTCAATCGACATTCGGAAAAAAATTTGGTTTCGAATCGGTGAACTACTGCTTTCAATGCAGTCAATAATTCCGCTCCAGGTAATCATCAAATTCCTGCTGGCTTTATCTGATAACAGCAAGTGGTAGAAAGTAGCTAAAAGTAGTGGCAAGTAGTGCTAAGTGACAGCAAGTGGTTTAAGAGTAATTTTACCACTTTTACGCTAGTGATGCTTTGGAGTATTATTTAGAGTATATTAATACAAAGACATGCAAAGGCGAAAATTAACACACATTGAACAGAAATAATAAAAAGTGCGGGCTATGGGAAAAAATTGAACATTAGCAAGGAGACGTGCTTTCAAAAATTAAAAAAGGGAAGGAATAAAACAAAAAAAGTAATATTTAGGGAAAACTTTCAAGAATTAAGATTTATTCAATATGATGCATAAAATAAATGAAGTTTATAAAAAATATAAGGAAAGATTTCGTAAAATGATAAATATAATAGACAAATGTAAAATGGTACGAAAATAATTTTTTTTTTTTTTAAGAAAAACATACGAAAGTGAAATCAGTGATCAAAAAAGAAAAGATGAATTGCTAAATAAAGAAGACATTGTGCAAAAAAGAAGGAAAAAAAGCTAATTTAACAGAAAATTAGGAAAAAATTCGAGTTATTGCAAGAAAGAAACTATAAATTCTTCGAAATTTCAAAACCAAGGTCTCCAAAGAAATTAGGATAAAAAACTTCAAACATATGCTAACCATAAGTGAAAAATAAACCTGTTGCAGATAAAACTCTTAATTGCTACTGCAAAAAAGAAAAAAAAAGAGGAAAAAGAAAAATGAAAAACAAAATTGTAAACAAATGATAACTATAATTTACCTAAATAAGGAAATAAACCATAAAAAACGACGAACGAAAAGCAAATAATAAACGAAACGGATCCCATAGATTGTTTTGCCACTAATAGGCCATTGCACTTAGGTATAAAGAATAAGGAAGAGGGGAAGAAAAGGACAATGAATGCTCCGGATCGATCTTTAATAATAATTTTAATTAAATGAAGATATGTTTATTGCATAAATGATTGGCATATAGCTAGAGTTAAAAGACCAGTAAAACTTAAACTTTAATACATAGAAGAAAAAAATGTCCATATATAAGTTAGAGGACACCGAAACGTGCAAAGGATCAAAATCTCCGTCAAAAGCTCTCCCATTCGGTAATACTGCTGTGAGTGATTTCACAGTAAGTAGAACAAAGAAATTTTCCAGAAATAAAACAAAGGAATTTTCGAAAAGTTTTTGATGACATTAAAGTTGCCATAATATTTCGAGTAATCGCCAATGATCACTCTTTTCCTTTTCTGATATTTTAGTGACATTAAAAATAGTCATAGTTTTACAAATCTGATGAAAGTAATAGTCGCATATTCTTGACAATTTCATCACTTTTCCTGTGACCCTAATAGCACAATGCATATATAGACAATGTAAATATAACGAATTGTTTATAAAACTATAACTTTTAATGTTATCAAAAATATTTCAATTTAATTACTGTTTATTTTTATCCATTAAATAGATGTTTTTGATATTTTTTTGATAATTCTTCATTATTTTTTTTTTAAAAATAGATAAACTTTTTGATAAAGCCATGCTATTATTAAATGCACAAATTTAGTGCTTAATGTATCAAAAATTGCTTCCGTGAGATCTTCTGACCCGACAGCCAAACATAGATTCGATTGTTAGAAAGTTCCAGCTGTTTGTTCACTAACTTTCTTTGTTCTAAACCAAATGTACTTTGCAATGTCGAAATATTCTTCCAGTCTGGCAGTCACTTCTATGAGCAACTACCATAATGTTACAAAGCAATTCCCATGATATAAAGAGTAAAGATGACCCGCCAGTGACAGCTCTTTATTCAATGTAATCGTTTTGGGTCAAATTTTATTGTAAGTCAATGCTCACTACATGAGTTAAACCTAATGTCTTAATTAGTTCTTCACTACCAGAAAGCTTGAATTCAACCAAAAGAGAGATGACATATTATAACTTTATTTTGCGAAAATTATAGTTAGCTTTACTAAATTTGCATATTTAATATTAATATGTAGCTTTATCACAATGTTTGATTTATCTGTTTTTTTCCGAAAATAACAAAAATTTACCAAAAAATATCAAAAACATCTATTTAATGCGACAAAAACAAACGGTAGTTAAATTGAAATATTTTTGATAACATTAAAAGCAGTCATAGTTCTACAAATGATTCGTTATATCTATATATGCATTGTGCGATTAGGATCACAGTAAAAGTTAAGGAAATTTATCAAAAAGAATATGCAATTATTATTTAAATCAAAAAAGTAAAGGAGTTATCATTGGCCATCACTTGGAATACTACGCCTACTTTGATGTCATCAAACACTTCTGGAAAATTCCTTTGTTCTTCCACTTATTCTAAAACAATTTACATTACTGAATGAGTAAGCTTTTGGCGGGGTTTTGATGTTTTGCATGCTTCGGTGTCCTCTAACTTAAAATGAGATGAAGGAATCGTTCACTATTAGTTTCATGTACTCACTTTTTGGAAGAAGCTCTAAATTCTTAATTAGTTAAACATGCAAAACTATTTATAGTGATATAGCATGCGGAAATAACAACAGAGCAGATAATTTTTACTGGAATAAATAAAAAAGAGTCTTATACAATGGAATATTTAAATGTAGGCCTGGAATTAAATTATAAGTATGACATTGAATAGAAATATGTTATTGGATTTATGTAAAATAAGCTGCTGAAATAAACTTCATTGAATGCCTCCTTCATCCTGCTGTTCATCTATATTCAAAATTCTAGTCTGATTTCGTACCAGCAAAAGTGCAACAATTGCTTTTTGTAAGCCAGTAGAAGAGCTCACTGCATTGCACTGATGGGTGGAATATTTAGAAATGCTTCCGCTTCCTTTTTAAAATCTAAAAATGTATCACTTAATTTGCACTAAATGTTTACGCCTGTCATTGTCTATTTAACTTAATTTTTTTTTTTTAACACAGTGTCGACCATATGTTATTGGAAACACCAGAAACAATAATAGAGAATAGTTCCGAAAAACAATATTTCATTTAGTCTGTCGCTTAGGCTAAACTCAACACCTTTCTAGTCGAAAATATGTTTTGCTTTACTTCAATCTTGATCTATATCAGTGCCACTTCTAAATCAAGTTATTATTTCTAAATTATTTTTCGCCGGAAGTAATTTTCTTCTCTCTTCTTCTCCATTGCTTACAACACTAAATTACAATTTCTCATACAACTTAATCGATATGCAACGAAATTGATAGTCGTTGCTTGTCATTTGTTCAGAATAGTCAGAAAACATGCATCGACAATTACTCGTTTGGCAAATCTTTTCGTTAAACTATTTCGAGCTTCTCTAAAGCATTTCTGACATGAACAATCGATAAGAAATGCAGAAATTATAAATTATCTATTATCCACTCGAAAAATCAAGATTGGATACTACGAAAAATATATTTTTGTCATACCAATGACAACAAGAGGCCAAGTATACGCGATGTATACCGGGAAAACCAGTTATAATAACATGTTTGAATAAAACTGTATTAAATACAAAGAACTAAAGATTCCCTTAATTGAATATTCCTTAGACAAACATAAAATTCAAATTTATACATCATCTAAGTAATTATTTATCCACCAGTCATTTTCCAATTGCAATTGAGCTTATCTGCATTATTCTAGAATGTCACAGTCGCTAGCAAAGAATATGCGTAGTGCTTAATATGATAAAAAGTGTTCCTTTGTTCCGAACCTAATCTATATGCAGTGCCGAAACATAGTACAACTTTTCTAAACTTAACTATGTAAAGAGTAAAGATAATTCTATAGTTGTAATCTCACTGATTACCACTATATGAGGACTTGAGCCAGTTTTGATGGACAACGAACCTCAATTCGACTCGTTTCACTACTTCCGCTACAACGAGGTAACCTTTGATCTACAGAAAACTCCAACCAACTTCCTATACCTGTCGTGAAAGTTTTGAAGATTTATTATTTTGGGAGAGGCTGTTGATTTCGGGGAGATTCGTTGGATGAGGTGTAAATATATGGAGTAACAGAGGGATATAATGATTTCTTTATTAGCAGAAGCAATAGTACAATAAATTGATAGAGAACTGAAGTTGAACTCTCCTGGCTCTTGGTAAAAAACACACAATGTCCCAACCCTCAACAAGAGTGATCTCCTTATACAGCAAGCAATATGCATAAACAAAGTATGTGATTTATAATAAGTCAACCTTGCTGAAAGAGTAATCTATCTAACAAAGAGCTGTTGACCTGGTTTACAAGCAATTCTATTTACTAGTTGACAAACCACAAAGGACATCAGTTAAGCAAAAGTTGTTAGTCTCATAGATTCACGGATAATTTACAATTAGTAGCGACAGAGCAATGAGGTCAACTAAATCAGGAGCTGATACCGTATAAGCAACATATGAAAGATTTATAGTCTAAACATGAGATTTGAAACAGAGTTAAAGGTATAAGCATTACCTGCGAAATTTCATCTCACATATTTCTTACTCATATTTTCAACTCTCATATAGTAATTTAGAGTTTCGCAATATAAAATTCGCTATAACACCATAAACTGTGTGGTTTAATATAATTTAATACTAAATAATATCCTTACAACGTCGAGCTATAAAGTTTGTTTTTGATTATTCGTTGGTGTCACCAATCAACTATAACGATTTCATCATTAATGAAGAAAAATTCTGACAATGTGCTATATGTGCGTAATAAAACATTTTTCTACTACTTTAGTTCATTTACGGAAACAGAAGTTGTTGGTTGTATTTATGAACGAAAAAATAGATTCTGATGTCTGCTGTGGTAATTAAAATTGGAATGGAATCCAGTCACAGAAAGAAAAAATCAATTTTTCTGGGTAAAATTAGTCTCTGTTTCAGAAAAGGACAAAATATCCTAGTATTTCTTTTAGTAACTTTCACCATACAAGCATTTATTGACCAAAAAATGCTCTTTATTTTGGAAGAATGTATGAAAACGTTTATAAATAAAAGAGAACTATAATTTTGTGGACTATTGATTTTTATGATATTAAATATACATATATAAATTATAATTTCGTTTTGAGAAACTCTTTCGTTTCTTGAAAAAAATTTAAATTAGTCGTTTTTTTTTTTTTCACAGTCGAATTCTCATCGCTTATTCTACCTTTGAACCTTAAGTTCATAGAAGTTCTTTTGTTAAATTTACACTATGAAGTTTTTTAAATTATCAAACCTTTGTATATTTCTTCTCTTAAATTTGCTGTCAAGTTAAAAATATTCCGAACTCTTGACAAACAATGAAAAATATGTCGTTTATTTCAATATTAACTTTAGTAATGATTATTTTCTTCTCTTCAAGCAATAAATTTGCATTCACCAGACAAACTTCAGTCTTGCCAGTAATATTGGGACAAGAATGCATTGAGGGTAGATCCATTAATCAAAGTAATCTGACTTGGAGTCACATCGGAATAAAGTAAATTATTATAATATTGGAGCTCATAGAAGGCTAAAAACAATAGTTTGTTCTTTTTTTCTTAAATATTATGCTAGCAATTTTGAAAAAAATGAACAGATAGAATAAAACACATGGTTCAATGCTTTTTATCAATAATTTGACGGATTATGTCAATTTAGATGGAAATTAACAATAGCTTGTTTAGTTCAGTTTAGAAATTCTTCTTTCAGAAATCTATCAAGTATGTTGAAATTATCTATTACAATTTTAGAAAATATATCATACGTGTGATTCAACGGTGAAAAAGTATTATGAAATATCTATTTTATTCTTCAAGTTTCATAATACCATTTTATTTAAAACTAATTATTTTTCAACTGGATTATAAGTTGACAATTAATAAAAAATAAAATAGCAAATATCATTTTAAAAAATTACAAAAACAATTCGTGAAAAAGGCTAGCCTATTGTTGGGTTATCCATGGATTTCCTCTACCTCTATAATATCGTCCATCGCCTGATAAAGGTGTGAAAGAGTTTGATAATCCTGAAGGAATGATGACAGAACTCGGTTTCATTGCTGAAGACCTATAGTAGTTATGCAAATATTGCTGATATGGATGATAGATACCTGTATTACCGCCACCGTACCCACCGAATATACCATCACTACTCCCACCATATCCCCATGACGAATACGGAGAATAGAGACCAGCTGAAAATATTTGAAATTACAGATTAATTAATATGATTAAAAAGTAGGAGTGATTTATTTGTGTAAAATAATTGGGTTTGTTTAATTAAGAAGTGAAATGTCACTATTACCTCCACCATAAGCAACTCTAGGATAGGTAATCCATGGATTACCATAACCAATGTAGGGCATGTTACCGGTGAGAGCTTTTAAGCCAAAAATACCACCTAGTGCTTGGGTACTTTCGATGAAAAATGCAATACATAAGATGATTTGAATACCTGAAAAAGAAAAAAAAAACACTCTTAGATTTCAACAGTTTAAAAAGTTTTCAAAATATAACTTAAAAATTTTTATTTATATAAAATATACTCAATGAAAACGATTTATTCGACTTCTAAAATTAAATAATCAATTGCAGAACCAATATATTTTGCAGAAACTAATCAATAGTCATTTGCTTGCATTATGTATTAGTAATATTATGCCAATTATGCTTGAGTTGGCCATTTTAATTAAAATGCTTGCATAAATTTGAAATATTCTAAAATGCAACTGATATATTACGCAAGATCAAAATTCGATTAGTTTTGTAAACAAATTTTTAAATAGATAAAATTCTTTTCTTGAAATGTGCCAAGTTTATTAATTAAATATTCAATGTACCAAATTTATAAATAATATCAAATAAAAAATGAAGCAAAAATAACCCAATTTGTTCGAACAATAAGGAAACATATTAAAGAAGCAGAACTACTGTATGAGAAGCGTCACTACAAACGATACTACTCATGCAGTGCTATTCATTTTTATACGTTGACATGAAATTTGAATGTTTCTTTAACCTTTTTTTTTCCCCTTACTCTTCAAATTATTCTCTCATTTCCACCACTTCTTTATTATGCTTCATTTCAATCAAAAAATCAGGTTTCTTTACATTTTAACCTATTTTTTCATTATTTCTATTGACCTTCATTTCTATCAAGTCAGATACTCTTCTTCTTTCTATTCGATAATTCCACTTATTTCTTCGCCTTTATTTGTTTCTCTTACAAAATAGGAAAAGAAAAGAAAGCATTGTTTGCATAATTAAAAAAAAAAAACGCTTTAGGCGGTGCAGCAGAAAAAAAGGAATAAAATAAAATGCAGAAAAGAAAAACAATTATTTAAACTAATGAGATGTTATCTTTCAGTTTTTTCCTTTTTCTGATAATTCCTGCGTACAGCAGAAAAAATGGAAGGAAAAAGGTGGATAAAAACTAAAAAAAAATCAATTATTCCAATTAAATTTAATGAGTTCGGATCATTTAACTTATAATGTCCGATTCTTTTTTTGATTTTCCTTTTAAAAGTAAAGTAAGACTAAGCACTTTAATAGTCATATCTTTATGCAAAACAAAGTGAGAAAAAGGAAACGTTTATTCCAGATATAAGAAAAGGGTGAAACAGTCGATAAATAAAATGTTATTGTCAACTCGACGACCTTTAACTTTTGCAGTAATAATTGGAGAACTTTAATATAATTGTTAGTATCACATTTGCAGGGAAATATTTATATTCAATTAACAATTATTTTGCATAATTATTATTGTATGACAAAAATTCTTCTTACTATGCAGCAATAATTCTTTGAATTCACATACTGACATTTGATAATTAATAGTTTATTGGGCAAACAAATTTGTGTCACAGGGAATCAATGCAGTATTGAGAAATTGGCCACAGATTTCGAAAACAATAAATACCAATTAAAAGGTGAAGATGTCATTTTTGGTCTTTTTATTTGTTTTCAGGTTTTTGCTATTTTTTTGTAAACAGCATTTTCTCTTTTTGAAATTTAACCATGAAAACTTACAACAGAAAAGGAAATAGAGAGGTAGAACTCATTGTAGGGAATTTTAGGATTGTTTTTTGAAAACCTTCAACTTGATTGAAAAGACAATGTAGTCAAGTTCTGAAATCAACAACTAAAGTAGATTTATTTATCAGTTAAATATTTGCAAAATCTTCTGCTTATTTTTGATTAGTTTAAATTAATTAAACTAAAGTTCTCGTAAAAAAAGGATAAAAAAAATCAGATGGCAAAGCAATATTAATAGTTGGAATTTTTGCAAATAGTTGAATTGGTGCAGCAGTTTGATCAACAAAATAAACTACAAAATTAAAATATATATAATGATAGGGGTATGTTGTTAAATCGACAATATCCGGCTTACTTAATTCAATTTTATATGAGATTAAACGATGCGAATAAGATTTAACATTCCCAAAACGTATATAAGCAAACTGAATTGATGCAGCTGTTATTAATTCACAACTTTCATCCATTTCTTTCTGCAACTGAAATAAGTTATTACAGGAAAGAATTAGGAAAATATGAAATTAATAATTAATCGATTATTCATTTTTTGTCATCAGTTAAATTAACTAGATCACATAATATGATTAGCAAATTTAAAGCAATTAAGAATTACAGTTTTTTATTCATTTTCATTTGTGTTCATTCAGTTTTCCTCAAATTGTTACAAACTTATTTTTAGAAATAATTTCCTTCTTTTTTCTTTTTTTTTCTTTTGATTTAATAAATGAATTAAATATTAAAATGAAAATTATGAACCATTTTCGAAGAAGATAACCTATCATTTTGCATTGCAACTGTATCATTTGTGCCATACGGGAAGCTATAAACAGTTACTGCTTTCCATTCATCGAGTAAATATTGAATTTGAGCTAATATCTGAGTACACGTTGTAATTCTGCAAAATGTTTACTTTGCATTAATATAAATTTTATATTTGATTTGTATTTATCAACAGTAATCCGATAATGTACGCATAAAATTAATTCTAGTCTAAAACTTGAAGCAATTAATTAAATTTGGAATAATCAAAATTTATTGCTCATTTCTAAAAATGATACAATTTAGTTACTGAGAGTACTACAATCTACGAATGGTGATAATAATAAGTCAGTTAATGCTTATTATCAAGAAAATTTTTAGAGCAAACCTAAGGCGACATGCCGTATTAATTTGAATACCAAATCGTATATTTACTTGCTGTTTTCGCATATTACATTCCATTCCGGATGGAATTAAAAATGTTTTATTATTGCTACTTTCAATTCGAATAATTTGTCCCATATCATATCCCAATGATTGTGCTAGTTTTACAGCATTTGAAGTGGATGAAATTTCGATGAAAACCGCATCAAATTGATAAAACTGTTGAGAATAACTTTGCTTGGTTATATTAGTATAATGAACACTTGCTGATATATCCTCCAACAATCCATCATGAGTGATAAATTTAATCAATACCTTAATTTATATATTATTTTACTGGTATCAAAACTAATTAAATTATGACAGCATACAAAGTAAGAGGAATATTTGATTTCATTATAATGTTTGTTAATAAAAATGTATGTTTTATAAAATTAGTTATCACCTAATTCAAATTAGAACTATCTATCATATAATTCTGTTGCCTAAATATTAGTATCTAACATTAAGAAGAATGTTTAAAGATAGATCACCGCTGAAACAGCATTAATACATGCTGTACCATTCCAGTACAACCAACGAACCAGATGACTCTTTTCCGGAATACTTTCTATTGATACTACCGTTCTATTTCCATCTTTCTAAAAGGTTTTTTTAATCAAAAATTTATTTTTCATATATTAAAATCATTCGCTTAAAATAATGCTTAAACAAACAATTATTATATACTTCTCACTTACGGAATAGTAAATTGCGAACTTAAAAAATTTATACATGAAATTATTTGAAATGAAAATGAAGTACCATTACTACAGGAACACTGGTTTTGTGTTCTGGGAAAGATGTTTATCATTCATTGTTATTATCAGCAAATGTTTGCATGACCTTAAGTTACATTAAATTTTCACTTTTCAAAAATGTATTATTATTCCCTTTAATATCAATCAGTTCATCTATATGAAAATACTGAAATGAAAATATGAAAATTTAATTTATTAATTACGTACTTTTGTAGAATATTTCCGCAAATAATAGCTAACGTTAAGATATTTTAAACTGATGCAATGCTTTTCATCAAACATATCCCATTGAGGTAAACAAGTTATGCTGATATTCTTGAATAAAGCTAAAATTATTGAGAAACATTTTTAGAAACCATTTTTTGTCAAACTTTCCAGATTCTTTCTTTTTCTTTTTATGAAAAAAAAAAAAAAAAAAACCATTAACTTTAAACTAGAAATAAACAAACCGTTTTTTTCAGTTCAACTAGTTTTTGCATTAACGTTTATATAGGAAAACCTATTAAATGGAACTAGAAAAATAGATAAATGAAAAAATAATTTAAACCAACAAAGCGGTGCAGTTCCAGTACATTGATCTGAAAATACCGTTGCCGGATACTCAAATGGTGTTACCTTTTCTTCATCCCATAACTCAACTATTTCTTCCTAAAATTTCCAATACTTATAATAAACAACAGTTATTCAGTTAGCACCGGTCCAGTTAAATAACCAGAAATCTTGATTACCTTTGCAGAGGAGATAAGGTATGTGTTGATATTGACAAATATGTTTCACTCCCGAAAAAAAACAAAAACAAATTTTTTTCTTCCTTTTTAATAACCTATCAAAATGGTTTTAAACATTAACGACATTTCAATTAAATAATATTAAATACTTTATAATAGTATTACTAACTGAAATCAAAAATACAGGTCGGAAATCTATCTATTATACATAAATAATTTCAATTGCAGTGAAATTTTACCTTTGGAGAGGAGATAATAGTATGTGCTGACGGTAAATACTTTCGAAAATGATTTACTCGACGGAATAGTGTTGCTTTTGTAGAGCCAATATTTTCTGAAAAACTTTTCTTATTTGATATCTTTCTTTCCTATTTTTTCTCCGCCAATTGTTTTCCTTTTTTATTTACCTAACATTTGGTTAATTTTACAATATGTCAAGCTATGAAAATTTAAGAGAAAAAGAATGACTGATTAGCAGAATGACAGTGATCATATAATACTAGGTCTTTCACATCTTGCTACGACATATGCTGTATCAATTTTCAATGTGTTGTTGCTATTACTAATTTTTATTAATCTTCATATATCAATATGTATCAGGTCTTCTTGATCCAACTATTACTCTTTCTTATTTTAATTAATTGACTAATTAATTAAGATACTAACCATTTTGATGTATTATGCAAAACAGTTTATTGGACGGCTTCAGAGGTTTAATCGAATGTAAAAATATTGATTTTATGCAAATATTAGCAAAAATACAAGAAAGGTTGGCAGTGAAAAGGATAAAAAGGACGGTAGCTCTTGACATTACTGCTTATGTTGCCATAGACAACGGAATCGATGACGCCGTTTGCTTAGCAGAGATTTGTAAAATCAGTAATGGGTCTTAGTTGGCATTTATATTCGTCACTTATTTCAATTAAAAAAAATAAAAAAATAAGATAGACTTTAATGTAATGCAATAAATACGGTTATTAGATGAAAAAACCAATGAAAATGAATTTAACGGGAAATTATTTGTTATCAATCAAATAGAATTAATCAGCCAGTGATAATTTCTGACTACATTAATCTTTTTGTTTTAAATTCACTCACTTCATTGTAATAGAATAATTGTTCCAGAAATATTCATTGTAATAAAATAATTGTTTTAGAAATTTTTCATTTTGCGTTTTTTCTATTTCATACAGGCGTGACGCACAGGTGTGAGATGAAAAAAGGCAAAATCAAACATTTGAATAATCAACGATTGATTGATTCAGTTCGTTACTTTCTTTCTTCCAAAATTCATAAATTGCCACAATCTTTCACTCGAAATTAAACAGCGATCACTTAGAATTACTAATAATTAAGTTTAAGTCGTAATTCAGAAATCTATGAACTTTCTAAATTTATGCAAAATGAACACTTTGAAAGAAAAGACGTTAACACTGCTATTACTTCTTTTTCCAAAATGCAGAAATTTTGGAGATATTTTATCAATTTTGACACTTTGCAACAAATTTGCAACAATTTCTCCAACTTTGCCAAAAATTTGACTAAATTGAACGAATTTTCAGAGGGCGATAATGCAATTGTTCTATTTCAATTTAAATTGTGTCTCTTTATTAATTCGACTTCAATTAATGTTATATCTCAAATTTTTTTTCCAGGCTAGAAAAGTAAGAAAAAGATAGCTGCGATCAATGCAGTGAGCTTTATTATGAAATATTGTAAAATATGAATTTGAGCAAATGCCAAATTTTACTTCAAAATGTTTTTTGATTAATTGTTATTTTCATTGATTGATTTAAATAACAGCCAGTGAATGTGATTCTTCAGTAAGTATATATAAGGAACCAAGCGATCGGTTGCTTCCGTCTACCAGTTCCACTCCACTACATTGGTATTTACATTTATTTGGCTTTTTTGATCCGTTTTTTAAAAATAATTCATGAATTAACTTAAGAATTATATTGAATACCAGAATTTCATGCTGAAAATTTTTTTTCTTACAAAAAATAAGTTTGAAAAAATTTGCATTGAAAATTCAACTTTCTATAACTTGAAAAGACAATTTCCAATGGATGAGGATGAGCACAATATGTAACAAACGAAAGCACTTCACATATCACGTGCAAAGTTGTTAATGATAAAAAGATCACAGCTCAACTTTTATTCTTGACTTTTTGTGCAACAATTTGTGTAAAAGTCCAATGCTTCTTATTGTCTCTTTTACATACTTTGATTTATATTTTTAGTAATTGTCATAATTCGCATTATTATGCATTTTTTCTAATCGTTAGCAGCAATTTATCACTAGCTGAAATTAATTTCCCTCTAAGTTCCATTTTTCCATTTATTCTTTGGCTTTTCATCATGAAGATCATCGTAAAAGCTCATCCCTGAACATGACATTCTCTGCAACAATAATTCCTTTCGGCAATTGATGCAAAAAACTGTAATCATAACATCAGCATGAAAAGATTAGAAAAGCTAAAGAAGGTTAAAATTATAGAATATGCGGGAAATGGCAAGATCAGCTTTATTTAAATAAACAGTAGCATAATATAAGCATTGAAAATTATTCATAATTAACAAAATGTTCGCATTCGAAATAACCAAAAATCTAATTTAGATAGATTTAATTGTTTCGATATTACAGTAAGCAGTTTGACCTTGGATTTTTTATAATGAAATGAAGAATTAGATCGATGTAGGATAGATCGAATTTGTAATTGGTGAAAGATAAAAAAACACTATGATGGATGCTGCTGCAAAACAGCCTAAATTAGTAACAGAGGATGCAAAGAAAGTATTGCCAAAAGAAAGTATTGAGAAAAAGGAAGTGGAAGAAAACAGATTGAATCGAGAAAATCGAATTCTGAGTCAGATGGAGCGCAGAATTGCCACTTATCAGGTTGCTGTCAAATACCATTCATAAAATATCAAATAAGAAGAATCCGACAAGTTAGTACAAATTACGGAAAAGAACAGATATTAAGTGATAAAATAGCCTTGGTGAATTGATTAATTCATGTAGACTAACATATATTAGAATAAATATAAATGAAATATTCATCTTCCAGCTAAGTTGTACCAAATTTGGTAAAGACACTCAAAAAAGATATCAAAATCAAACAATGTCAAAATCACAACTGAAATCGTTAAATCTCGAAGAAGTATGTCCATTTATATTATGAATGTCTGATAAGGTTATTAGTAAGACTGATTACAAACACCGTTTACTGCAGGTTGAAGAGGAGAAGCATGCACTTGCTAAACATTTGCGCTCCATTGCTCCATTCAATCGCCGTTGGCAGGTTTAACGTTTTTAATCATTACTCAAGTCGACTTCTTAATTTAATAATAGTTTACAAAATTTTTTACGGAATTTGAATCATACTTTCTTTAGGTGACTGAAACAATCAATGAAGGAACATATGGTGTAGTATTTGCAGTACGTGATGTAGAAACCGGTACAAGAGGTGTTATAAAAGTTGCTAAATCAGTAGGTAATGATGCAGGTAATCAAGCAGCAGAATGGGAAGGTTTCGTACTGGAAAAAATTTATAAAAATGTACTTTTTCTGATATATGAACGAATATCAGCTTACCAAATTTTACATCTACGCTCGTAACTCATAAAAGTTCAAACTTCGAGATTTGACTTCACACTGTCTTAAACATAAAGTCATTTTGTGAATGTACGAAACAGACTCTTGTTCAATAGATAAACGGTAATTAATGCTAAAAGATAGATTATCGATTCATTCTCACATTTTCTTTTGTTTTTTTTCAGTTAAAAAGATTACAAAGGAAAAAATCACGGGAAAAAACCAATTAAATCTAAAGTAATTTGTTTAGTCTAAAGTAATTTTTTAATAAGGCTTCCATCTTTATTGAACATTATATGAATAGAATCCAAATGCAAGCATCGTGCGATTGTTAGATAAAGGTATGCTTGCTGATCAAAATGGTGCAGGGATGGAATTTATGGTACTTGAAAAAGCAGAAGTTGGAATTGTGGAATGGCTCAACAATGTAAATAAATTATTCTTTTTCTCTATTCTTTTTTTTTTTCTAATTTTCACTTGCAGTTATCATTTAAACGTAAATTCGGATGTTATTTCATAAGTAAAACAAGAATTAGAAATGAAGAGAAGAATGAATAAATAAATGACTTTAATTTAAAGCCCAATCATTCATTATAAAACATTTTGCTAATTACGGTAAAATAAAATATATAGTGATAGTAATAGTTACCAGTACTTTCTTCTTGTTTCTTTTCTTGACTAGTCTACCCTTCAATTTTTAATAACTTGAAACTAATCAAATGGCTATTTATATGTTGATGAAATGAAGTCAACAAAAATAAAACAAATGTTTTGAGGAATCATAATTAATTAGCAAAGAATTTATTATTTCTCTCATAAATCTTTCAGAAAAAAAAAAAAAAAAAATGATAAAAGAATTTTACAGTACAGTGGTTTAAAACGGAAACTTGCAGTTACTCAAGCTATGCTACAAATGTTAAAAGGTTATGTATAATTTGGCGGAGTTAATTTAAATTTAATTTAAAATTAATTACAAAATTACTGAATTCAAATTCTTGAAGTTTAGGTGAAATTTCAAAATGAATTATTTTGAGCAAAAACTTATCTTGGCCCCCATACTTTCTTAACAACGAAAGCATATAATGTTTAATATCTATCACATCTAAGAGCAAATAAATATTGTTTATGAAAATACTTCAAACTTATAATTTTTATTTCAAAATTAAAAAAAAAAAATTATCACATCAAAAATGTTAGAGTATGAATAAATTTTTGAAATGAAAATTACACATCTACTGCTTCCTCTCATGCAGGAATTCATGATATGCACCGAGAAGGTTTATTGCATCGTGATCTGAAACCGGATAACATGGGTATATTAAGTAGTGAACAACCTTTTGTAGTACTGTTTGATTTGGGCATGACAAAAATGTATACTGATGAAAATGGAGAAGTAAGATTTATGCTAATAATTAAATGATTGCTCTGTAAGAAAAGTATTAACTTTATGATGGAGCAACTTTTGATAACTGATTAACACAAAGTCGCTTCAATCATTTTATTACGGTGATATTCTGAAATACAAAAGATAATGACATTACAATGAAAAAATATCGTGGTCATATTTCTAAATTGTAAACAGTCTAGAAAGTTGCTATGGTGCCGATATGATGTAAAACTGTAATATAATAGTAGCTATAATCTAAAATTAAAATATTTGTGTAGTTTAGTGTCGGACACCACGATCAATATGTCCGTTTCGTGGTACCCCGGAATGGTGCAGTGGGTGGGCATCAAAAGGTCGTGAGCAGAATCGTTTCGATGACTTAATCGCATGGTTATATGTGGCATGTGAACTTTACGACCCAACTGCTAGCGTTACACAGCCATTGCCTTGGACATATCGTCAAAGCGAACGGGTAACTTTCTCATATTCGAAAATAAGTTATTCAAATTAAATGACTTCAAAAGTATTCATTTTGCTGTAAACTATGAAAAAAAGTCATTTTGATCATATTTTTAGATTGTAAACTACTTAAAAACAATTTATTGTCCGGCACAAATTTTGCTACGGCGAGCACCGAGGCAATTCTACGAAATTAATACATATTTAATGACAGCAAATCGAAATACAACACCGAAATACAAATTCCTTGCTGACAAAATGATGGAAGCAATCAATGAGTTGCAAGCTTTGGTCGATCAAGAGAAAGTAATTGAAATTGTCCTAAAAAAGAGTGTACTTGAAAATAAAACAATTCAAATATTCTTCATTTTAGGATGAAAAAAGTAGTGGAAAAAAACATGGAAAGAAAGAAGCTTCAATTAAAACAGATAAAACACCAGCAGATAAAACAACTGAAAATGTTGAAAAAGTTCAAATGAAGAAACAAACAAAAGAAAAAGGAAAAAAATAAATTAAAAGGATAGAAATGAAAATAGAAAAGTAATTAAGAATCTTTCGCAGATTATAATATTTGCTCAGTAGCATTAATTTTCTTTACTTTTTATTATAAGCATTGCTTAATATGCCAATAATAACCGAAAAGGATGCTGAAGAATAAAAAAAGAACCACATTTTTTTCATTTCTTTCATTTCAAAGTATTCGTCTGCATATTTTTATACTCATACAATAACTATCCTATTCCGTTTACAGTACCATTCATCCTTATTTGCTAACATCGTTAATTAGAGCTTCAAATTTCAGTATGATTACTTGTAGAAATAGCACATTCTTCCGATCAAATGACATTAAGTTTGTCTCAAAAAAAAGTGCACAATTTTTCAACAACAAAAAAGCACCAAAAAAGAAATTTCATGTTCAATTCTATAAAAAAATGCTCATAAATCAAAATATTACGACAGTGACAAAAGTGATAACGAATCAGACGCTGATAAAAAATATTCTCATCAAGCTTACTAGAAGATTTTCTCATTACTTCATTTCAATTTCATCGTTTCTGTCATTGAGATGGTCCAAAAAGTTTTTTTTTTTCGTTTTCTAGGAAAGCTCGAAATTCGCATAAAATTCAACAATTTGGATTTTAAATATGATAGTGAAAGACAAATTTCTTGTCAATTTGATTTAAGCTTTCGAGATTCCCATTCATTTTTATTTGGCATTAATATGTAAGGAAGTCTTTTTAATGATCGAGCAATATCTACTACAAAATGTTAAGTAGCAAGAAGTAATTGATTAGAAAAAATTGCAAAAGTGGACATTTTCAAGTGCAAAATGTGCGCATTCTTATTAACCTTTCGTTATATTTGCAAATAGAAAAGATTTGGAAATTTTTTATGAATTTATTTTAAAAATTAAGAATTTATTAGTGAATCATGACCTGATCTTATGGTCACAACACGATGGGCTGCAGAGTACCTTTATGCAAAGAATTTTCGTTGGTTTGGAAGTTATACGATATGCACCACCACTACTTGCACACTCTGTGGCTGTTCGTTTATTGAAAGTCGTGACTGTCATCTAAGTCAGTGCTTGCCGTTTCCAATGTTTCCCTAAAAGGTTCGAATGTACTTCAAATGGAAGTCAGAAACTGAAGTGTAGAATAAAGATTTATGGTTGTGAAAAAACTGGAATGCATCAATTTTCACAACTTCACTTTCTGCGCGACATTTTTAACTACATTTGAGTTCCTATTTTTTTACATAGTTCGGTGCCTGCGATAGAATCAAACGTTAAATTCGTTCTTAAATTGTCATTATAAAATTCAAACTTAAAATTAGCAAACTAAAATTTGAATTTCTGTTTAGAAATTAACATAAAAGTTAAAATATAAGAGAAAATCACAATTGATATTTCCCAATTAAATTAATGAGCGAAATTTCCAAAATTTCCTTTTTCATCCTTTTCAATCCTTTATCAAATTTCATCTTTTAAATTTTCACTATTTAATTTATACAATCTCAGAAAGTAAGCAATAAGCAATATCAAAGAAGAAAAAAAAAAGACTTTCCAGAAGATCTTTCTACTCATTTAATAAAGTATAGTATTTCAGAATAAATTATTTAGTCACATAACTTCCCGTATTTTTCATCCATAAATTCACTTCTTCTCACATTTCGAAATGTCATACTTTTTCTTCCACCATTAAATGCTTCATCTGTCTTTTTTTTTTTTTTTTGATAATGTAAGAAATGTCAAAAACCTGTTTTACTCATAACAAGGAAAACAAATTATTGTCACCATGTCACATTGAAGCAATTTGAGGAGGAATGAAGGCAATTACTTCTTCCTGCTATCCATAAATTTGTTTCAAATATTCCACTTTTTTTTTCACTTTTATCAGATTTGTTTTTTCTTTTTGTCGTTTCAAATCGTTACATTTATTTCATTTCCTTTTTTTATATTCCAAATAGGTTTATAATATTTTTTATTATTAATTTAAATGTAAAAGGGTAGTGCAAAATATGAAATGCTAGCTTTTTTTCAACGGCAAAATTATAATTATCATTTCGCTGACAAGAATATTTTAGTGATTGTTTTAGTCATTCTGATTATCATGAGGATAAATCCATTACGATTGTTATCATTCATCAGTTTACTTGTCACAGCAAAAACCCAACGATCAATTATTATAACACATTGGCTTGGTAAAGGTACAAGAAATGTTAAACATGAAACTATTGCCAATAATATTCTCGATAGTGATGGTAATTTTAGTATTATTTTTATTATTAATACAAAGTTAATCAAAATAAATGTGCGGTTTTATTTGTGATAATATTTTATTTCCAAATATTCTTAATAAAAGTCATTTTAAGGAAATAAAAGAAACCATACAATAAAATACAACAAACACTTTGGTTTTAAGAATAATTTCAGGAAATATTATTCCACAAACATCAAATGGAAGGAAAGATGTGAACGACAGAATGATTTATGATTGTACTGATATTATGGGAAAAATACGACAAAACGGTGAAGAGTATGAACGACCAAATGGTCGATTTAAATATAAGTGTAATAATGGCATTGAAATTATTACAGGTTAATTTTACTGTTAAAAAATTTAGCATAATGTTTGTTTTTTTATTGTAAGATAAATCAATAAAACGAAAGTTTTGAAAAGATGCAAAAAGAAAGAGATGTTTAGGCAGCTATATTGTGTGTTTTAAGTTGAAATTACAAATTTCAGTAGAGTTATGTCAAATAATAAAATAAATGAACACTAAATACGCTAATAATATTCTTAGTTAAAATAATTTTATAGTCTCTGATTCTATTTCAAAAAAGAAAAAACAGTCAGTTGACGTTTTTTAAAAATGATAAAAATATATCTCATAGCAATAATGGAAGTGTAAAATTTAGTAATGTAAATAGCACCGATCGGGATTAACATACTTTAGGAAGAAAATCATTAATTATATGAGCAATAAGAAATTCATTTGAAAGGACGGTCAAGATTTGTTTAAAAACTAGAAAATTATCATAACCTCATTCTACTATCAATGAAATGTTTTGTGCAGTTCAAATAGCATTAATTAGAAATAGCACATCTACTCATAATTTATGATAACAATCAAAGAATCAAATTGTTTCCTAATCTTTATGTCACTGAAATTGCTTAACCTTTGAGTTTAACATTTAATCAAACATTTTTCACTGAAAACAATAGTAATATTTATTTTGTCTTTTTTACAGCTTGTATCGGTTCTGAACGAACTTCTAAAGCAATAATAAAAATTGGTGAAACATTGACTAAGGATGGATTTTGGCATAAATGTATTCACCATGCAAATAATGAAACAGCAATTTATACAGAAGGAATCATTTTTAAATAATTAGTTTCTAATGAATACTTAATTTTACTATTTAATTTAATTTTTAATCGACCTTTAATCTTGCTATTTGATTTAATTTGTCATTATGTTCTTTGTTTTTGTTTTTTTTTTTATTGTCACACAAATATCATTTGCCTTGATAGTGTTCCAGCATATTTCTTTAAAATTTATCACGATTTATTCGGAAAATTAATTAATTATCATTCATTTTTGAAGTCATCAAATTAATTAGTACTTATTAATAACAGATATATTATTATTATTATTACTATTATTATTACAGAAGCAGCATGTAACGTAAATGATAAATTATATCACATTGATGACGAAATTCGATCCCAATTTTTGTTGATGAAATGCACTGAAAATGGTTACAAAATAATTGGTGAATACTAAAAGTTTAATTTAATTTTAATTTAATATATTTTAAATAAAATATTCATTTAATTAATAGGACATACTATTGCACGCTTAGAGATATAAATCTTTAAGATAAAAAAAAATTTTTTTGGAAAAATCTTTGAAAACGTTTTTTGACATACATATGCAAATACATAATATATTCAGGTTGTTATTATACTGATAAAAACAAGAAGATAATAGACATGAAACTAGATTCAGTATCTGAAACGAATGATACGATACATCATTGTGAGGACAATAACAATAACATACAGTACTATACAACAGGTACTGAATCTTTCATTGACTTAATTTAAAAGTTAAAAACTTGTAAAATAAATAAGCTCTTTCTTTTGTTGTTTTTAATTATTCTAGAATTTTTGATTAAATTTACAAAGTAGTATTAAATTTTCTAATGTTTGTAGCAATTGGTTGTGTGAAATATGGCAAAAAGCATAAGGAAGGCGAAAAATTTGCAAGAAATCATTTACGTTATGAATGTAAAAATGGAATAGTTGATATTATTGGTAAAATTTTATGGCTTTTAATTTAAAAAAAAAAAAAAAAAAAAAAAAAAAAAAAAAAAAAAAAAAACTTTGAATAAAATCTTTGTAAAATTAAATTAAATTGATGAAGTTATTCCATGTTTAGGAAAAAGCTTTTGATCTCGTAATTAATACGGAGTTTATATTTGCATTTAAAAATTTTACTTAGAATTTTTACTGTAAATTTAGGTTGTTATATGGATGAAATAGGACGGAATATTGAAATTGGCGATATTATTGTTGAAAAACATATGCTATATAAATGCTCTTTGTAGGTTTTATTGGGAATGTTTGGATTTTGAATAAAATTTAATAAGGGAGAAGAAAAGATGGATGACAGTTTTTAACAATCAATTTACAGTAATAAGTAATGAGGAAATTAATTTCATTAAATTATTTGGTAATATTAACATGATAAACTAATATCAGATAGCAATGATATCATTGTCAATGAATATTCAAAGTATCATATATTCAGTGGAAATTTTCGAATAACGGTAATGAATTGGAGTTTCACAGAATTTTATTTATAGTGAAAGTGGTGAAGTAAAATATGAACAATATCCTTGTGGATTGAATGGTACACCATCGTGTGAAATTTCACAAAGACAACAAGGACCAATTAAAAAGCCAACAATATCTAAGCTTAGTCCAAGCTTTGGAGCACTTAGTATTGCGCAGGTAAAGACTTAATTTAATATTCATTCTTATAAACATACTATGCTATTTCATCACTAAAAAAAATAAAAAGCGAAAATATTTCTGAAATTTGCCATTTCATTATCCATTGTTTTGTGCTTTGCACATATCCGACTGTTAGCTTAGTAGGAGTATGATAACGATATTATAAAATTAATTCGTTTAAATGATGACAACATTGTTTACTGTTGTGATAATATTTCAATTAATTATAATTTGCTTTTTAGAGGTAACAAAAAAATATTAAATAGATAAATTAAAGTTCAAAATTTACATACCAGTTAATGGAGCTTTTAATAATTTTCCATTGCAGATTCTCTTTTTTTTCCTTCTGTGAAATTTTACTCATGTTATGAAAAATAATTTGTATCAATTAATTTTGTTTTTCTTAAATTAATTTTCAGTATATTAATCGAGGCAATGATAAGATTATAACCAATTCAAACGGAATGAAATTGGAATTTATGCAATTACCTTCCCGCATCATTTAGCTAATCCTTAGTGCAACTATATCTTATAAAATCTTCTGTTTGTGATATCATTTCAAATTACAAGCACTTAAAAAACATTTGGAATAATTTTATTCATAAAAAATAAAGCATTTTTACAATATTAATCAAACAACAATCATCTACGATATTACTGCTAATAAATCTTTTATGCAATGCAAACAAATAATTTGCCATGCACCTAACAATAAGCAAACAATTAGAACTACCTTTTTTAATGGAAATTTTATGGCTCCAGCAAGCGCTGGTCCTTTTCATGATAAAACCAAAAAAAACTTGTATGGGTATGCAACCATTATTTATAGGATTAAATCCTAATCTACATACAAAACTACAGGAACCTTTCAAATTAACGCATTCCTAATTTTCTGAAAAGAATTATGTCAGTGTTATCATTAAATAATAATTATATCAATGGTAATTACTATCTATTGTTGACAGAACTTGAATAACAACATTTTTATGTTTTTAGTAAAATGATTAATTTAAAAATTTAATTAAAAGAGGAGAAATTAAATTGGGGAAACTTACCACCGTGTGTTTGTACCCAATTAATATACAAGCATTCATTAATATCCATACATTTATTGACATCAAATCTGTAAACAAAAAGTTAAAACAATTAATTTTACAAACAGCTATATAATTGAAGTCATGAATACCAAATTAAAAAGGACAAAAGCAATTCCATTTTAAATCATTTTCAGAATAACAACTAGTAATGTAAAATAGTGCGAAATTTAAATAATGGTGTAAACAAATAAGCAAATTAAAATTCCATCATTGTATTTTCCATAAATAAAAAAGGGAGTTTTATTCATTTACCAAAATATATATTCCGGTCCGGCACAAGCACATGAGACATTCCATAAATTCCGATTTTCATTATAACTTGATTTCAATCCATAAGCATCATTTCTAGGCATGGTATATATATTTTATCAATATTTAATCATTTTAATAAAAAAATTAACTTGTACAAAAATATAATAATAACAATAATTAAATGAGACAAAACAATAAGCAGAAATTGGGTAAAATAAAGTTTTACCTTGATTTTGCGCATCGAAAACGTTCCATTTCAAAAGATCCTAATGTTATATAATTTCTGGTTAATGCTTGACTAGGCCACTATAGTTATAAATTTTGTTTAACTTGTAAAAAAACGAAATGCTCTGCTTTGTAATAAAAATGATTTAAATAATTTTCTAAAATAATTTAAATAAAACTAAAAGAATTAAACTTACAATAAACTAAAATAAATTTTTTTTTTGCAATATATTCTTTTTCTTTATTTTTAGTAATTTCTTCCTATAAGAAAAATTGTTTCAGTTTAGAAAAACATAAAAATTTTAGCAAACAAATTTATGGTATCAAATATATAAATTTATTTCAAAATAAGGATCGACATAATAGATGATAATGTTACATTTCAGATTCTTTCATCATTTTAATTTTATTAGTGCCAAAATTATTAGCTTAAATATTACAGAAGCTGTAAACGGGAAATTTAAATTAAAAAAATTCATGATTACAATTTGAAAAGAAGGGTGAATGATTAGAAATCAGATAATAAATTCAAGTAATTTAACCATTTTCTTATTTTTCCTTTAATGATAATTAATTGTGATAAAACGTTTTGATAATTAGTAATAACAGATATAACAATCGGTTAAATATTGCAATATGGTAGTTTTTCCAGAATTCTAATACTATATTCTTTGACATCCAGCACAGATGAATAGCAAAAAAAACATAATCAAACATTTGATGGTGAATTAATCGACGAACTTCACTCTTCTTAATCACAATAATATTATTATAATCATAGCAATCCTTAAGCAATGACAAACAAGAATTTAGGAATGGAAACGAAAATTTGATCTTTTTGAAATGTAAATTTAAAATTAAAGAGAATATTTAATTGAAACAAATTATTCAGCCTATCATAACATGCAATGACTAAATCAGTTTCAATTTTCCCCAATAAAAAATGTAAACGAATAGTAATATACCTTATAATAAATTCGTCATAAATAACGGATGTAAAAAAAAGTACATTGCGTTTTTTAATATCATTCCTGGCACTATCAATACATAACTGAAACAAGCATCATTTTATTTAGTTTCGAATTAATCATATTTTTATTTAATCAACAGTTGCTCTTATAAATCAATTATTATGATTTTATATAGAAATAATCTGTTAAATTTCAATAATTTCTAGCATAACTTTCTAGTATTTCTAGTTACATTTTCAAATTATTTTAATAACATTATGAAGCCTATATATATTATATAAGGCTAAAAAAGCCTGTATATATTATATAAGATTATAATATTTTATTTTAAATTATGAACCTTTATTAGTTGAAATCAAAATCATGACATTCAATCATCACTTTTATGACTGGGCCAAATTAGTGGTATTAAACGAATACTTGAAAAAGATAAACAAAATGTTAATCAGACGAAGCAAGATTTAAATTGTTATAATAAATCCTTCATCAATTGTGAATTTGATGAGAAATAAGGATTCCGAAATATGCTTAAATAACAAATTTTTTAAAATTGTCAACGAATCTAGCGTAAAATTGGCTCAGATTATTGTTAGAAATAAGCAATAAATAAAGCACAATCATTTGTAATTTATAACTATTTCATTTAAAAACCTTAAATCCTTTAATGCATACTTCACGAAGATCATTGGAAAAATTAATCTGTGGAAAAGAATAAATAAGATTACTATGTGTAGTGGATAGCTGTTCAATCCACATTTGATAAATTCGAGAATAAAATGCAAGTTGACCAAGAATATTCATATAATAAAGGCGCACATATTTTCTCATCGATTTTATCTCCCTTAAATTTAAAAAATATTGAAATTAAGTTCATTGTTAATTAATAAAAATATTTAATAAATTGGATGAAAACATACATACCTTGCGTACTTTTTAAGTAATGTTTAATTAAAATCGCCTAAAAAAGCCTTTTCTTCCGTATGTTCAATAGAAATTCTAAGTTGTGCAGTGTCAACAATAAAACAAATGATAGTTTAAAATTGAAATGACCGCGTATCATTGTCAGTTCAATTCGTATTTCCATTTTTATCAGTGGGAATAAATGAAAACGAACAATTCTCCTTTCTCACTTGAAAATTTTTTCTTTTTTTACATTTAGGAAAAAAAACGAGTTTTTTTTATTGTTAATCAAATTCTTCATTTATACAAAAGAAAAAGAGAAAATAATTTACTAATAAAATAAGTATTTCAATACATACAAACAATAAAACATAAAAAAATACGTAAGGATTATATCTGAAAGTCTTTCAGTTCTTTGCTAAAATTTTAATTAAATTTTAATCAATTTAATTCACTAATTAATTCAAAATTTCCATTTTCCATTAGTTTCAATACATTCAATTATCTGATTGTTTTCAACCAAAACCATTAGAATAATAACATTCTTTTCCTAGTTTCCATATAGTTTTCAATTTGAATTTCAAATTTTATTTATTTTTTTTCGATTCCTTTGCTGCCGAATTTCGTGTGAAATTTCACAAGCTATTTTTAAACAATTATTTTTGTCAAGCTCAGCACTTCAGTGCAACATTGCCTCATTTGAAAAATATTAAATCCACTATTTTCTTTTGCAATAAAATTGCTATTCAATAACTGAAAAATTGAAAATATTTAAAAATTTTTTGAATACAAATTTAAAAATGCAATCCATGAAGTGTAAAATTTAAATGTTAGGAATGCAAATATTGAAAATATGAATGGTATAAAAGACTTATTGTCATTTCTAAATTTATTTGTTTTAATAACCATTGTTAGTTGTGGAAGAATTTCAATTAAGATGGATGAGAAGAGACGCAAATCATTCGTGAACAAAGTGAAGAAACTAATATCTCTCTCTGTAATCGTCAATTTTTTCTTCTCGTTTTTTTTTTTTTAAATTTTTATTAACCATATTTTGTAATGAATATATTTATTTTACAGAAAGAAAGAAATCGAGCAAAACAAATTATTGAACCCGATTCACAGCGAAGTAAACACTGTATTTCATGCTCTTTTTGTTTTATTCATGCCTTCGCCAAAAATAAACGATTTGCCGAATATGCGTTAAGCAACTTTTGATAACTGATTAATTGATCGTTTCTTATTCCATTATTTGTAAAGTTTTGTAAAGGAAAAAGTACGAAGGAAAAAGTAAAAAAGTAGATTTTACTAAAATTTATAAGTTAAAATCGGAAAGAAAATGCTTTTACCCATGTGAAATATGCCAAAACTTTGATCGTTCTTTTCATTAAAACAATAACTTATTTTGTCGCATTACCTGTCCCTCTAGTTTTTTTTTTCAGTCCGAAACTTTCTCCCATTCCCTTCTTTTTCATTTCTTCATTTGTTTTAATGACAGTTGTTACTTAATTTTGTTCAAAAGTATGTTTTACAGAAACTGAAAAAAATTGAAAGAAGTAAATCTGAAATGAAATTATTTAATTTTAATCAAAGGCATTACGCAATGCTTGATTATAAAAACTGAAAACGATTTCAGCTTCAGCTCAAAGGATATCAACTAAAAAGTTGACAAAACCTTCTCCTTCACCTGCATTTACACGTCGACTGCACTGTGCCAAAGTAAGTGACGAGAAGCTTCACACGAAGCAATCGCGCAAGCAAAGTAAACGTGTTAACAATGAGAATCAAAATATTGCTAAGGTAATATGAAATTGGATTTCTTTCATGAATTTATTTGCTTTAATCTTAAATAAATTGCTATTAAATGTCTGCTTAATTTAGTATACTTTAATTTATATTACTCTCTGATTAAATATTGTTCAACTGATATTGTCATTTGGCCTAACATTGATAAAAATGTTAGGATTGTAATGATTAGATAAAACGAATACTTAATGATAACAAGGTAACACTAATAAATAAAATTTGATTGATCGTCAGTGGTAAATAATTACATTACATTAGTTAATTTAAATTGAATTCAGTTTCAGTTAGTAATTAATTTATATTATTATCTGATTGTTACTTGAGTTAATATTGACTGAACAGAGTAGTACTGAAAAGGAAAAGTGTATATGCAGAAAAGATTAAAATGAGTTGAAGCAGATTTATGACAGAAATAAATTAAAATGCTCATTTAGCAATTCATCAGAGATCGAGCATATAGATATTTGTTTCTTCATTTAATTCATTCATCTCACTAATTATATTTAAATTTTTCGATAAAATTTCTTAAGAATTGTCATTTAATTTTTACCACTTATTACAGGTTAAAAAGTCGCCTAAAACAATTAAAAGTAAAACACACGAGAGCAAATTTTCATTAGATGAAAAACAAAAAGAAACGTTTGTCAATTTTATTAATGTAAATTAACAAATATATTGTTTTTTTTTTTTTTTGTTATTACTAAATGTTTGTTTAAAATTTTAAAACTTTTGGAAGGATTTCTTTTGAAGCTGTAAGTCGAACAATATTAATTTAGGAAATTTACGATCTTGGTGTAAACGGACTGGTGCAACAGTTTGTGGACCAAGTTAGCACTTATAAGCCTAATAATGATCAGTGCGACGCTTTCAAAAGAAATCCTAAACGGAATCGATACAAATGTAATTTCGATAAACTTTGTCAGTTTAAGTAAAATGAGTCTAGCATTTATTATTTAAGTAATGAAAACTGTGATATGATTAAGTAGAATAAAAACATATTGGATACTTTTAATGACTTTTTTTTTTAAATTTTTATTTTTTTTTTTTTAAAATTTATACATGATTAATATTTTTTTTTTTAAAATTTATACATGATTAATAACTCAGTAATATATTTACTGTAACTTCTACAATTACTTATCATTTATTACAATTACACATTTATGATTACTACATAATATTATATTTGTTGCATTTATTACATTGATTATTTTTATAGTAACTCATTGATATTATTTATTGCAGTTACATACTGATCACTCCTGCACTAGTTCATTAATTTTGCTTACTATTATTCTTTAAATAACAAAATCTTCGTTGCTTTTCATTAAATTTTTTATTTCTCTTGTTTATTAATCATACATAAATAATTTTTATTAATATAATATTCCATCAAATATTTTAATAATTTTCACGATAGGTATCCAATGTTTGGATAATACGCGGGTAATTTTAAAACAGGAACAAGATTACATTCATGCAAATTATGTAACCAGCAAATATCTTTTGAATCAATTCATTTGTACACAGGTAAACGCGGAACAAAATAAGTTATCCTACTTTTCATTTTCAAGAAACAAAAAACGAATAACCTTGCAATTCACTAACAAAATTTGCATTTAATGCATTAAATAGTATCAGAAATTTCATTAGTATTATAAGTATTTAATAGATTACAAAAATGATTAATAATTACTTTGAAAATATTAATTGAATATAAATTTTGCAATTTTATATTCGATTATGTACTACGAAATAGCTTATAGTATGAAAATTATTCCATAATTTATACAAAAAATTCATTACTATAAGTTCTCATTTCATAAAATTATTATTTTTCTACTTAAAATACAATATAAATTAAAATAAGGCACCAATGAAATCAACAGTAAATGATTTCTGGATAATGGTAATGCAAGAAAATGTTCGTTACATCATTATGCTTTGTAATTTGGTTGAAAGTGGCAAAAAAAAATGTCACACATATTATCCCACTGAAGTAGGCTCAAAAATCAAATTTAACGGTACCATTATTTTAAAGTATAAATGATAAATTTATGTGATTTTTATAACACGGAGATAGTTTTAAATAAAATAGCAGAAAATATAATAATAATAATAATAATAAAGCGTAATAAAAAAGAATTGTCATCAAAATTTTTCGCAAAAAAAGTAATTTTTTTTAAATAATTTTACTCCAGTTATTTTTGAAATAATCCCTTCTCACTATAATTACTAATATTATATTATTATTATTGATTATTATTAATTGTTATGATTTAAGCTGTGTTAAAAAAATATTTCAGAAATAACAATATCAAACGTAAATGTCGATTTGCGTGATAGTAAAACAATAATATCACAATTAAAAGTTGAAAAAAATGATAGCGCATTATTTGTTTCACACGTGCTTTGGAATGATTGGTATAATTTTTCCATTTCTCAGCTTCTCACCTACTTTATTAATTATATTTTATCATCTTATGAATAATGATTGTTTCTCTTTTTTAAAGCTTTTCTTCACTTCGTTTCAATTCCATGACGACTGTGATGGGTTGAAATATATATATTTCTCAAGGCTTGATTATGAATATATGTATATATATTTTTTTTAGGCCAGATCACGGAGTACCAAGCAGTGAATTAGCGCCATTTCAAATTCTTAAAATGGTGCGTCGATCAAGGAAACGTCCAACTGTAATACATTGTTCAGCAGGTGTTGGTCGTACAGGTACAATTATCGCTATTGAAATGGGTCTTGAACAACTTCTTCACTGCGTACCACTGCATTTGGTCGAACTATGTAAAGAATTAAGAAGTACGATTTCAAATATTTGATTATCTCTATTATTAGAATGAAAATTGTAATATTTGGAAACAAAAAAAAAGTTCGTAAAACTTAAAATATTTAGTGATTTATATTTAAAAATTTCTGCTATATCAAAATTTTTAAGTTGTTTTTTTTTTTTTTTTAACAAAAGTACATTTTTTTTTTAACAATATATAAAAATTAAAGAAAGAATGAAATTATTTTTTCAAAGATTTAATGTTAAGTATACTGTATTTCAGATATGCGTGCTTTTAGCGTGCAAACAGACTTACAGTATGTTTATATTGCCAAATGTTTATTGGCTTATGCATGGTGTTGTGGGATATTTATCAATATTCCAAATCTGATTCCGGTTACTCATCTTCTTTCTTAAGCAATTCTTTTTTTGATCTGGTTTAACATTTCAAATATGATTTTAATGATTTTATACTATGCTTCAAAAAATCTATGTCGTGTCATGTCAATCGAATAATTGCTACCACCAAAATGTTGTTGTATTTGTAAATATTTTCGAATTTAAGAAAATTATTTATTCACTATTTCAGAAATCAGATTCATTTGATAAAAAATATAAGGAATTAATGGAAAGTCAACAATATTTAAAAGCGGTCGAAGAATCACCAAGCGGCTTAATAGCAAATCAAATGACAGGTAGCGTAAATAAAAAATCAAAAAGTGATGGGAAGCGAAAGGAACTAATTAATAGCGACGGTTCTGATTAAAATCTCTGTAGCTTCATTAATTTCGTGACATACCTTCGAAAACTTTTATTGCCGCAAATAATATTTGGGGATGAAATCACTGAACCGATATGATCAGATCAGCTTTTTTTATCTTTGATCTTCATTAGTATCATAAGTTGTCACTACTTGTCACTTGTCACATTTCATATTGACCATTTATTAATGCTTAAACTGCAGTTATTTGAATAATATCAGGTGAACAGATATTATCGATCTTTTTTTTAATCTCATTAAATAATTCTAATGTTCATACTGTTATATAAATGATCAAGCAGATTAAGAACCAAATACTCAAAATTAAATTAGAAGATGCACCGCTTCTGAATCATTGTAGGTTTGTGATAATTTATTTAGAAATTCAAAAGTAATAAACTGAAAGCATAAATAAATAAATCAATGAAATGGATAATAAACAAGGGTATCACCAATAGGTATGTAGTTCTTTACAAATGTTTATAGAAATAAACCCGAATGAAAAGTTATGAAATTATCAAATCAACGGAAAAAAAAACCTGTCAAAAAAAATAATGTAGAAAAACTTGCTATTAGCATGTAATTTCATAGTTGTACTGACAGTAAGTAAGTAACCCTCAATATTTGATATATAAAAACGATGGTTTGTTTACAAGAATTTATCATAAAAATGACTGATAAAACAAATCGGTTTGTTACGGGTGTTTTAAATGGGCAGTAATAACTAAAACATATTCCAAACTTACTTTTATCACAAAATACATTCAGTTCAGCCATTTATATCCCAATAAATACTTATTTATACTGAAACATTTAGATGACTGACCGTATAAAGAGATCATTAAAGACCAAAAGAGTAAATATTACACTAACTGGTTTTGACAAATTTGAATGAAAAATTAATTTGCGAATGCTAAAGGAAACATAATGAAAGGAATGAACAACAAATACTTAGCGTAAGAGTAATGAATAGATGACAAGCAATAGCGAACTGTAAATTCTTTATTTTCAACAGCTAAATCTGATAATTAGATGAAAATTGATTCTTCAATAAGTAATGCATGAAGCCATTTGTAGCATAACAGTATTTCATGTCATATCGAGGTATAGCTATGTTATATCATTAAGAATAAAATAATCGAAATATTTAGACAATTTTGACAGTATTCCAGATATCAAATAATTTTTGTATACCTTTCAACCTATTAAACAGTGCAAATCTTTTTATTCAAAAAAAAAAAAATCTCCGACAGGGAAAAAATGTAGAAGAATCAAATTACTTATAATGCTGCAACGTAACCCAAGCGCACTTCACCAAAAAAGATTAATAGATTACATACGAAAATCACAGAAAAGATTAAAAAATTAAGAAATAGATAAATTAGTATACCGGTTTATATTTCTTTATTTCTACCATAATATGATGAATGTTGACTAGCTCTTTTAGGACGGCATTTTCTGCAAATACTTCATGCGATAATACTTTGCTAAATCGATGATAATACTGAATAATTTGTGTGAATGTTGCCTGAAATATATATTAACATTAAGAATAATTCTTTCAGTAATTCACAAGAAAAAAGAAGCAAAGTTAAATTAAGGGAAGAAGCTGTTAAGAATATAACACACTTGTAAGATGTTGGTGCCATTTTTGAAATTTGCAAATGATCGGACAATTTCGTTGTTTATGGCATCTATTGATTTTTTCCAATTAGCACAAAAACTGCGCACAATTTTTGCAACATTATCTGTAATTCATGACAATAAAAAATGAACTTTGTACTATTAAAGAGTGGAGAAATTTTATTAACTTCTTTTAATAAAATAGATGAAGCAATCACTTTTTTCTCTCTGATCGATTTACTACGGTAAATATAATGTTATTAATAAATCATTCCAAAAAGGAATCATAAAGATATCACCCGAATAACGAATTAAAAGTTGCTTGTGACCCTGTTCGATCAGTGGTTCACATTCATTGACAAATGACATTAGATCACCAAAATGAGGTCGAAGCATCAGTTCGACGTATTCATTGATGCGATTTTGTTTCAATTCCCAAAAGGATGATTTTTCTTTTGAATCGAATGTTATCCGTTCCTATTAGCGTCGTGATTGTATACGGATGCATATCATGATAAAAATCGGAATAAATCAAGCTCAATTAAAAATCAAATGGCAAACCTCAAGAACATTGAGTATCAAATCATAGTTATTGATCAAACAAACCAGTCGTTGAACGCGAGTAGTTAATTGTTCAGAAATATGAGTTAGAAAATTTTCGATTTCAGCCTGCTGTTTAGTCAAATAAAGCTGCAAAGATTCGATTTAAATATTATTTCAATATTAAGTACTACGGAAGAGTTTTTCAATACTTTTTCTAACATATTTACATAACAAGAGGAAAGCAGATGCTAAAAATAAAGGACTTAAATTGAAATCAAAGATAATGAAGTATAATACCTGCAATTTTGGATCGATCTGTTGCATCAACGTTTGACTGCAAACCAGCAATGCACATGTGAACTCTGCGTAACGTCTTATGATCTAAAATACAGGAAGATGTCACTATATATATTAAAAGCACGTAAAATTTAGAACTAACATAGTGTGGATGGGTATCTGGTTGTAGTTGCATTTTATGCGCGTCAAGATCACGTAAGCTCGAATTATGCAAACCCATAACAACATCAAAACGATGCCACAACGCACAATTTAATGTCTCCCAATAACTGTAATTCAAATATATCAGTTTATTTTCATTACTTAATACTACTAACCTACTACGGATACTACATTTCATTATTAACATATAATTGAATATGGAAACTTTAAACCTCTCTAAAGCTGGAACTCCCCGTTCAATCATTAATTCTTTATACTTGGAACACAGACCAATGCATATATATAGTGATACAGCATCATAATTAGAAGATATGTGTTCTTCACATGATTTCTGAAATAGAATAATTGAAGGAATAGAAATTTAGAGGACTGATTTATATAAAGCAATTCTAATATTTGAGGAAAAATGTGTAACCAGTAAGGTAGTTATTGTACGCATTATAATTTCACTGAAAAGCTCAAACGAAGTTTGTCCACTGATCATGAAAAAGTCTGATATAAACAAATATTCATGAGAGGAATGATCCACCAATGCAAATTGTAAACTCCGAAATAAATTCTCAAATTGGAACTGCAATTTCATTTCATCAAGCACAAACATAATTGAAGAAACTGCATTAAAGGACACATCAAGTTCAATTAATTATATGGTTCTTTTGTAATATAAATGATTCCGTCATATATGGTTTAACTTCTTGTTCATACGACACTAATTTTTATGTGTAAGCTAAAATATCATTAAAAACATCAAATATGAGCAAGAAAAAAACCCGTTCGTTTGCTTGTTGGGCTACATGTGGTACAATAAGTGGAGACATCAAATCAGATGATAACAAGCTGTCTCGATTACCCAGGGAAAAAACAGTAGCTCGATTCCGCAACTGCAGTAATGCAAATCAGTTCTTATTATAATTTTAAGCAAATTAAGTATCAAGGAAAACCACAACATGTACACAGTGGATTAAAAAAATATTATCAGATATGTTCTTTGTTTGAACAGAAATGCCATATCGCATAAGAAATTTCTTTCTTCTTTTAGTCAAGGTCATTTTTCGTAAAAAAGAAAAATAGTTCCGTTGTTATTATTCCTTAAAACGTACCTGAGATTTCAAACTGAAAAGACTAGTTGTCTTCATCGTATTTTCTGCACCCAAAAGATCATCTTTATTAGCTACATCAGCGAGCTAGAACTGACTATGGGTTACCGATAAAGGAAGTTGCTATGTTTATGGAATTTGCAGTGACAACTATCGATTTAAATTGAATTACATTTAAAATTAAAGAATGAGAAGGATAATGCTATTAATCGTGCTAGTCAATTTTATACTACATAAATTAAAAAGCATGGAAATTGACATTAAAATGAACAAAGGACATACCAGTAATCGGAACAATCTCGATGCGTATGTTTTGAAATAGGTAAAAAACATTTTACTGATAACGTCAACATATTCATCTCGAATCTAAAAAAGATTTACAAAACATCAGCAGATATACAGATATGCATTATCATGATTAAATAAAACTCTTACATCAAATATCCTTAATTATAATTTACTTTCATTTGAATTAAGCAACATGAGAACCTCAAATTATATGCAAAATATGGCATCAATACTTACCTCTCGAGCTAAGTGCCTGTCATTAGCCAATAAAAATTCATAAAAGAATCTGAAAATCTTCTTGTATCGTAATTAAAACGATTCTGAGAAATGTTTTTTTTGCGAAATTTTATAGTTTTTTAACAGACCCTCTAAATGTATGATGATAAGGAGTAACAACATTATTGATTGGAACTACATAAATTCTTTTTTTAATAGTAACCAACCGATTTTTAAGAAGTGCTCCTTGTGGGATTTGATAATTTGTTAGAGGTCTCTTGAAAGATGAAATTTTCAAAAGTAGCCACTTTCTTATTTTCGCCATTGCCTGAAGGTACAATATTTCACCAATAATTATTTTTTAATCTAAGTCACATATGATAGATAACGACATCTTTGCATCTAAATTCAACCAAAACTTGCCTTATATTTTAAATTTTCAATAACATCATGCACATCAGAAGTAGCTTTAACGTCACGGAATTCTTGTGCTTTGAGGAATTGTAGTTTATGCTGAAGTTCATGAAGTTGTTCAAGAAATTCACGTTCTCCAACGTCTCGTTCAACGATTGTTCTACAATACATAAACAATACAGTTAACAAATTCTGTGTTGGTCAATGTAGTAAGTTTATCCATAAATGAATATTAGAAAATTAATGAAATTCGGGATGACTGATTTCTAATGAAAATACAGTGTAACATGGCACTAATCTTAAGTCTTCTGCAATATGTCAAAAGTTATCCATAAAAACGGATTTGAAAGATAAGAGGAAAAAATCACTGACTGTATCATATTTTGAGATACAACCATGTCATCAACAAACTGGCTCAGTTCTCCGCGAATTTTTTGTCTATTTTGCAACTGTTGACTGATATCGACCGATTGTTGTTGCAGTCTTTTCATGTCTGAACTAATTGTACCCAATTCTGATTGAAAACTCCGAAGCATTCCTTCCAATTGCTAAATTAATCCAGCATGCTTTTTTTCTTTGTTTAAAATCTATTACAAGAATGAAAAGTGGCAATGAAAATGAAACAATTTGAGAAGGAACAATAAGATTTGTTAAATTTGATTACAGCCCATAAAACATTCTAACTTTAGATGGTGCTAGCTAAAATAACATTCTGCTCATCGATGAAATAAAAAGAAATTAAATTTTACTGCAAATGCATCATCACAAGCAGTGATCTCTTCATGCAATTCAGCAAGTTTTTCCGCTTGGTCGATACAGTCTTTCACGGCAAGCAAATGAGCAGATTGAAGCTGTTCTTGAAGTTTTGCGGAATACTGCCGTAAATCAACACCCGATTCAAAAGCTTTTCGAATTGACACATCATCCAACTGAGAGATGCAAATATATTTTGATACAAAAAGTTTTATAATTAAAATAATCAGTAATATATCCAACATATTCCTGAATCAGTACTCGATTCGAAAGTTATTCTAGCTAAGCATATAGTAAACTATAATGTTATCGAACAACTAAGTAAGGATGCAATTTTGAAGATTTTAAGAACAATTACGGAAATTGTCTGAAATACGTTAGTGTTACTCGCTTCATAATTAATTCTTATCCTATTTTGTCATATAACACTTTTATTCGATTAATTATAATTTAAGTCTCATTTTACACCATACCACTATCATTATTCACTAAAGTGATGCCACTTTTATTAATTAGTGCCAACTATTTTTTGCATTCGAATAATACTATTTCTATGGTTTAGCTAATAAACTACTTTTAGCATTCAGCTTAATAAAGAAACTGATGAACGATTCGAGATAACTTTCAGGATTTAAGTTGAATTCATATAAGTGTAAAAAAATATCCTCATTCAAAGACTACTTGCCATTGGATAGTTGAATAACGATACTATTAAGAACTTTAAATGACGTTAAAAATAGTGTAAGCATCATTGAAAACAATAAATAAACACCGTAATTCGTCTCACTGGACGAGTGCTAATAAAACATTAAAAAGAATAACCCCATTATCGCTGGTAATATCAGCAACATCGTAATCGCCCTTCATTCCATTACGCTTCACTGGGTTCTTTTCAAATTTCCTTCACTGACTTTTCTTGAAAAACTATTACACCAACTTCCCAAAGGTTCTAACTGTAACAGAGAATAATCAGTACATCTTTTGCAAATTTTATGCTCCGAGAAATGTTTACATTATAAATGTAATGCATTATTCATGTTTCTAAAATTTGTAGGAGCAGTGATGTGTAACAAACTACATGGATTGTTATCATTTATATTGTTAAGTCGACATGATTAAATTTTTCAAGATCTAAGATTTTCATATTCATATCGTTATCCAGCAACATTTGTTACTGAACCGACCGATCCACTGCAAATGGATATAAGGGAAGAATGTGGAAACGTATACACATATATATTCCATGACTGGTGTTTATGTTTGTCGATATAACTTTCACAGTCCACAAAACAAGTTTACACAGTTAATACCATTAAATTGTATTTGCAGATAAGGTATTTAACCATCAAATTATGACGTTACTTTTAACCTGAAATCCTTCCCAAGAACATTAACTTTCCGACTTATTTATAAAAATGTTCAGATCTCAAATATTTATGCCGCCAAAGTCCATTAATATTTTCAAAAGTAAGTCAACAGATCGTCCCACACATTCCTCCACATGTACTCCGACTTACATGAGGACAGTTTACAAATGTGATATGGCTATCTAAATGCTAGTATGAGTAGAGATTAGATCAGGAAATTGAAAAAGTAGTGGTACATCAATCATACATGCAACTCCTTTTTGACAGGACGATCAATAAAACACAATTTTATTAAATCAAGAACGATGCCAATGTTGAATATTAAAGTTGAGTTATAAACATAACAAAATAATACAATCACCACTACGTAAAAATAAAAATCAGAGACTATACAGGAAAAATACAGAAAGCACATTGCACAGGAAGAAAAGACTGAGTCTAACATTGTCTACAGTACGAATCCCACCTAATGAAGTTCCTCCTTACTAACGGCATATTTTATGTATATGTTAAGAGTAGATGAGATAAAAAAGGAGAACACTGAAGACTAGAAAATATTTTATATGCAACAAATCAATAAGATCGAATCATCGGTTGAACCCAGTCTGTCTCGTTCTTATCTAATGTCTGGTCGATTACTGGTCGATAATGTAAGGTAATCTAAAAACAGAATTTATTGTATTTCAAGTAAAAATTGATATTACAGGAAAAAAAAATAAAAGACGAAAAGTTGAAAGGATGCAATAAAATAAATGCAAGCTGGAAGAAATTAGGCCAAATTAGAGTCTATTCACTCTTACGAAAGCATGCTTTTTTTTTTTTCCTTTGCACATCAAAGTACCATAGCCTTTTTCACAAATTTCTTACGCAAATATATCCTTATAGACATCGAGTTACTTACCTTCCCAGTCTCGTGATCCTGTTCGATGATAGTATGCTTACGCCAGTGTTGATCGAGTGACTTCTTAGTTTGACCATCAAGTGGTCTCGAATAATCAAGCTCATCTATCCGTGTCTGAAACAAACAATATAAATCTGCAGACAGACTAAACAAACATAAATATGCACCAAATCACTGATTACGAACGACAACAAAATAACATAATCCTTATCAACTAACAAACCGGGAAATCGTCTCGAGCATGTGCTCCACGACTTTCTTTTCTAGCTTCTGCAGCAATGATTGTTTGAGTGGCATTTAGCATTAAATTCTGCAGTTCAAATGTCTCAGCAAGATCCGAATTCCACACTAATCCACGATCTGTTGTTTTAAGAAGTTTTTGCTCCTTGAAAAGAGTCTCCATTTTTTTAATACCTTCCTGCAATTTCGTAGTGATACGATGATACTTAACACAGATTATTGTGTTCCCCAACGACTCACGACCTAATTTGACAGACATCCTCCATATTCCTTAATTTTCTTCAATGACATTCTTTATTCTCCAAGATTTGACTTCCAAACTCAAAACTGATGTTATATTCTCACTTGTCAAGGACTTACCTTCAAAATGTCACCGCGTCGGAACACAGCTGCATGCTGTTGCATCGTTTTCTGCATCTTCAATCTTAAGGCAGCAGTAGGAATATCACCTTTGGCAAAACGCAGCTTGTCGACGTTTGTAATGGTTGATTCACCCGCATCTTTCGGCAATTCAGGAATCTTCTCGCATGATTTCTTGGCTTTTTCTAGAATACTGCAAACCAGACCATTTCGTATGGAAATGCAGTGCAATAGTAGTAGTAAATATGTTAACGTATGTTTATAACAGAATGAGAAAAAAAAAATTACTCTATGGCACAAGCACGTCCAAAAACGACAAGATCGAGCAACGAATTAGCTCCCAGACGATTTGCACCATGCACTGAATGTGCTGCTGCTTCACCGCAAGCATATAATCCTGGCACCAACTGTAATTTTATATATTCCCATAATCATTCAAAAAAAAAAAAAAAAAAAAAAAAAACTGATAGAAATAATAATTTCACCTGGTCACCTTTATCGCGTTTGTAAGTTAGAACCTGTCCCATATAATTCGTTGGTATGCCTCCCATATTATAATGGACTGTTGGTATAACGGGTATTGGTTCTTTCGCAGCATCTACACCAGCAAAAATCATCGCAGTTTCCATAATACCTATAAATGGTGAATACCATTCGCAGTTGCGAAATAGCAAAATCTGATTTACTAAACAAATTTATTTAATCCCTAGTAAAAAAAAAAAAAAACTGCAATTACTTATAGATGATTTATTAGTGAAATCAACAGCTATGAATAGCTCAGTAATTATGTGACTTAATTGCAAAATATGGCAATCATGCGAGAGGTTCTATTAATACCACGATGTGTAAAGTTTCAAAGTTCAACTGAAATTTCGTGATGTTCTGAAGTCAAACTAACCTGGCAATTTGGCATGCAAATCTTTCGCAGGTAAGTGATGCAACTGCAAATAAATATGATCCTTATCCTTCCCGACACCACGACCTTCCATGATTTCGATCGTCATCGCTCGCGAAACAACATCTCGTGAGGCCAGATCTAACGCATTCGGTGCATACTTCTTCATGAAGCGTTCACCTTCACTGTTCACCAAGTAGCCACCTTCACCTAAAAACGATATACCTTATTAAAGAAACTTTTTCTTACAATATCTCTCCAAACGAACTAACTCTTCAATCATATTATCTAATAAAGAATTCTATTTGCTACAAAATATTACCTCGAGAACCCTCAGTGATGAGACAACCGGCACCATAAATACCGGTTGGATGAAACTGAACAAATTCCATATCAGAATTCTGCAGTCCAGCTCGAGTAATCATTGCTGTGCCATCACCAGTGCACGTATGTGCAGAAGTACAACTAAAGAAAGCTCGTCCATATCCTCCTGTTGCGACCACCGTGTTCTTCGCACTACAAAGAACACTTAATACATATTTTACTAAATAAAACACAAAAATTATATGTGATTTGAAATTATTAGAAAGTTCAATTGGTACTCAGAAATGGAACCAACAAGTCTATTGTTCCCTTCAGCATAACAACATTAAATGACTTTTAATCTCGTAAGTCCCATAGATTATTCCATCTAGAAACGAAATAGCACGTATGCATACAATAGTCACATTGTCGCTCATAAAAGAATCAAATATACCGGAATCGGTGTATGCTTCCATCCTCAAGGTCCATAGCAATAATTCCAACACATCGTCCGTTATCCATCAAAAGATCAAGTGCGAAATATTCGATGAAATATCGACAGTTATACTGAAGTGACGAACCATATAACGTATGCAACATTGAATGTCCTGTACGATCTGCTACGCAGCACGTCCTCCAATTATAATTTTACTAAGAAAAAAAATGATAAAGAAAAGCATTAAAAACTGCAAAAGAAAATGTGCTGTTTAAAACATTAAAAATATTGCAATGAAAAAATCAAACATACCGACGAGCCATGCCACCTTTACCAAAATTGTTACTTTGTCCACCGAATGAACGCTGATATATCTTACCCTCTTCTGTTCGTGAAAAAGGCATACCATAATTTTCCATTTCAATAACAGCACGAACCGCTTCACGAGTCATGTAATGTATAGCATTCTGATCTCCTAGCCAATCACTTCCTACAATCATGATAATAAATCACCATAACATGTACGAATAAATGACCCACATTAATGCCAAAATTATGTCTTGTTATCAAATTAAAACTGCAATATTAGCTAATAACTTCGCTTCACTGCAACAATGATACCTTTAACAGTATCGTAGAAATGCCATCGCCAATCATCCGGATTCATATTACCTAAAGCTGCATTAACACCTCCCTGAGCAGCAACCGTATGAGACCGTGTTGGAAATAACTTTGTAACTACCGCAACCTTCTGACCACCTTCGCTGAGACCCATAGCAGCTCGTAAACCAGCTCCACCTGTAAATTTAGAGCCAAATCACAAACGGAAAAGAAAAAGAAAGGTTTCATATCACCAAATCATTAGAAAATGCTTATCTAGTTCCTAAATCCTATCTTAATATTAAAAATTTCAAGAGCATCAAGTGAATACTGCATCAACCAAATCATTTATGAAATCTTATTCATTAAAATATGACCAGCTTTTACTATTAGTATTATGGAAAGAAAACGAATAATCAAATAACCAACCAGCTCCAACAACAACCGCATCGTATGCATGATCCACAACACAATATTCAGCGATATTAGATGTCCTCGTTCCTTTACACACAGCTGATAACGAAAGTTTTCTTTGTTGACATGTTTTCGTCACCAAACAACGGGCCGCACTTAGCATCCCTATGATGAAATATTGATCAGTATTTTAATTTATTCCAGTTACACTAATTGTAAAATTAGTTATCTTTACGAACACGCTAGCTCATTAGTAATTTAACCTATGTGAAAGGGAAAGTTAATTATCTATTTGTGATTGAATAATTATTTGAAAGGGAAAGTTAATTATCTATTTGTGATTGAATAATTATTTATGATTGAATAATTCGTTCTGGATGATAAATTCATCACAGCAAACAAGCCGTTGTTTCTTTCTATAGAGAAATAGATATATTAATGGTAATGTATTTGAAGAGTAACCTAACAGGTACAGTAAATCAATTAGCAGCATTATTTCTTTTCACATTAGCAGTACTATTTCAGAGCAAACTTTAGACTAGCTAATATTTATAATAGTAGGGTCTTTTGAAAAACATCTTTTATTCATTATCAATAATTTTTCACTTATCTTAGTCTGAGTAAAACGCAAAAATTATCGAAAGAATGGGATAGTAGAGTTGTAGGCATATTTTGATTTGATATCTACTGGTATTTATTATAATGTTATGTAGCTACCAATGCCTACCTATTCTATTTACCTAACTTAAATTATCTCATTCAAATGATTATTTAGAGGAAGAAAAAAAGAATCATTCTAGTGAAGAAAGTCGTAAAACGATTAATGGTAATACAAACACATAGAAAAACGAATGTGAAGGATATCAGCAGTGGAACTAAACAGTAACATAGGATGCATGCAAATAGTAAAACTAGTATCACGTACGTGAGTAAAACGTGGGTATGTATAGAAGATAAATGTTACACCATGTGAAGGAATTTTTCAGTATTGAACTAAACGATTCACATACCTTCCCAAGTGCAACTACTTCCGTAGAAGAAATAACAGGAAAGACAAGGAAGACAGGACATCAACAGGACATCACAATGAAACTACCCACAATCCATCCGAAATCCAGGCGCAGGTGCAAGATGATGTCGGCTGGGCTATGCGCCGTTGGTTTATGCTTGTACACGCTCATATAGACCGTACTTCAAGCACTTTGTCACACATACACACACACACAGACAGACACACACACACACACACACACACACACACATACACAGACAGGAGGCGCCAGTAGGTGGGACGAGATGTCATGACAATGTGCATCAGTCCACTTAGTCTGCACTTCTAGTGTCATCACTTGCAATTAGGGGGAAAGTGGGCAGGAATATTTACCCAGAATAAACTGCAAGCATCGTCTTGTCAATTCACCCTTCTGATTACTTGAACAAGATTTGCCTAAATTAGATTTTATAAAGATACAAAAATTTATATGAGTAAGTGTGAGAATTATATGTGTTAGTAATTGTACAAGTTATATGAGGAGATACCGTTAATAGTAGTAGACTTAACCTTATCAGTTTTACTCAGTCGGTCAGTAATACATTTTTATTATCTGTTGTCTTCTTCCTCCCTGCTTATATGAACGTTATGATGTGAATTCAAATTTCACACAAAAATCATTTATTGATTTGTGTTTACGTTGAAATTTGTAATTTTAATAATAACAAGGAAAAACACGGCGGTGAAAAGATGAATTCAACGACATTTACGTAAACATTTCACGATATCATTCGTCAATGTTATAAATTTGACATTTTAGTGCTGACTTTTTTTTTAGTATTTTCGAATTATTGGTGGTATTGGTTCCACTTCATTCTCGTCCAGCGTTTGATCGATCACTGGTCGATAACTTAGCGCAACCTAAATTGTTTAATCTATTAAATTGCTCATTGAATTTTGATTTGACAAATTATATTATTATAGGAGATATTAAGAAAATCCATGTTCATAAAATATAGAAAAATAGGACAGAAGAAAAGAGGCTTTTTACAGTAGTTTATGTTACGACCCTTATATTGACTCATTAGCGCCGACCATTGACGAGTGCACGTCAGTCCTTTAATCACTGTTTATTCATTTTTGCAAGTCATACAATCATCGCTGGTTAAAATATAGCAGTAAACTTCCTTAATTTAAGAACTATGGGACATGTGTTTGATTCTGCTACCATTAATGAAAAGCATCATTTGGTGAATTAATACAATTCTCGGGAAAAGAACTGAGTAGATAAAAAGCAACAATAAATAACAATGAACAATCAAAATATTATACTTTTCCAGTTTCCGGATTTTGGCTAATGACTGTATGCTTACGCCAGTGTTCTTTGAATGGTTTCTTTATCTGTCCTGCCAGTGGTATAGAATAATCAAATTCATCTATTCGTTGCTGAAACAAAGCTTGTTAATCGTAGCAGTTTAAAAGAAAAAAGTAACTTTTAAAAATAATTTTAAATTAATTCTTAGTATTAGTTACTTTGAAATTATCCCAAGCTATTTTGCTCTTACTGCGCTGAAATTAATCTAAGCATAATTTACTTTAAAATCATCACGAGCATGAGCTCCTCTGGATTCTTTTCGAGCTTCTGCTGCACTGATCGTCTGCATAGCACACAGCAATAAATTTTGCAGCTCTAATGTTTCAATAAGATCCGAATTCCAAATTAGTCCACGATCCAAAGTCTTCAGATGTTTTTGTTCACCAAAGATACTTTCCATCTTCTTAATGCCCTCCTGAAATTCAATTTTGCATCGCTAGAATAAATCTTTATTATTTATTATCATTACTATTACTTTTTTTATTGTTACTCTTACTTATTATTATTAAAATCATTATTGCTTTTAAAACCTTATTATTGCTTGATAACAAGCATAATGGTGGGTAATTCTAGAAATGAGAAAATAAAGAGGTAGATAAATAATAGGAAGGAGAAGAAAAAAGCGATTAAAAAAAAGTTAGATCCTTCCAGTAACTCTTTTCCATGTTAATTGCTTGTTTAATACCATTTATTTAACTAAATGAATTAGTTCCTATTGGCAATCTTTCATCATTTTAATATGATTCGATTTCTGTCAGTAAAATGAATTTATCCATTACAGTAGTTGTGCTATGATATGAGAAATTGTCTTCTCTATTTAACTTCTAACTCTTAATTGTTTGTTTTTTATTCATTAATTTTGGTTTAAGATGTTCATTTCATAGTTGAAGTTCAAACCAGTATCACTAATTGCTTAGCACTTTTGCACCTGTAGAATATCGCCTCGTCGAAAGACAGCAGCATGTTTTTGCATTGTTTTTTGCATTTTTAACCTTAAAGCACCAGTATAGATGTCGCCTTTTGCAAAACGCATTTTATCCACGTTAGCAAGCGTAGCTTCACCCGCATTAGGCGGTAAATCCGGAAGCTTAAAGTTGGTTAGTTTTGCTTGTTCCAATATGCTGTAAATATTTGATTAATAAAGCTTCTAAAAGTTACTATTTTACTAGAAAAAAAAAAAAATTAGAAAATTTAATTTTTTGGAAAAGGCGACAAACTAAGCTAAATTTCAATTTTCAGTTTCCCACACACAAATTATGCTACACTATCTTATTCTATTTTTCATTCTAATATATATAATTAGAAATGAAGAAAGATGTTTTTCTTTTAAAAAGTAATACTTATTAGCACAAGCTCGTCCAAACACAACAGTATCAAGGAGAGAATTAGCGCCAAGTCGATTAGCACCATGTACTGAATGTGCTGCAGTTTCGCCACATGCAAATAATCCCGGGACTAACTGCAGTATTACATTTCTAATAGTTTTATTTATTTTTTTTACTATAGTTTTGTTTTTCATTTGAAATTATTTACAGATTATTTAACTTATGATCTTTTCCTGTTTTCCTGTCTTTTATTTTATAATTATATTCCTCAAAGATCTTTCCAAATCATGAAAGATTTTTCAAGTATCCGATTTATGAAAAGCATTCATTTAACTATTCTTGTTCATTCTTTTTTCCTCACTTACTTTGCAAAGATATTACTTGAAATTTGATAGAACGAAACTTACTCGATCACCTTCACTATGTGAAAAAGTTATTACTTGTCCTTTATAATCAGTTGGTATTCCACCCATATTGTAATGAACCGTTGGAATTACAGGTATTGGTTCTTTAGTCGCATCAACACCAGCAAATATTTTGGCCGTTTCCATTATTCCTGTTGGTAAAAAAAAAAAAAAAAAAAAAAAATTAATTTTCAAATAAAATTTTTTACAGGGCTTTTTTTTTTAATATTCATGTAAAAGATGGTTTTATTTTATAATTCAATGTAAATATATGTATATATCGGAAGATTTAATGCAATAGATTTTCTATTTACAGTGTAACTAAACTGCCGGAAAGGAATGCAATTATCAATTTTTCAGACTCGAAGATTTTTTTATTTATTAACTGTAACTTTGTTAATTAGATTATTAGTTATATAAATATATAGACCTGGTAATTTGTTATGCAAGTAATCTGCAGGGATATGATGAAGCTGCAAGTATATATGGTCATTTTCTTTGCCAACTCCTCGACCTTCGATTATTTCAATGGTCATTGCTCTGGACACAACATCTCGAGATGCCAAATCTAATGCTTTTGGAGCATACTTTTTCATGAATCGTTCACCTTTACTATTTACTAAGTAACCACCTTCTCCTATAATCCTAGTCATTTAAAAAATTCTCATATAATCAAAAAATGATATTTAATGCACTTGTTTTTTAATGATTATAATGATATTACTGAATTAACGACTGGTTATTGTTCAAACACTCAAAAAAAAAGGGATATTAGCAAAAAATTGACAGGAAGAATTATAAACAATTTAGTTACCTCGTGATCCTTCTGTAATCAGACAACCAACACCATAAATTCCGGTTGGATGGAATTGGATAAATTCCATATCGGTTGTTTGTAAACCGGCACGAATGACCATTGCATTACCATCACCAGTGGTACTATGTGCTGTAGTGCAACTAAAATAAGCTCGTCCAAAGCCACCTGTTGCCAAGACAGTAAATGGTGCCCTACAAGTAATAAACATTTTTTCCATTATATTTCCCGAACTACCGTTGTCATTTATTATATAATATCGCATTGCATAGGAAATTATTGGGAAATTATTATTCCATGACGCTTATTATATGTGATAATACAAATGAGCAATTAATGTATAAAAAGTAAATTAACCGGAAACGATGGAATGTTCCATCTTCAAGATTCATCGCAATTATCCCAATACATCGTTTATCACTCATAAGAAGATCAAGCGCAAAAAATTCGATATAATAGTCGCAATGAAATTGTAACGATGTGCCGTAAAGTGTATGAAGCATTGAATGACCCGTACGGTCTGCTACAGCACATGTACTACGAACGAAAGCAATGATTAAAATTACTTTAATCTTTTAAGATAATGAATTTTCTTTTGTTTCGAAGCGATGGTTAATTGAAAGTGTACTATAAATCCTTATAATCATTTGATTAACCATTGTGATATTTGAAATAAAAAGGAATTAAAAAAAGACGTGTAGAAATATTTGAGCTAAGATAAAATGTGAATAAAATATTTTCATAAATCATTAAATTAACGTATTTTTTAATAAGAAAAAGTATTGACTTCCTCTGAAATAAACCTTTCCACGTGTAAAATGTTTGTTGAAAAGATTTAAAATATGATTTAATTAAATTCACTCTATGTCAAATCTTGCAAATAATTTTTGGTTTTCTCATTAAGAAGTGAATTTAAATTATCGTAAATAGAAAAAGCTTTTACAAACCGTTTAGCAACTCCTCCTTTTCCATAATTATTACTCTGTCCACCAAATGAGCGTTGATAAATTTTTCCTTCAGCTGTTCTCGAGAATGGCATCCCATAATTTTCTAATTCAATTACCGCTCGAACAGCATCTTTTGTTAGATAATGTATAGCATTTTGATCACCCAACCAATCACTTCCTATATTTTTACATTCTACTTTTCAACCCAAATCAGAAGTGTTTTGATGGAATGTGAAAGAAATTAAAATTTTGCCACCAAATAGTTTAGTAATTTTTTGTTACCAAAATTTGTCATAATGCCATTGCTTAAAATTCAAATATGTGATGTTAAAAAGATGATTTGATACCTTAAAATTTTGGTTACCACATACAATTAATTGTTTCAAATCTTTAATCATTTGAAAAGTTCCATGAAATCAGTAACCTTTTACAGTGTCATAAAAATGCCATTTCCAGTTATCCGGATTCATACTACCAATTGCTGCATTAATACCTCCTTGTGCAGCTACAGTATGCGATCTTGTTGGAAATAATTTTGTTATGACCGCCACTCGTAAGCCACCTTCACCTAGACGTGCTGCTGCTCGTAAACCTGCTCCACCTGGAACAAGCAATTATTAATAAAATTTGTCCATCAATGGTAAGTGGAAGATAGTAGTAAAGTAGAACTAATTAATAACGTTTGGTTCTAATTTTTTAAAAAAGAAAAAAAAAAACAAATTTTTAGAAGGAAAAGAATTTGATGGAAAATCTTACATAGTTCATCAATTGTAAGAATATCTATTAAATAAAGAAATGAAATAGAATCTGTAATAAACGAACTCGTTATTCTTACTATAGTTTTATCATTTATTAGTAAATGATTGTTACATGATAGCATTATCAATGGTAAAACAAGCAAATTTATTGAAAGCAATAAATGGTATCTTAATTGTTAATTATTAATTAGCATATCAAGTATATACAATAACGATGAATGAGTTTACCATTATTATTATTGCATCTCTTACTCTACTTTTATATCAACAAAAAATGCACAACTTTTTATTTGCTAATTGTTATCAGTTAGGAGCATATATGATAAATTATTAGATGATACTTAAAGTTAATAGCTTCCTTTTAAAATCGTAATCAGACAAACCAGCTCCAACAACAATTGCATCATAATTATGATCGATAATAGTATAATTTGCAATATATGTCTTCTTTGCGCGACAATTTATTAGTGATGTCAAACCATTCCGAACATTTTTTTGATTTATCAATGCACTTGCCAAGCGTAACATTGTCGTACTTTGAAGAAAAGAAAAAATTTTTTAAATACTTAAGAAATTTGTTTTAAAGATAAAATATATTAAAAGTACAAAAAAAAAAAATTATGAAGAAATTCTACCAGGATGTATCGTACTACCTGCTTTGATTCGAAAAAAACACACAATAAATCTAATGCGTAATTTTGGCCTTCTTGAAAGATATAAAAATTTGCATAAAAAAATCAATGCATGATAGAATTCTTGATGCTAGTGTTTTAGTTCTGCATCTTACACACCCTTTTTTTGCTCATCTAATTTCATTTACTATATCTTCAAGTTTTTTTTTTTTTTTTTTTTTATGTCTAAATGAAATTAATGTTTGCACTGATAAAATATTAATATCATAAATAAAAGTGCTTCAAATCAATCACAATTATAATATTGTTTTTTTTTTTTTTTTTGAAAGTTCATTAACAAAAGCAGGCATATTTGATTTATTAATGGAATTCATCGAATAAAATAATACAATTGACAAATCATTTCTTCTGATACAAATAAACCCGCTTATACGAGATGTTTGCTTGAATAATAAGAGAAATACTGCCAACTAAATAAATATAAACAGTAATTAAACAAATGTACATAATTACTTTATTACTCATAATTGTAAAGTAGTAGTATATGAGAAAAATAAAAAACAATCATCAATGTCATCATTTCCTGTTTATACAATCAGTATATATTGCAATATGTACGCATGAAGCGAAACAATTTGTACAAAGGAAATGAAGTTGCAATTTAATTAATTAAATTAAATGTATAAAAACTTAAGCACAATAATTTTCGTTTCATTCTTTTTTATTTTTTATGTTTAAAATTTTGCATATTAAAAATGTTCTATTTGTTGAAATTCGAAACTTTTTAAAACATTTCAGCCTTCAAATTCTCCTAACATTGCGTTTCATATAAACTGAAAAGATTTTGAAAGCTCAAAAAGACTAAGTAACATAAACTGATAAACTTGTTTCTAAAAGAAAAAAGAAGGAAACGAGGTAGAAGTGATAATATAGCATTAGGTTATCACACAATACCTTTTATGAATTAAAACCCAATTAAAATACCTAATAACAAATAATTAGACCTAAAAATTTTTTACGATAGCTGAAGCACATTTTTTTTTCTCTCGACTCTTTTTAGCTTTGGATAGCGAGAAAAAGAAAAAAATTGAATCAAAGTTAAGGTAGTACTATTGACCTTAGACAGGTGTGGGAAGTGTTTCGGCATGATAAGCTGAAGATATTGTTTCGGCAGTCTTGCTAATATTCATGTTCATATCTTTCTTCTCAGATCCAGCTGATTCTTTTTCCCTCAATTTCGGGATTGCCCATGATTGTAGATCAGCGGAACCCCAAAGAGTAAAAAATATCACAGGTAAGAAAGCAACAATTGCTGATATCGTATAAAGAAGTTTCCACTGACTATCTGAACCGGACCACGAATGTAGAATCAATCCATTTGTCAGCTTATTCACAATGCTTAAATTATTGAAAAAATCATGCCACCTTTGTTTTTTAAAATGATGATAAGTGCATCAAAATTTTTGTGATGGTGAACTTTTCACCATTAACACCATCAAACATTTCGAATTACTGTTTAGGAGGATATCTTGATAATTTCTTCATATTCTTCGTAATTATCATTAGATATTGCCTCTTCAAAATATAATCAATCGTTTTTTATGACAAATTTAGATATTCTAATTAAAAAATAAGAACTAATCGAGTTCAAATTCTATCATAGGAACAATATTTACTAAAAATCAATTTAAAATTTTTTGCAAATATTAAACGAGCAACTAACTTAGCTATATGTCCAGCGGAAAAAGCAATGCCTGTAATGGAACCTGTATATGCCGGACCTATCTGTAATAATGCAGTAAATACACCAGGAGTGTGTAAACCTGAAATTGCTATAAGGTAAATTTCTAAATGATAAAAACTTCTATTCAATTTTTTTTTTTTTTTTTGCAAAAATACCTTAATTAATAATTTAATCAACAAAAACAAAACAAAAACAAAAAAGGAAAAAGAAGAAAAAAAAATATTGCAATGATTGCTAAAAATCATACGATTAATAAATTAGTAAAAATGAGTTCTTAATTTGGTTAAATTAATAATTACCAGCAAATGCATTTGCAACACAAACGACAATCAATGCTTGCATGTCATGTGTTATCAGCGGTATGATAAAGAGACCAAAGGCAAGACCAGCTGAACCGATTCCATTGAATGATTTAACAAGAATTGTCCTTTTCATCACACAGCATCCATTTTTTCTTGCACTCAGACAAGACGAAAGTGATGATGAAAGATTCTTACTGATCCATAATGCTAGTAGTGGCAGTGCAGAATATAAAGTGCTGCGAACATCCGACAGGTGAAGTACTTCTTTCATATAAATGGGTAGTAACTAAAAGTATCGATCAGTTTCGTATATATTACAATTCATCAATAAATTTGGTATTTGTATGAGTCACATGTATGCAAATTCCGTTTTTCTCCTTTTTTCTTTGCTCATAAGTGTATAATGTTGTAAATAAAGTTTTAACAATTATAAAATAATTACTGTTGTAGTGATAACGAGCGGATATTCTTGGCAAACTACTGCTAATATTCCCATAATGAATGGACGTGATATTAGTAATTCTTTCCATGGTGTATTTTTCCGTTCTTTCCTCTAACAAAATGATAAATTAAAGTTATAAATTTATTAAAATATGAAATTTTAGTCATTTTTTTTTTTCACAAGATGCAAAATTTACAATTCCTTTTTTGTTTTCAAATTTGCTGCTTATATGAAATTATGCAAATTTTTAGTTTTTGTTAGCTATGCAAAAAAAAAAAAAAAAAAAAAAAAAACCGATAGTTTTTTCATCTGAAGTTAATCACAAAAAAATTTGATTGAAAAATAAGTTCATAAAGAAAAAGAAAAGGATTTGAAATGAAACGAAACAGTAGTGTTGAAAAGGCTTTTATTATCCATTATTTATTGTCAACAAATTTATATTTCATTCATTAAAATTTAAACGATAATAATAAAGAAATATTTTAACTTTTTTTTTTTTTTTTAATAAAAGGAAAAAAATTTCCAATTTAGGATGCTTTTCTTTTTAACAAATAAACAAATTACCTTTCCCAAAGATTCTTCGCTAATTTTCCTCAAAATATACATTTTTTCTTCATTTTTTACGAAATAATGCTTTGATGGCTTATCAGCTGACATAATCAACCAGATAAGTAGCATAAGCGCAGCAATTATTGCCGAAATATAAAATGTAAATTTCCAACCGCCAAATGTATCTTTTCTGAGACAAACCCATCCGGACACTGGCAAAATAAGTAAACTTCCTGAAAATAAATATGTCTCAAATTCTTATTTTAACTTTCAGCTGGATAAATTAAAACAAATTTTTTAATTTACTGTCAGAGCAGCACTAAAAAATTGTTTAAAAATGATATTTGACACGAATTACTTCCTGCATTCTTTTATAAATTCTCATTTCTTTTGTTTAGCAACATTATTATTTTTGGAGAAGCAAAAGCAAAAAACCAGTTTTCAAATTAAAATAATTGAACTACATTTTTAAAACATAATCGATTAAATAAAACCAAGTCATCTAATAATCAAATATATTAATTAATTATTAATTAATCAACATGATTTTAAATCAGAAATATCCCTCTTAAGCAATGAATGATAACTACGTTTTAATCATTAATATATGTTTTTTTTTTTTTGAACTTGGAAATCAGTAATATATGAAAATTAGTGAAATTGTAAATGCAAAGCAAAAATTGGAACCAATTTGTCGGCCACCCGTAATAAATCCAATAGCAAATGAACGCTCTTTCGGTGGAAACCATCGAACGATCATAGAGCTAATCGATGGAGTAAGGAAAGCATCAGCTATTCCACAAAGAATCCGAGCAATAATTGCAAAAATAAAATGTTTTGCAGCAAAAAGCGGTAATATCATATTACTAATGATAGTGACAAATAGCGCCACAGCTACTGTCCATTTGCCATTTAAACGATCCGCTTGTGGACCAACCACTAACATAAAAAGAGAACCAATATTTTGCGCACATAATACCATACCTAAAATGTTAATTTTGGCAGCAATCTCGATCGATTCATTTTTGCATAATATTAGATATGAAATGACAAAATTTAATCAAAAGGGAGAAGAACCTTGTTGAAGCATTGTCCAGTTTAAACGTTCATCAGCGTGACAAGACCGTATCTCAATATAATTTTGATTGCCATTAGCATTTGACTGCGAAAGATGCTCTGAATCAGGCCTCTCATCAAATTTCATCCCAATTTTTGGCACTATGTTAGGTGAGCATGAATGTGTGATTCGTTCTGAGACGTTTAAACCTTTTTCCATATCATTTTGATATCTGAACAAATGTTACCTCAGATTTGTTAATTTTAAACTTCAATGTAGAGTTAGGTCTAAATGCTGTTATTTCAATCAAATGATTGATAATAAGGTAAGAATATAAATATCAAATTATGATTTATAACTTTATTTCGTTTTTTTTATTTCAGTGCATACTGCACATTACCATCAACTATGTCAGTTATTTCTGAAAATTTCTTAAACTCATTTCAAATCGTTTGAAGGAAAACTAATTTGAAAATTTTTGGAATATATTAAAATACATAAAAATATTTGCAAATCTATTTATTCAAAGCTATTATGAAAAAATTCCCTGATTTCAATAATTTTTAACGAATATCTCCAATTTTTAATGAATGATTAAATTTAATAATTCATTACCTTAGTTTTTTAAAAATAATCATTTATTAATCCCCCTCTTCCTGTACTTTATTTACTTCTATTATTTTGTGTTATTCTCTCTTCTTCTCTCTCATTCTATAATATGTGATGAGCATTTCGTATCTCTTGTAACTGGTTCTAATTTTGTTAAAAAATTTTCCACTCAAATAAAAATGAAAAAAAAAAG